ATCTAGAACGGGCGGTCGCTCCGCGCCCGCCGGCCCGGCGACGAGGGGGTGCAAGGGGGAGCGAGGGAGAAAGAACCTACAGGGTAGCGCCTAGCGCTACAGCATGAAACCATGCTTGCGCGACAGGCGAAAAAAAGAAACAACAGCGCCCCTGGCCTTCCTCCCTCGGTCGGCGGGAACGAAAGAAATGTAGGTAGAGAGAAGGCCGCGAGGCCCAAGAAGGAGCGGTAGGGGGCGCACAGCGCAGCCCCTGTCCGAGCCGCCACAAACAGGTCCGGCGGAGAGCGTGCCACGACCCTTTTCGACGGCCCGGGAGGCGTGTCCCAGGAAGGAGAACGAAAATAGCGCGCCGACGGCCGAAAGACTAGAAATACGGCCGGCGCCAAGCAAAGATAAAGCAGAGCAGGCAGGAGGGCAGCGGGAAGGCAGGGAGGGCATTGCGGGTGGCTCTCGCAAGAAACCAGACAGGCCCAAAAAAAAGAATAAGCAGGCCAAAGCCCGCGCCCGGCCCCGGGGAAGAGGCAAAAAGCCCCGGGAGCGAAAGGGGAAGCGCCCAAACAGGCCGAAGGGGCGAGCCGCAAAGAAACCGGAATCACGCCCGGCGAAGTGTTGTTCCCGGTGCCGGAGCCGGAGAACGCCGGGCCGGAGTGTTGTTCCCGGTGTTGCTACGCGACTGTTCGGTGTAGTTCCCGTCGTCGTCGTAGAACATGTCGATCAGCAGCTGAAAGTGATCCTCCGGAAGGATCTTATCCGCCGAGTCGGGGCGGATGTTCTTGTCGTGCTTCGACCACATGCGGAGCCAATACGAGCGGTTCTCGCACATCAGGTCGGGGTCCGCTGCTTCGCCATCGTCACCCGGTGGCGTTTCTGTCACAAAAACGCGCTCATCTTCGTGGATGCACAAGAAGACGTAGGTCGCGCCTTCGTAGATCATTCCCCTGTTCGGGGAGAACTTGATGTACCCCGGCTCCGGAGGCATGGTTTTTGCTGTTCTGCTTTTCGAGAACAGAAGAAGCGAGAAAAAAACTGTTTGCTGTTGCTACTGTGTTTTTGAAGAAAAAGTGAATTTGTAATGCATTTATACGTAAAAATAGCCTTAATTTTTAAATTTTAATTGCAATACAAAATTGAAAACATAGCGAAAAAAGCAAATTTGGCAGCGTTCCACCATATATTTTTCTTACTTTTTCGTGTTTTTGTGCTTCTATTCAGGCGTATGTGCAAGCGACAAAAAACCACAGTACGTAGCAAAAAAACAGCAAGGGCAGAAAAAATGTCGACTTTCTTGACCGATGTGCGGGCAAAAAAATCGGAATATTATGTGGCCCAAGCTTTCTGTGAAGAACCGACTTCGTTACACCGACTTTGATGACGATGTATGACGAAGCTGCGCCTACCCCTATGTACGATTACTATTTTTCTTCAACGAACAAGAGACGCTAAGCACTAAGTACGACTGAAGACTGTTAAAGAGGAATGGTGACAAGCCACGAAGTTACGACATGTAAACTTTTTTTCTTTAACAAACAACAAACTCCTAATGCGACTATGGACGATGTTCATTGAAGATTAAAAACTTTTAGACGATAGTAAACGAAGGGGAAGGGTAGACATGGAATGGGGTTAGTAGGTTTCTCCACCAGTGTTGAACAGTTCGGCTGCATAGCGCGCAGCGATCGAAACAGGTTCGAAAGGTTGAAGATTCCACACAGAAAGCTGTTCAGTTTTCATTGACAATTTGTTTCGTTTCAGGTGCAGTTCACCTCTTTTTCCATTCCTCTCAGTGGAAAAAACTTGTTCACGAAAAAACATCGACAGAAGTTTTTCTTCGGTTCAGGTGTGCTAACACACTCGTCCCACCTGTAGTTCCCGCTGTGACTAGTCCTACCCGAAGAACGCGGCGTGCTGTCGTCCGGGGTCGCTTCTCGTTGTCGGGTAGAAGTAGTCGGTCGTCCTCTCGGAGTGCATCTTCACGCGACATTATAGATCGCCGCACGAGGGCCTCGCCTCGTCCCCGCCAGTAATCGACTTGATATGAAGATCGTGATTGCCGTTTTGGTGATTCTCAGAACAAGCCGGGTGGACGTCGTAACTGTCAAAATGATTGCCGGCCGCTGTGCGAAGAAAAATAGTTACCGCTGGCAGGCGTTCTTTGGATTCTTGGCGACCACATCAGCGGGGAACTTAAATAGTATTTATTCGGGGGCGGAACAAGAACAACAATATATAAATCTGTTCAGTAGAAGCAGAAGGTAGACCTAGCACCACCAGCATGGCGAGATCTTTTATCTTTTATACGCGTTTTTTATCGCTTCAAGGTTGCAGCGAAACACCGAACGCTTTTGCGGATCTTTTTGTTTAGATTGGCCCACCTTTTACTGCTAATGCCTGCATTTTGTAAGATTGCTCTCACTGTAGTATTCTTTACCGCGGCACATGGTTGTTTGAATCAAGCTCTAGAAGCACCTATATGGCATCTCTCGTATGATGTCCTGTTTTCCGCTTCAAGGTTGAAGCGAAAAATAACCAAAAGCTCATGCTGATCTTTTTAGCCAGCCTGAAGGCGCTGGTGTGTTTCTCATGCATCGCATCACTGAGTGTGAGCTCGAGTTTAGATTGGATTATCATGTTTGAGTCGTAGTTTTGTTCGAGTTTGCGTGATTATTTGGAATGTTGAACAACGAGTGGGAACTACTTTAATTTCTACTCACAACTACAATTGAAATTGTGTGCCGCTAGGCGACGATATGCTGATCGGAAAATATAAATAATGCTGATCGGAAATTGATGCTGATCTCGTTCTCGCGGCGTGGGAGTTGTACCAGTAAATCTAGATTTGACTGAGGACGAGCCCTGTAATACAGGGCTCGTCCTCAGTCAAATCTAGATTACTAGACGTATACATAGGACCAGGAGAGGCGAACAATAGAAAGAAGATCTCGTTTGTGTTCGTCCACTGGTGGTCCTTTCGCGACTTCGGGAAGGCGGCTCCTCGAGAAAAAGTGTATGAATCAAACTGACGAGGATGATCGAAGGAATAGAGACACACACTTTAATATTTTCACCTCATCAACATGATCGCCCAGCAATTTACAACACAACAGATTTCTGTATGCTTGTTTCGCTGCTCGACTTAACAGCAATAGGGTTTATTTTTCATTTCAAAGCACTAGGAAGAAGAAGAACGAGACTCAAAGGCTTAGATTTAGTATTTTATTGTGACTGTAAAATTCCTTTTACGTAGTGGGATGGACATCACTAATTTCCGCGAAGACCAAAGTCGTCGTTGAGCCATATTTTATTCACAGCAGTATCAGAGCATTTTTGGTTTGAGAGCGATTCAACAAGGATGAAAAAAAAATAGAATGGCACGACTATACCCCACGACGACCAGCGGGTTCTTCTGCCTGCATGCCGTGTGGTGTATTGCTGGTCTGGCTGTTGTTTCCACTGCTTCTTCTAGCGGTGCAACTGCCGGGCCCGGAGCAAGTTCTTCTTCGGGCGATCCCGCCCAGAGAGCAGGAGGATCAGGATGGCACAGAATTAACCTTAAGCTCAAGAAAAACCCGAACGACCCGCCCAGTCCTACACGAGAGGACAGCGACAGCGGAGATGAAGCTCCTGCTACGTTTTTCGGCGCCGAAGTTGCAAGCGTTGAAGAGCGCGACAACTTTGTCCACCACCTGTGCAAAGGACCCCGGTTACTCTACGTTAGCCCAGAAGCCAGCCTTGTTCGGCGTTTCGAGGTGGACGATGAAAAGCCACGGATGAAACTACAAGGGGACATCAAGCACGAGGAAGACGATAGCTTTTTGGGCGTGACGAAGGAACAGCTCGACATGGTATTGGGGATGCATCACTTTTATGCATTGCAAAAGTATCGTGGTACTCGTATAGATGCATTACAAATTTCCTCAGCATGAGAAATAAAATTTGTCATGCGGATTTACCTTCGGAAAAAAATTTGTAATGCATAAATGCAATTACTACGAGTACGATACTTTTGCACAGGATAATTTTGGGGTCCTCGGGGAGAACAATAGTGAGGTGAATAAAGACGATGAAGCGCCGGAAGTAGATAACCAACATCAAGTGGAAGAACAAAAGCAAGTTGAAAACCTGTTGTACACGACCGCCAGCATCGGTACAACTCCTGGTCGCATCACAATCTGGAAAATCCCAGCGGTGGTCGCGAAATCGCCGTGGCTGCAAGTTTTCCACAAGGAGAACTTGAAGAACTGGAACGCAGGCCCGTGTAGGATGCAGCTGGGCCGCCAAGGCTCTCCGTATCTGCTGCAGTTTGACGTCGACGGTGATGTTGAACCTGCTTCGGGTAGTTGTAGTTCAAGTGCAACTGCGAGGACCACATCTGTTCTTGAGCAGGCGCCGCGGAGGTCAAGGTCGATGTTGGACAGAGCACTTTTGACGAAGCCCTTCAGGATCAAGAACTTCAAACGGAATCAAGATGGTAAAAGATTGCTGGACGTGGATCAGGATGAAGAGTGGAAGTTCCAAGTTTCTAACCTAGTTCTTGAAGAGTGGATAGAGCCGCGCCAGACGCGGCAGACAGCACAGACAAGCGAGGGTGGATGTGGCTGCGGGCAAAAAGATGACGGCATTTTGAAAATCGGCAACGTGGCAGCCGAGGAATCGGGAAACGGCGCCGGGCTCCTCTTCATGTTGAGAATCATGAACTACGCTCTTCACAAGCCTGCTCAACAACCACACGACATCGACAGCTGCGAAGAGATGGCGTCGGGTTCTTGTCTTGCAGAAATGCGAATGGGAAGATCAAGATCTCCGCTCCGAGCCGGCATTTCGGATCTACACTTGGATGCCGTGCGCGATGCCCATGTTTTCTGGGCCAAGATGGGGTTCGTACCTTTAATTTCCTCGCCCTCAGCGGAACAAGGTCAAAGCGAAAGCCTTCACTTCGTCCACAGCGTCCTCGTGCCCGCATTGGCGGCCTCTTCTTCCCGTTTGGAAAAACCTAAAGATTGGGGCAGCCAGCGAATGCGTATGTCGGAGACAGGCTGGAAGAAGTGGGCAATACTGGAGGAGTTTGCTAGAGAACTCCAAAAAGCAAAACCTACCGTCACGGAAGTGGAGCTCATTAGAAAGTTGAAGAGCATGGACGCGTACAAAGCGATGTCTGAAAGATTTGAGCACTACCAGGAAGAGTTGGGCGTTGACGTGCCGGCCCTATTGCGAGGGGGCCCCTGCAGCGACAAATAGAAATTTTATGCTGATCTTTTTGTTTTTACATAGGGATAGGCTGAGGGTCGTATTTTGTCTCATGCATTACTGTCGCATGATCACGGAGTTCGAGTTTAGGTTCGGCCACCTTCAACTACTGCTGGCTTTTGTAATATTGCTCCCTGTAGGTGTACTCTTGAGCGTGAGTGGTTTTTCTTTTTCGAATCAAAAAAGTAACGTGTCTTTGTACTTGTTTTGAAACGAATCGCAATTTATAATTTTTTTCAAATTTGTATGATTCTATCACGAAAAATGGGAACCGGAACGACAACAAGAGGGAATTTCAATTTTTACTCTGTAGACGAAATAATCTTGACGTTTTATAACTACAATCCGTGCGATATAGTGCTCATGGTCTATAGAAGTTGTTGTCCTTAAAGATGAGTATTATGCTTGGAGGAGGGCAACAGCATTCTTGGCAGGCACCGTTAGATGGTACCCAAAAGACTATGGCACGGTCGCCCAGTACAACATGTGCGAAGCTATTACACAGGATAGTATCAGGCAACGAAGAGAAATAGAAATCATAGCCATACTGGCCAGTGAGTAACTACTCGCATCCTTCGGCACTTGAAGCTACGATGTAGGCACAGAATAAAAACAAGACTAAAAGCTCCGGATCCTGAGAAGCTTTTAAATATTTTTGCATCTCCAATCGTTCTCTTCTCGTTGCAAATGCTCCAACAGTCATGTATTTTTGCAGATCTGCAGCATGATATAAAGATGAAGATGATCCTATGCGTTCCAATCGAACAAATCAAAAATCCCTCGTCCGAAAAGAGAACTTGGTCCGTTGTCGCTGTTTTGACATTGTCTTGTTTGTCCTAGTCGTAGTCATCTCCAAGGATCACGATCAGATGAAGAGGAAGATCACGACGATCCAGTGCAGAAATATTACTCTCCTCCGAATGCCTCGTCGACAAATCAAACTGACGATGACGATCGAAAATGAACCCACACCTACTCATACTTTCCCACCTCAACATCCCTCAGCAGTCTACACTAGAAGTGTTTTCTACTTTTCTGTAAAATACTAACTTGCTGCTCCGTTTATGCTTATTTTTCATTTCAAAGCACATCAACCAGAACTAGAAGGAAAAACGAAAGAAATCAAGAACTATTAAGAAGTGAAAGAACTACTTAGACTTTCATATATTAATTTCAATTTGGTTTTCATCCCGCTCATCTTGAGAAGCGCACACGCAATTCATTACCAGTGTTGCTAGTGCTCGTGCTGGATCGTGTTTTTCTAGTGCTTGGTTTATTTCATCGGGCGTCTACATTTCCATTTCCAAACAGTCATGCTGTCCTCCTCCCGTGTTGCAGCGGTTTCTCTCCTCTACCCTGCGACTTGGCTCGCAGCATCTTTCTGCCGTCCTGGACGAGTCGACGCCGTGAAGATCCGGCATCGAGCAGTACGGGCGGACAGTTCCGACTGGGGCAGTCTGGAGCGACCGTTCCGACTGCAGCGGGAAGCTGCAGTTGCAGTGCCGGATGAAGATGTGGCACTACCGGAAGATGCGGTGATGGCTGCAAATTGGGGACGCATCGGATCCTTCCTGTGTAAATCGAAACGCGGCGATCACCCAGGTGCAGACAGTCGCGCGGCCAGCAGAAAGATAAGAGATAACCACGACCGGCAGGCGAACACCGACGTTGCTCTCAGGAGGTCGACCACAGCGTTTTTTCCCGGCTTGCCGGACAACGTCGTGCAAAGGGATGCTATTTTTCGTGTGCAAGACGCGGCGATTCACGGTGAATTGTCGTGGGACGAGTTTGCGGCTCTGCCTTTATACATAAAGAAAAGCCGGGACGTGGTGATGCATTTATTGAAGCCCGATGGAATCATCAACACTGCAGAAAAATTTCGCGCCCTGCCGGAAGAAGCGAAGAGAGACATGAGGAATGTCCTGGATGCGCGGAGCTCGGGCGCGTTACCGAAGGCTGAGCGGCTCGCGGAGTTCGAGCTCCGGTGCGTGAAAGACCTAGTGGCTCGCCGCGAATTGTCGTTGGAACAATTTTTGGCCCTGCCGGAAGATGCACAGCAAGACATGGCGTATCATGCGCTGCGGTCGGGCATTTTTGATTTGCGGGACGACTGGAACGCACTGCCGGCGGTGCTGCGCCTCTTTCGTGGTCCGTGGGACAACGAGGGAAAATTGCTGCCGCGCGACGGGCCTGAGTGGTTGGCTGCCCTCGACCAAATTCGCACTGCCGGTTGTGGCGGACCTGGATCGCCGCAGCCGCGACCAGCATCATGAGCGCGACAGCAATTCTTGCAAGAAAGGGCAGAAAAGACTTATAAAAGTAATCCTATTGTATTAATCTATACTTTTTTTTCCAAATCCGATTGGTTATAATCAAGCAACACGACGCTAGTAGCGAAGACGCTGGTGCTGCCATCAGGAGCGTAAGAGATTGAAATCCTGATTTTGAGAAACGTTCTTTTTCAGTTTGTGATTTGCTTGTAGTTGAAAGGGATATTTATGGAAAAGTTAGAGTTTGATGCAGTTTTAGTGTAAGATTTATCGTTATAACTTTGAAAATTTCTACATCTACAAGTATGCAACTCTTGTCGCCATCGTTCTTTATGGTGTCTTCAACAGACCATTCAGACTCAGTAGAGTTTGAAGTTGAACAAAAACATCAAAATTTTATGCTGATCTTTTTCTACATATCCTGGAGGTATTTTGTCTTTTGCATCACTATCACTTGGTTCGAGTTTAGGTTAGGCTTAGGCCACTCTCAACTACTTCTGTATGATTTTGTATGATTGCTAATCTTGAGCGTAAATGGTTTTTCTATTTCTACTTTTTTAAATCAAAGAAGTAGCATATCCTTGTTGTTTTGAAACGAAGTGCAAGATGAGGTTTGAATCGTAGTTCTTTTGTGTAAAATCAAGTTTGTAGAATTTATATCACGAAAAATGGAAACTACCGGAACTACGAGAGGAATTTTTGATTTCCACTGACTTGGTAGGAGACTTTGATTTCCACTAACAACAATTATGCGCCGGTACGACACGCTCATGGTCTGAGAGTAAAAAGAAGTTGTTGTCCTTTCCCTTTGGGATGAGTATCATACTCGGACGAGGAGGGCAACAGCCTTCTTGGCAGGCACCGTTAGATAGTTGTACCCAAAAAACCATGGGTGGTACGGTCGCCAAGTACAAGAAGAACAACATGTACAGATCTTTATCACACAGGGCAATATCGGGCAACGGAGACAAATAGCAATAGCCATATTAGCTAGCGGGTAAGTACTTACATCAGTCGGCACTTGAAGCTACGATGCAGGCACGGTAAAAAAAGACTAAAAGCATGAGAAGCTTTTAAATACACGACATTTCCTTTCTCGTTGTTCAAATTTATCAGTGGAGAGTGTATCTCTCATCCGCGTTCATCATTCGTCTGTTTTTCAGGGGGTTCACTTGTTTTTCTCCTGGTATCGTTATTTCTTCCAAGTTGAGAGCGCCGCCGAGACAGGCTTCTTCCACGAAGCGCAGGCGAAGAGCCACGATAAGAGGTTGTGGACACTCTGTGGCTGTACTTGCTGTAAGTGCGAACCAGCCAAAAAACAACGTGTCTGGAATTCAGTGAGTGTCATTTTTCAAATTGATCTGTAAACCAAACCCGTCAACATGATGTGAACAGAACTCCGCATCCGCTTCTAGGGAAGAAGGCTGCAGCAGCCACTCCGCTCTCCCACCGAGCGGTTGGGAAGTGCCGCAGGAGCTTCCTGCGGAGGCCGAGCCCACTGGCAGTCTTGATGAAGGCAGTTGGTGGCAGATGGGCTTCGAGATGTCGACGGGATTAGGACGATCGTGTTCTTCTTGCGGCGCATCTTCTCAACAACGTAAACCCAATTTCTTCACTACGAGAAATCACAGCGGCTCAGTAGGTCGTGCTCCTTCACGACTGGCCGCGAAAAGTAGTACAAGTAGAAGATCATGGAGGTGGCCTATTTCTCGGTCAAGCGCCGCGCGTCTGTCACCTGGCCAGCAACAGGACGAAAATGGGTAAAGGCCTTCGTCGGTCGTGTGATCATCGAAAGTCTCCTCCTAGCACCACATCACGCACACTCAGCCGCGATTGTGCGACGTCAACATCAGGAGGAATTTCGGAGTAGTTTCGGGAATGAGGAGGCCGAAGCGGAGTCAGAAGCTGAGGCTTGGATTAATGGTAAAGAAAGGTTGGACGCGTTTTATTGAATCATTTTCAACATCATGATCTTCATCTTGTCTTTCTCGGCACTTTGAGAACTTGGACGACAGAACAAACTCCGCTTTTTTGTTGTGTAGTCACTGTGGTGCTAGTGCACTAGCAATATCAAATTCAAAAACCACCCACTTCCCCGCCCCTCGCAGCTCCCAACATCCAGTCGCGGCAACTGTCGAAGCCGTTTTTGAAGCCCCGTAGTTGCTACGAGGTCACGACAAAATCCACAGCAGACCCGAATGAACGCGCCCCTGCCCTGCAATTCCCCGCCGCCCAGGGCTTCCCCGGCGGACTGACCATCGTCGGCACCGAACTAGTGATTCCGACGGACCGCGGCGCCATCTGGTTTGTCCAGCTGCCTATGCATTGCAAAAGTATCGTAGTACTCGTAGTAATTGCAATCATGCATTACACATTTTTTTCTGAAGCTAAATCCGCATTATACAAATTTTATTTCTCATGCTGAGGAAATTTGTAATGCATTTATACGTGTACGAGTGCGATAGTACTTTTGCAATGCATACTGCCGCCGCCGAAACAAATCGTGCCGCCGAAAAACGCGACTGCGGAAGAAGAGGCGGAGAAACTGAAATTAGCTGGGTTGCTGAAGGCGAAGTTTCCCAGGACGGATGAGTTTTTTTTGTTTGGAACCAACGAGACAGTGAACACAACGAGTTATGCATTGCAAAAGATGAAATAGTATCGTACTCGTACTAATTGCAGACATGCATGACAAATCGCCTTCCTTAGCTAAAACAGCATTACAAATTTGTTCATCTGTCAACATGCAGCTAAGGAAACTTGTAATGCAATTTATACTTCTAGTAGTGCGATGCTTTTGCACTTCATACGAGCTCTACGACCACAACTACTACCACAACAATCGCAACCACGTCAACGGCGGAGACGACCGCGTGTCCGGCGGACGGGTCTATCCCCTGGTGTGTGCGGTCCGATTTGACCTTTTTCGACAGTGGCACGGTTTTCACCGGCGCCGCAGCGGACCACGGAAGCTGGAGCGAGTGGGACTTTTCGCAAATCACGAAGACGGTGACCAGCACGGCGGTTCCGCTGCTGTTCACGGGGTTGTCGTACGACCAGACAGAATATCAAATGCAAAAATGTCTGGGTGAAGGTTGGAAGACTTGTCATGCAGGTTTTCCTTGACGCGTGAGGTCTGTCATACGTGACCCACCATGACAGATTTTGTCCGACCTCTATCATGCCTCGTCTGCATGAGAAATCCCGGCCCCTCTCAGTTTGGTCAAAAGTGGACAGCTTTTCTTGGTAATCTTGCAACACAGATTTTTGCACTATCCAGAATCAGCATGGCAAGTTGCAACCTTCTAGACCCAGACATATTTGCATTTAATACAGAAGCCTTAGCCACCGCGAACGCCAACGCGAACAAACTTGTCTTTCCGGGGAACATAGGCATCGCAAAAGTATATCTACTAGTATAAATCGCATGACAAGGCTCTTCAAGAAGAGTGGAAATTTGGCATGCGGATTTAGGTATAGAAAGAAGATCTGTCATGCACGACTCCGATTAGTACGAGTACGAAACTTTTGCACAGCATAGAACAGCAAACCGCAGCGGCGGCTGACGTTGACGCCCTACGGGTTGCGGTATGAGGGTGCACAACTCCCCCTCCCCCTCATTTGTATAGCATGAACGGCAATACAAGCAACGCCAGAAATGTGGTTTTCGCATGGCAAATCTGCACGCGGATTGTAGTGCTGTTCGAGGCTCCCAAATTTGTCATGCGGAGTGTGCTTAGAGACAACGTGTGGATTTGATATTTTGCATTACAAATGAGGGGAGGGGGACTTGTGCACTGCCATATGCGGGCGATGGTTTTGGAACAGGAGTACATTTACGACCCCGGGAACGTGTATGAAATGCAAAACCACCGTACTAGTTTAAATTGCATTACAAATTAGCTCAGCATTACAAATGAAATTTGTAATGCTGTTTTACCTTCGGGACGAGATTTGTCATGCATAACAGCGATTCCTGCGAGTACGATACTTTTGCAGTGCATAACGTGACGCAGCTGCCGGCAGGGTCCTCGGGGAATGAGTTTCAAACCCTGGTGGGGAAGGTATAGGATAAATGATAAATCGCCTTTGTCATGCGGAACAGAGAATACAACTGGTGCACATGAACCTGAGCGATAACATGAATGTTGAAGCCAACTGTGTTTGTTAGAAAGGTTCATTATACTTCATCAGGTCCGCGTCGAGGCCGACACGCCGGGTCTCACGCCCAGCGACCTCGACCTTCCTGGCGAATACGTGAATAACACTGATCAAGTGTGGCTGTCCGTGAAGGACGGCGCGAAGCTGGTCTGCTACGACGTGAAGCAAAAGAAGGTGGACAATTTCGCAACGCTGAACACAGGCAGAGGGTACGACGACTACACCCTCGACGCGCTCACTTTCGGCCAAGTGCTCCACGTGTACGCCGGGACTGCGCCGAAAACCGCGGATGTTTTGCCTGTTGTGCGCGAATACGATGTGAAGGGCAAGTCGAACCAGGGGCCCAGCTACACGCAGCAATTACTAGGTTATTTGGCAAACAACACGGCGAACTTACCCGCGGTGACGACAACCGCGGCGCCGCCCTTCATGGTTTTGGAACAATTGGACTCGGAATCTGAAGTGATGATGAAACAGGTGAATTCTAACGCAACAGCAGGAGCAAATAACGCATCTTCGACGGGGGCATCAAATGGTACTACTGCAGTCTCCGCGGGGGCAGCTGCCCTTGCTGCTGCAAGTGCAACCACCGCCGCGCCTCTCGCCGCCGTTACATCTCCCCCCGACCCAGCTGCGACGCCAGAGCCCCCGCCCACGATTGACATTCCGTTTACCAAAAGACAGTTTTTGACCACCTACGAGAAGTCGGACCCGTTGACCTCCGGGTCCCCCATTCGCGAGTGGACGACACCGACAAGCGAGTTTTGGGGCGACGCTTACGCTGACAACGGTAAGGCGGAGGACCAGAAGCAGCTTCAATTCGAGGGGAAGTACGAGCCGGGACAGGAGCCGTGGCGCAGACAGGGATTGATCGAGGGAAACGAGCGGGCGAATTACACTCTGCCAGAATTCACCGCGTACAATCCGGGCAACGACATCGAGAACTCCACGGAAGGACTGCCCGAGCCGTTTCGCTCGGTTTTGTACCCCTTAGCGAAAATCACGGGGAAGGCGGTGGACATTACGGGAAAGGAAGTCAACGCGGGATGGAAATTGTCCAAACCGTACGTGGAAAAGGGAATGGAATACACGGCCGAGTACACTGACTTCGCAAAAGACGAGGCAATCAAATACGGCAGTATCGCGGCCGACAAAACGGCCACTGGCGCTGGTATCGCGGCGGAGAAAACGGTAGAAGTCGCGGGACAGGCGTACGATGCCGCGGGACAGGCGTACGATGCCGTTTTGGGTAAAGCCAGTGATGTTGGCTCCTCCGGTAAGATCAAAATCCCGTTGACGGCGCGGAAAAGGAGGACGGTAAGTGAAAGTGAGCTGGGTTCTGCTCGAAGTGGAGCTGGACAAGAAAGTGCCGGCCAGTCAGTGGCCGATGCGGTCGCGGAGTCACAAATAGAGCTGCAGAGCTTAGTGGAAAAGAAACAAGCACAGAATCCGGCAAGTAGTACAGCTACGGGATCTTCAACATCTGGCCCCGCCCGCCGAATCTCCGCAATGGCGTACAATGACGGGTACCTGTTTGTTCACATGTCGCCCGACGGGAGTGGCAAATATGCATTGCAACAGTATCGTACGAAGTATGAATCGCATTACAAAGTTTTTCAGAAGGAGAAATGGAATTTGTAATGCTAGTTTGGCTAAGAAACAAAATTTGTCATGCATGATTGCAATCACAGTACGAGTGCGATACTTTTGCAATGCATAGCAAAAAAGCGGCGTCGATTTACGTATACGAGGCGGAGGAAACGAAGGAGAAAAACGACATCTACAAAACCCTGCAGACCTTTGTAAACGACACGGAGACCAATTTTTTGCTGGTATGCAATACAAATTTCCCGTACATGGACAAGTTGCATCACAAATTTCACCATTTTGGAGTGTAACACTTGTCATGCTAAACTAGGACCGGAGCCAAGTTTTGTCATGCAGAGACCGCATTTGTACGTGTACGGGAAATTTACTGTGGATAGCTGGAGGACAAATTCAACACCAGTTACCGGGTGCCGGCACAGGGCATCCGCTTCGCCATGACCACGAGCTTCTTGCAGACCGCGGCAGCTACGACTAGTGGCAGGACGTCGCGTAAAGTAACAACAAGAAGAGCAACAGTAGAAAGGAAGAAGAGGCAAAGAACTTCATCCTCTTCATCCTCCAAGAAACTCCTCTCATCTGCAATCGCCTTGGCGCAGAAGACGAGTAAATCACTTGCACACGGCCGCGAAGGTACGACTAGACGCGCAACCAAAGTACTGCAACTAGAGGCACGGCAGGGCCGTCAGATGAGTAGAACTACGGAAACCACTACCACTAGATCCCAAGCTCTCGAAACCAACCAAAACAAGAAGCTCGCTCTCCCCGCTATTCCCTCCTGGGCAAAGAAGCTGACGCGGCAACAGCGGTATCAAATGCAAATATGTCTGGGTCTGGAAACTTGTGATGCTAAAAATGAATGATAGACGCACTGCAATACGTAGTTATGCATGACAAATTTTTTGGCTGCAATGTCTTACGTATTTCGCATGGCAAACTGCGTTTTTTCATGACAGGTAAGAGGGCTTTTTCGTGCCTATGCAACACACATTCCCAAGTCATGCCAGACAAGCATGACAAACTTGCATTCTTCCAGACCCAGACATTTTGACATTTGATAAGAGGTTGGGCCTCGGCATCGGGCTCGATCCGATTGCGGTTTTTCCGGTGCCGATAGAGGGGATTGTGGGACTCGTCGCGACGCGGCGGACGCTCAAGGACTTCACGCTGTTCGCGGTGAGTGACCGGGAAAGGAGCCTTTACGCGTATTGAAAACAAAACGCATGAAATATTCTTGGTTGATCTTCTTATGGTTCTTGTGATTCTTGTGCATGAAGAAAAAACATGAATTTCGAATTTGTGCCGCTTTCACGTGGTTCTCCGCAAATTCAGTTCAAAATTTAGACCAGAAAATCGGTCGAAGTACATACTTTTTCGCGCACCCGCTGGCATGGCGGGCCGATTTCGTTTCAATTCGAGGGCGGCGGGATGCCCTCGCAACACACCCGGCCCGAGGACCTCGCTGCGCCATGCAGCGGCTCGGGCGTTGTGGCTTGTCAAAGAGAGCCGGGGCGGCCTCCCGGCCTCGAAGCCCGCCCAGAGCGAGAAGCGCCGCCCCGCCAAGCGGCTTTCCCACGGGCCTGGCAATGTCGGGGCGGTGCGCCGCCGCCATGTTTTTTGCCGGACGCGCATGGGCCTGATTGCCGTAAAGGAGGGGCCGGCCTCCGAAGCAGTAGGGCGCGCGCCCCTTGGGCTGGCCCGGCTTCGGCCCAAGCCAACGCCCCCCAAGTTGGGGGCAATGAGGGGGGGCCCGGAAGGCGCGCGCGCCCCCCCCTTCGGGGGGGGGGGTAAAAAGGGGGCCGAATTGGCGTAATTCTGCTTCCTTTTTAGGGGGGGGCAAAAAATGGCCTTCCCCCGATGCTACAGGGGGGGGGCAAAATGGCCCAGAACCGGGCACATTTTACCCCCCCCCCAAAAGGGGTAGCGAATTGGGCGAATTCGGCCCCCCCCCTTTTCCCCCCCCCGGAAGGGGGGGGGCGTGCGCGCCTTTCAAAGGGCATGCAGTCCACCCGCCGGCCGGGGCCCCGGATGGGGGAAGGCGCGCCCGGACGCAGCCAGAGCAAAAGCCTTTCCGGCCCCGGGCGGGCTTCGAGTTGGGGCCCCGGGATGCACGCCGAGTCGGCTGTGCATCCCCGCCGTGAGCCTCGCGCGGATCGGGTGGCGAAGTGTTGGCTGCGTGCCGTCGCCTTCCTATCCATGTCAGGCCGACCCTTCCCGGCCCCGGCCGCCCCGCCGCAACGCCGGAGGCCAATTTTTCCGGGGTAAAGCAGCCCGGAACGCGGTCGCGTCTTCGCACCCCCCAACTTCTCTCCGCCAGTGACCCCCATTGCACGGGGATGCGCAAAAAAACATGTACTTCGACCGATTTTCTGGTCTAAAAAATTAGCCCCGCCGAGTAAAAATCCTAATCTTCATCTATCAGGTTTGACGTGAATCTGGATAAGGCACAGGAAGTGAACTGTCCAGACGTGCCGTGGTACAAGCCGGACCCGGTGACGACTCCGGCGCCGACCTGAGGTGAACAGCAGTAGCACGCCAGTTACAGTCAATTGAAGCTCCTCCTACTGCTGCTCCACGTCCACCAGGAATTACGTACTTAGTGTGGCTCGCTGCTGGCGACATTACGTGGGCTGCAAGATGAACGACGAGAAATGGGGAGGCTTTGGAGATGGTGGAAAAAGCAATGCGTGACTAAAAGACCCTGCGACCTTTTCCACGAGAGCAAAGAAAAAGATAAACCTCGTCCAGACACACTAATCATTCCGAGAATACAGAGTGGCTGAGTAAACGTTCCATGTAGGATTTTGGCTTTCTCATCCTTATTCTGTTTCTGAACCAAAACCGCAAGTAGAAGTACGTGTACGAATCAGCTGATGCTGGACATCAACCAGGCGTCACAGTGCACAATTATTGATAAAGGTTTTTTCGTACAAATTGACAATGAAAATTCTCCACGCTATTTTTTGCAGTCTAATTTGTTGATGGAGATGGAGGGCCTCAGTACCTGCCGCAGATTTCTTCGTAGAGACGACGTCTCTGCGCCGATGTTCAAAGGCTTTGAACTGTAACTCTCCACCATGAAGTAAAGATCATTCGAAGACTATCAACGGCGCCACGCAGTATGGCGCGCTTGCCTGTGCCGCCCGGCGCGCGGACGCTCGCCGCGCCCCAGAGAGTGCGTTTGAACGGCAGGAACGACGTAGCCTAGGGGGGGCGCCTGCGTACCTATCGTGGTTCCGGAGCTGGGCTGCCCGGTGCCGGGCAGTGATGTCGCAAACTATCGCCATGGCCCTTGCCGCCGGCCGCGCGCGCCGGGCTTCACCGATGGGCCGACTGTGCGGGGGCGATTACGACGGAGATCCTGCGAACGGCACGACGGGCGCGACCCTCCTGGAGGGCGCGCGCAGCTCCTGCGTCGACAGACAACATCAGCGAGACGCACGCCCAGCGCGGAAGACTCCGGGGCCGACTGCGCTACCGATGTGCCACGCGCGGCCGGCTTCACCGCTGTCGGCTTGGGGCGGGTGGCGCAGGAACTGCGGGCTGGGGCGAAGTTGGGGCGTCTGGGGGACGGCACGAAGCTAGCACGCTGACAGCCCCTGGCCCGCCCGGCCGTGTTTTGTTTCATTCTTTTTCTTCAATATTACCCGAGGCATTTGCGCTCGGCCGCGCCGCTGTTTCTTTATTTTTTACATACAAGAGCACGCGGGCGCGTCCTGAAACGCCTTGCGCCACGGCCTGCATGCCTTTGGCGGCGTGCGGTTACTGGGCGCCAAGGGTGTTTAAAAATATTTTGGGGGCGGCATGGCCCCGGAGGGATTCCGAATGTACGTTGAGCCACACGAGGTTGCGTGCCCTGACCTGGATTTGTCTGTGTGAGTGTGTTTAGCGTGCCCGTACGGGTGCGCCTTCCCTCTGCCACATCGATCCCGGCACGGATGGCCGGTTTTCGCAGTCGAAATTGGCCACTAATGGTTGGCTCCGTCAAAAATACGCAAGTAGGCTTTTTGCAGTGTTCCTCCGTCCATTGCTTGTCAATCATTCTTGTGTTCAGTCTTCCCACCGGTCCGAGTAGCTCCCTCCCACATCGGTCTCGCAAGCATAGGCCTTTCCCGGGATACGGAAAATAATGGCAGAATCTTGCTGCATATCAAAGCAAGCGCAAAAGCCTTTTTATCTTTTTTTCCTTATCGCTTTTTTCTAGTTACACAACGTCCCTACCGCCGCTTTCGAGCGAGCATTTGTAAACTTACTCTTTATGAGTATTTACAAAAAACTATCTCCCCCACCCAATTCTGGCCGAAATTCCCAGTCCCACCCAATAGGCATGCTATACGGCCCGGGGAATTTGTATCGCGGGCGGGGTACAAGCATCACTGTTAGCCGCCTCTACTAGAATAGTACGCGTGGTCGAGCTCTAGTTCATGAAAAAGTCGGCTGCACTCTTAAAGTTCCGACACGCCAAACCTCTACTAGTACAGTAAGCGTGGTCAAGTTTTAGCTCATGAAAGCTCCAGCTGCACTCTTAAAGTTCTGGACCGCCCCCCTCACATCACATCACCCCATGCCATGCCATATCTGATCTGATCTGATCTGATTCCGTTTCCGTCTGCATGATTGGGTAGCGCTAGCGATGAGTGCCTTCTCATGTTGGTATTCTTGAGCCTGAGCGAAAGCATAGAGTCGGGCGTAGCGCTCTAAATTGTGAGGTCATTCAGCTGTGAGGCGTGTGATTCCTCCACAAAACCTGTATGGCTGTCGCGCCATGTTTTAGCAAGCGTTCACCCCGATATGGTGAAAGGTGCAGAAACATGGAATATCGATTTCTTGGGCGTTTCGGGAAGGCGATCCCCAGGGTAGCCCGATCTGGATGATGATCAGTCTTCTTGTTTACAAACCGGACCCGGTGACGACTCCGGCGCCGACCTGAGGTGAACAGCGGGAGCCCACCAACTACTTGTTTCAAGGATGAAGCTGCAGCAGGGATCGTGCTCAGCGCGCTTGCTGTGAAAGAACGATCGGTGGGCTCGACGATGAACGGAGAGTTGTTGAAATGCTCGCTGGACGAAAGAGTCAAGTGCTACGCTATGAAGACATCTTTTCTCCGAGAACAAAAACTACCGCCAATGTGAATGTTGCTGTTCATTCCGAGAATACAGAATGGCTGCAAGTTGTGAGAAGTAGACACTGTCCGCCTATGTACGATTTAGGTTTTTTGTTTCTAAACCGAGATTCTGAAGAACAAAGACGAACCAACGAAGACGAAGCACCCATCGCCGTGCGCAGTATTTCATTAAGCACTGGGTTTTTATGCTACACAACGAAAACAGTCATCAAGCACTTCTACTGGCCTACAGGCCTTTGAAAGGTAAAGGCTGAGGCCCCGTCAATGTTCATTAATGTTTGTTCTTTGGCTAATGCCTTCCATGACACGTGTGCACGGTTTTACCAGTGTTGTTGGATCATAAGCGTGCCCCCGTGGTTCTTGGTTCCCTATTTGCAGGGTGCTCCAGGCCGCGGCCCGGGTGGCCCGCGCCGCTTCTGCGGGTCCCGGCCCCCCGGGGCCCCCTTCCTCTCGCCGGCCCCCGGCCGCGGAAAGCCAGCGGACCCGCGCAGTCAGATTTATCGGGCTGCGGAACGAAGTAGCCCCCACCGGGCCCGGCAGGATGGTGGGGCGGGCGGGCTCGTTGTGGGAAGCGCCCCCCCCCCCCCTCGCCGTAGCCGGGGCGCGCCGGCCCGAAGCTAGCGCCGCGGGCTTTGGTTGTATGGCGCGACCACTCCTAGCCGCCCGCGCTCCTGAAAGACACGAGACGAAGGACCCGCGGGAAGGCACACGAACGAGCGCCAAGCGGGTGCGCCACGCCGCCAGGGCCGCGCTGTGACTCAGAGAAAGCTGGCGGAGAAGATCGATGGCAGCAGGGAAAAGCCTGCCCGTTCCTTGCATTGACCTGGCCAGGGGATACAACCAAGGGCCGCCGGCGCCCGCCTTGCTGCCTACCTCGGCCGCGCCCAAGGGAGGTCGGGGCCTTCATTCCCATCCGGATGCCGCCCGGCCCAAAGTGGCTGGGCTCCCGGCCTTTTCCAGACGGCGCACGCAGCTTGGGCCTCAGGACCGGAAGCCGGATGACGCTGCCGGGTTCAACTTGAACAGCGTGAATTTCATGCCCATCGGGCTGCGCCGGCGCCGGCCCCCGACCGGACCCCGACCCCATCGCCGACCGGGCAAAGCTTGGCTGGGCGCGCCGGCCGCGGGCGCTAGCGGTGCCGTAGACTTGGTATATTCCCCAGAAATTCCGGGCGGACAAAGATCGCGGGCGCGACTAGCTAGGGGAGGAAGGGTTGAGTTTTGAGGAGGTCGCTGCGGAGTTCCACTTCAGCACGCAGAAGGAAGGTATGAAAGAAGCAGGGGGCGGCATGCAATGGCGGCCGGCGGGCATGGGGCCTGCCTCCTTACTTTGCCCGGTTGCGCTGCCCGGCTTCAAGGAGTGTCCCCGCCGCGGCTAGGCCTAGGCGGAAAACTACGCCTACAGTAGGGAAAGAACGCGAGCAGTGGCGAAGGAAGAGGCGAAAAGAGAGGAGGTTGGCGCGTTCATCAGCGGAGGAGCCGGGCCGCCCAGTAGGCGGGCCCGCGCAAAGGGAAGAAAAGCCAAACGGCCGGCGACTCTCTCCGGGCCGCCCCGTGTTCTCAGCGAGCGAGCAGCCGGCCCCGCCCGGGCCGCGCCGCGCCGCCTGTGCGGCCGGCCGGCCTCCCTGGCGGGGGGGCCGGGCGCCGGCACTCCTGCCGCGCCCCAAACAAAGAAAGGGGGCGGGGCCGCCCCTTCCCCGGGCCCGTCGGCCCTGGCGTGGCGCCAGCCGGTCCGGCCTTGCACACCCTGGCGGCAGGTTGGCGTCGTTTGGGCCCCCCGCCCGGCGGGAACACAGACACGCAGGCGCGCCCGGCAGGTCTCCCCCGCGCGCCCGGCGCCCATTTATTGGCCTACCCTTCAGTCGCGCGCGCCAACCAGTCGGCACGGGGGGGCTTTTGTTTGGAGGACACGCAGGGGGGTGCCCTTGCTTCAGATATGCACATTGCGCCGCGGCTTTCCTTTGGTGCGTGGCCTGGAGTTTGTGGCCGCCCTTAGTGTTTACGCCGCAAGGTAGTGCCCAGGCGAAGTTGGGTGCTCTGACCCGGGTGCGCCTGAGTGTGGGTGCGCCCTCCCTCTGCCACAGCCCGGCAAGGAGGGTTGACCTGTTTGCGAATTTTTAAGCAGTGCCGGTTTCCGCAGCCGTAAGAATTGGCCGCCAGTGTTTTGCCTCGCCAAAAAAAAGCATGTAGGCCTACGGAAGTGTTCCTCCGTCCATTCTGGATTGATGTCAATTATTCTTGTATTACCCACCTGTCCAAGTAGCTCCCACAGTGGTCTCGCAAGCACAGGTTTCTGGCGGGATACGGAAAATGGTAGCCCCAGAGTCTTGCTCATATCCATTCCGTCTGCATGATTGGGTAGTGATGAGTGCCTTCTTATGTTGGTATTCTTGAGCAAGAGCGAAAGCATAGAGTCGAGCGTAACGCTCTAAATTGTGAAGTCAACACTCAGCTGTAGCTGAAGCTGTGATTCGCGTGATTCCTCCACAAAACGAAAAGCTGTATGGCTGACGCGCCATAGAGCAAGCGTTCACCACGATAGTACTAAGTGGAAGTTGGACTTGGATGGTGCTGGTCGTGCAAGCAAAAGCAATATTTTTCAGTGGAAATAACTCGACGCCACCGTGGTGGTGCCGCCGCCTGCATTAATGACTACTTGCAAAAACGTGGAGTCTGGAACTGGATTTCGTGGGCTTTTCGGGAAGGCGATTCACAGGGTAGCCCGATTTGGATGATGATGAGTCTTCTTGTTCTTCTCGCCGCGCGCTGGCGCTAGCACACCAATCGCAATCCTCGCCGCCCCGCATTCTGGTCGACACAGACGCGGAGCGGATCATGACGAAGCATGAGGACTAAAACAAAGCTAAAACCGGTTTTGCGGGAGCCGCTGTCGATGGAGCTCTGCGAAAGCGACCATGACCGGCGCCACTACAATTTCTACGAATGTGGTGTAGAGGAACAGATCCGAGGAACGAACTTTAGGACAGCTCCTGCCATGCCCATATCGTTTCATCCAGCAGCGGTTCCTAGCTTATCTTCAACTAGCAGCTCTTCAGAAAGAATTTCGGGCACGCCGTCCTCGTCGAGGCGAACACAAGAAGAGCGAATTTTGCCGCGGCGCGGGAACATCAAAATCGAGATCAGCAGCAGACCCACGTCGACCAGTATGAGAAGAACAGTAGCAACAAGGAGAAAAAGCAGGCGAGGATCTTTGCTAGCGAAAACCGTCGTCAAGCTCCTCTCTGCAACAACTGCAACGACGTCTTCAAGCCCTTTTTATTTTTTCGCCCACGCCGCCATGGCCACCGCCCCGATGGTTTTGAACGAATTGGACCGCGCGCTGCACGAGAAGGTGTCCGTATCGCAAGAGAAAAGTGTTACAGTTACACATTGTGTTGCAGGCCAAGCAAGACAGACGAGCTCTGTCATGCCGGATATGCATAGGACCCCTGTGTCGTGCGTGTTTTCCCGTAGGATCTTTGCATTGCAAGTTTTTTCTCTCATGCAGAGAAATTTGTGTTGCTGAATTGCCAACAAATGTGTAACTGTAACACTTTTTTCGTGTGATAGTCCGCCGCGGCCTGCTACTCCCTGCCGCATCTGAAGACCCCTCGGGTGAACGGGAACGTGATTGGTTTGGCGATCTCGGGACAGAACCTAGTCGCTTTAACCGAGGACAACGTGCTGCACTACCGCCCGTTGGTCTCGACAACGAGCACTAGTTCCTCATTTTTGACGAGTACGAGTTCTTCAACCAAAAATCGGGGTGTTCTTGTTGACCAAATGCTGCAGAAAACCGATGTAGACGCCACATTCTCCTTCATGACGAAAGCAGATCTGGGAAAGGGCCATGCGGCGGGAGTGGAGGTATGATTGGTTTTGGTATCATGTTGATCATTTGCTTTATGCATGTCATGATTCTGGAACTGCTAAAACTGTATCTGAGTGTGATTCTGATGTTGCCCTTGTCGTATGATAAAAAAAGTGCATTATTCAAAACTCAGGACGCTGTCGTCGACTCCCCTTTAGTCCTAACCGGTCTCAGTGCCGATCCAGAAGCGCAAAGAATTGTGAAAGACGCTCAACGGACGAGAAAAAGCGTCACTACGCCGCTGGGCATACGGTTGGTCGAATCGGGTCGATCAGTGACTAGTAGTGCAGGAGGAGCTACTTCTTCGGATGCAGCTAGCGCAAATGCCGTCGCGGAAGGACAAGCAGTCTCAGCTGCAAATCCAGACGCAGCAAATAAGGCCTCCTCCTCGGCCGATGCCGCGTCTTCCTCGAAGGTTTCAAGTGCCACTCCTGAGGAAGTGTCAGGTGGTGAGGTCGTTCAAACTGGCCTGCACGTCTACGACCGAGAAGTGCCGGAGAGCCCGTATTTGTATCTCACGATGCTAGAAGACGAGGGCGAGAAGATCATGAAAAGCAGAAGCGTCTCTACTGCGTCAACAATCAGCACGACGAGCCGCCGGCTACTCCGGTACAACACCCAAGATCACACGGCAGAAGAGCTCGAAGCCAGTGCAAATCCCTATGCGGCGAAGATGACGGAAGAACGCGACGCGGCCTCTGCAGACGAAAAAATCACCGCAGGCGTCAACAATCCAGGTTCAGGTACATCAACTAGCAGCAGTTCTTCCTTCGCCCTGAGCAGTGAGGGGCAGCACGTGTTCACCGTGGCAGCGGACGGGGTTCACAGGGACGGGAAAAAATTTCTGTCGATGGTCCCGGCGCCTAGAGCGGTCGCGAGTCTCGACGGTAGTGATTTGCTGAACGGTTGTGCGGTCGTGAAGAATTTGCGTTCATTTTTATGCGCTTGTATAAGTTTGAGTACTTAAGGTTAAGTGCTAACAAACAGTAAGTTTTGTTTTGGTCCTGTTGGGGTTGGAAGCTGCAAAAAATGAAAATCCTGTTGAAATCCCAAGGTTACCTCTTCGCAGTGGACAAGGAAAATTCGCTGCACATCTACAAGACCGATAGTACGTCCGACGAGGTGGAGTCCCTAGTTTCCGAAGCGGAGAAGGATCTCCGGCGGCCCAGTATTGGAGCGACGGTGCCCGGAGGTGCGGGTATTTCGGCGAAGAAATACAAGGCTGCTGGTGCAGTCGCGACTGCTGCAAAACCAACAGCTACTTCATCTTCTAGCGGTGGAACAACTCCATCAAAGCCGGAAGTGATCCTGGCAGAACAGAAGTTTACAGCGGAGACCGCCGGCGAAGCTGCAGCAGCAGCTTCGGGCGGGGGAGCAATAGCAAAGAAGGAAGAGCAGGCCAGGTTGTCTGTGACTTCTACAGCGCTTGGTTTATTTGCTCTGGGTTCCACCTCCCAATCGCAAAAATCTCCACCAGTCATGATCTCCGACGTCCCTGGTGAAACATCAAATCCAAACGTCGTCGCCATCCAGCCACACCACTACCTGGACGCTGGGTTGAGTCCTGTGTCGACGACCACGTCCTCCAAGGCGGGGACGACCGCGAATGACCCCGCAGCTGCGGAGGTGGGAGGTACAACTCTAGCTGGTGTAGACAAGATGAACCAGGACCACGATCAGGTCGCTCTCCTCCGCGGCAGCAAGATTTCTGCCAAGAAGATGAAAGGGTGCTTCAAGACCTGGGGGGAGGTGTTCATCTACCTCATCACATTCACCCTGGTCGACCACTCGACGGACTGCGAACCTGGAACCCCGGTTGCCGAAGCGTTGGAGCACGGGGTGGTGCCGGAAATCAAGTTATGTATTGCAAATATGTCTGGGTCTGGAAACTGCTAGTTCGTGCATAGTGGGCGCACTGGGTTCTTACGCGGCCACGCATTACAAGTTTCTGAGCTCCTATGTCGTGTTGCGCTTCCCGCATGAAAAACTGCGTTTTTGCATGACAGGTAAGAGGCTGCTTTCCTGCTCATGCATGACAGATTCAAGAGTCATGCTGGACAAGCATGACAAACTTGCATTCTTCCAGACCCAGACATTTTTGCATTTGGTACAAGTTTTTGCGGACAAACTTGACACAACCCACAACCACGCCAGCGCCACCGGCAAGCGAAGTGAAAGCGCTGATTATCAAAGCGGTGAAAAGTAGGGACTTTGCGTTGTCACCGTGATATTGGCGCACAGTTGTACCATGTAAGTAGAAGTACCTGATTGATGTCGACTTGTGTGTATGGGATGAATTCGCCAACAAAGATGAGACCCTCTTTGGGTTCCATCAAACTAGAGGCTGTGTTTTTCCTCTCAGATCAGATTCCTATATTTCCGCGATCAATCTATACGTACGGTGATGCAGCGCCAGTTGACTGTCAGAAACCCCATTTCACCTTTTTCATACCTGTGCACGACGCGCTGGTCCGTTGGAAGCCAAAGAAGGAGGATGAGGAGGAAGCCACGACCGCGGCCCCCCGAGAGGGCGAATCTACTGCGGGCGTTGGAGAAAGCCCCGCTGGCGGGACGAATTCGTTCCTGTTTTTTCTGCAGGTAGTGGATACCACGACCAAGGCGGAGAGTGGCAAGAAAGTCGTGGTAGAACAGGACCAGAATCAGCTGGACAAGCAGATCTCCTCGTCTTCTCCTTCCATCTCTGCATCTTCCGCTGGGGACAGTGGGAAGCCCTCGGAAGTGAAGTCAGATCCGGATAAACGACCCCTGATGTTGAAATCAAAAACTACGAATCCCGCTGTGTTAGAAGTACCTGCAGCGCCTCCCGTACCAGCACCTTCCTCGTTGTCGTTGGCAGCTGCTTCGCCAACAGCGAAGAAAACTGCCGCCAGTACAGCTGTTTCATCTGCAAGAGACGAGACACAGTCCGGTGGTGTCGCAGAAGCTGATGCTCAACATCCTGCAAAGTCCGAACTGGCAGTGGAGCTGGATCTTGCGAAAGATCGAAAAGAACCTATGGAACTAGCCGGCGCACCGGGCGGGGCGGGAGCTCTTTCACACGATGCTGCGCCATCAACAGCGGCTGAGGCAGCTGTAAAGGTAAAAAACACTGCAACAGCGGAGCAGGCTGAAGCAGGAGGTGCAACTGCAGCGACCACGGCTAGAAGTGCGATCATGAATGAGGACAAGGGAAGCCTAAACGCTTCCACCACCTCATCCTCCTCCTTCAGCTCTGCTGGCGAGCAGGCCAGCAGATTAGCAGCGCACCTGGACGAGCTTGCGGCGGGCTTGCAGGACGCGCAGCAGCATATCCCACGAAAAAACTGCTTCACTGTGATGATTTTGCAAGATCTGCATCACAAGTTTGTTACGCATGACACTGAAAATTTGTCATGCGCACTTCCCAAGGGAAAACACGCTGGAAAATCCAATGCCTTGCATGTGTAGCAAGACAAAAAGTTTTGTGTTCCATTTTCTGCATCACAGGTTCACAGTGAAACAGTTTTTTCTTGCGATACAGCAAGCGGGAGATTTGTTACGACAGTCCAAGAACTATCAATCTCTGGATGACTGGCGGTTGCAGCATCGGGTTATGCTTTGCAAAAGCATCGCACTCGTATAAATGCATTACAAATTTCCTCAGCATGAGAAATAAAATTTGTAATGCGGATTTACCTTAAGAACAGGACTTGTAATGCATGACTGCAATACGTATACGAGTGCGATACTCTTGCACAGGATACGGGTTTTGCTGGGGCAACGACACGGCGGGATCAACATGGGGGTTCTTTCGGGAGAGCAAGAGAAAGCCGGAACAAGTAGTAGCGAAGTAGAAGAAGCGCCAGCGCCAGTTCCTTCAGCGGCCCGAGTAGGAGGTGAAGTTCTTGCACTTGGTACTACGAGTCAGACGCAAGCTACTGCAGCATCGGTTGCAGCTTCGACAACAACAACGGAGCAGGAAAGCAAGGTGATGAAAAAGGAGCACGAGCAGGAACCGCGTTTAACAACTTCAAGGTCGGAAACAGCACCGGCAGTACGACCTGAAGTAGTACCAACATCTGCTGCGGCAACTACACGCACGGAAACCAGCAACCCGGAAAAATTGGAGTCCACCAGTAGAGCAGGTGAGAACAACATTTCATCCCCAGCACAGCTAGAACAATTCCAACAGCTCCAACAACCCCAACAACTCGCGGAGTACAAACTTCCGAAGCTGCATGAAGTCGACCCCGATGTGATGAAAAATCCGGAAGACTTACCAGAAAACGACAACCGCATCGCGCTAACCGCAGCGAGGAGCGGCGCGAAAGATTTTACGGTGTTTCTGGGCAGTGGGCAGGATGTGTTTCGCTTCGACGTGTCCTTGGGGGACAGCGGATTGCCGTGCCCGGTGTGAGGAGGGGAGGAGCTCGACGTTGTACAAAGAAGAAAAAACTACCGACCGATTGGAAACTTCTGCATCAGCAGATCCAGATCAACACAAGTTTAAGTTACAACTTTCGTATTTCAACAATACTCTGACCTTGATAAAATTTCTACTTCTTGATACCAAAAAATAAGAATACAGTTCACCAAGCGCAAGCCCGATCGGCAAAGGCCTGCTTCATGTTTCTTTGAATTCACAACTTGAGTCAATCTTACACCGAACATGGATTGTTGTCGTTTCCGCATAGCAAACCTGTACAATTTGAACACAGCCCCTGGGTTTTTTTACGAATTAAAATAATCCAAGATTCAAAAACACGACAGACATGATTATGAGCACGACCGCTGGGGGTTGCAATGTACCTGTAGAATTTCGTTTATGTGAAGCCAGGAAAAGGAATACGCTGAATCATCTGATGTAGCAATTGAGAGGACTCATCTGGGCTTTTCTTTCAACATCGACGTCGTAGTAATTCTAATTTTGTTCCTCGTCGTTGTCTTGCGCCGGCGTGCTTTATTTCGACCGTCGTGTTGGTTTGTTTGTTGTCTTGAACGACCTGCTTCTTCCTTTGAGAGAATTTCATCAGCATCAATCTTCCCTGTAGACAACCCTGTCTACTTGCTCTTGTCGCAAGCGACTTGCGCGGGGAAAAACCGCCAGCACGCACAGTTCAGAAAAACAGTTCGGTGTTGTACTTGTGAAAGATCTTTCATCTTCTTGTGCTCGAAACTTCTACCTAGAAATTTACGAATTCCACCTTGAGCTTCTTGATTACACCATAATTCTTGTAAAAGTATAAGTAGAAAACAAGAAATGCCACCGGTGAAAGAGTGCATCACGGTCCACCTGGGCCAGGCAGGTTGCCAGGTCGGTCTGCAGGTATGGGAGCTGATGTGCGAGGAGCACGGCATCCTCCCCGATGGTACCCGGGACGAGATTATGCACTGCAAATATGTCTGGGTCTGGAAGGTTGGAACTTGTCATGCTAAATGTGAATCATGGGAAAGATTTGTGTTGCATGATTACCAAAAGCTGTCCACGTGTGACCTAATCTTCGAGATGCAATTTCTCATGCAGAATAGGCATCGTAGAACTCTCACAGAATCTCTCATGCTATGTCCTACATACCAGACCTCATGGGTCATGGAAAACCTGCATGACAAGTCTGGCATTCTTCCAGACCCAGACATATTTGCAGTTGATAGAGATTCACGGCGAATCGCTCCCCGATGACCCGCTCAACTCCTTTTTCGCCGAAACCGCTATCACACGGAAAAAAGGGTCATATTTGTAATGCAAGAATAAATACACGAAAAAGTCTGTGTTGCGCATGATCCACAACAGCATGGCGTGGGGCATGCTTCTGTGTATTTATTTTGGCATTACAAATTTTTCTCTGGGATGACCGCCGCTGGCCAGCATGTGCCCCGCGCGGTGTTCATGGATACCGACCCCGCAACCAGGATCGATTTATTGAATGCCTCGCACGGGAAAACCTTCCACCCAGATTCGCTCCTGGCGTACAAACAGGACTGCCGGTCTATGAATTGCAATAGTTGCATCGTGGTGCTAGTAGTAAGTGCATTACAAATTAGCTCGGCATGACAAATGATGGAATTTGCCATTCGGATTTACCCTGAGAACGAGATTCGTAATGCATGACTGCGACTATTAGTACTACGCGTTTGCTCACCATACGGTCCAACTTTTTTGAAGGGCGGTCCGCTTCGAACCAATACAAAATCAAGGAGTCGGTGATGGATGCCGTGCGAAAGGAGGTGGACAAGTGTCAGTCGTTACAGGGGTTTTTTGTCTTCCACTCCTTCGGCGGCGGGACCGGGACCGGTGTCGGCGTGGAAGTGCTCGACACCCTCCGTTATGGAATACAAATTCATTCCGGTACATGTGCAAACTGCATGACAAATTTCTCTAGCTTGGAGTGATGTCAACAAACTTGTCATGCTGACTAAGCTCGAAGGCCGCGGCAAGTTTTGTCACACAGAAGCAGCATTTGGACGTCACGTGTACGGGAACAATAGATTTCCTCTCAATACCCGGGCGCAGTTCGCGAAAAAGGTGATCATGCAACCGCTCGTCTACCCCTCGCAGGACTACGTGTCCTCGGTCGTCGAGCCCTACAACTGCATGTTCGCAACGGCCTACACCCGGGAGAACGTCGACCTGGCGATGGTGTTGGATAACCAAGCCGCCTACCGCATGTGCCGGGAGAACTTGAAGGTGAAGCACCCGACGTTTTTGCATTTGAACCGAATTTATGCATTGCAAAAATTTAGCAAAATTATCGTACTAGTAGCAATTGCATCACAAATTAGCTCAGCATGAGAAATGGGGTTTGTCATGCTGTTTCGCCTCGGTATAGCAATGGAGATTTGTGATGCATGATTGCGACTACTACGTAAGTGCGATGCTTTTGCGTTGCATATGATTATCGCCCAGATGGTGTCTGCCGCGACCACCTCGCTGCGGTTCGCCACCCAGTTGAACGCGAGTCTGGACGAAGTGGTCACGAATATGGTTCCCGAGGTGAAGTTCCGCTATCCGATTTTGTCCTTATCGCCGGTGTATCCTGTGGAAAAGTATCATACTCGTATTGCAATCATGCATTGCAAATCTTTTTCTTAAGGTAAATCAGCATTACAAATGTCATTTCTCATGCTGAGGAAATTTGTAATGCATTTGTACGAGTGCGATACTTTTGCGATGCATACGGTGCGCCACCCGTCCCGGGCAAAGCACGAGAATTTCACGACGCGGGAATTGATCACGGACCTGTTCGAGGAAAAGAACTTCCTCGCGGATATCGGGCCGGGGAAATTGAAACAGAACCGGTACTTGGCGTGCTCGATTTTGATGCGCGGGTTCGACCGATTGAAGAAGGAAGATTTGCAGGACCACTTAACCGAGGTGATTGGCGACGGGAGCGAGGATGCGGAAGGATACGTAAGAGAATTTGTCTTTATGAAGTTTTTGTAGCATGACAGATTGTTCATGTAGTTCGTGCTGTCATACAAGACATCTTCTTCATGCGTGCAGCATTATATTTCTACATGCAGAAGATGACAAATATGAATATCAGATCCACCTGGCTATTCAACCGTTGGAGTGCACGGCTGCGATTCAGGAGCTCATGAACCCCAGCGGTGGGCACCGGGAGGGCTTGAAATTTCTGCCGTGGTTGGGACATGGTGGCTTCAAAATCGGAGCAGTTGCGGAGCCCCCACACGTGCCGGAAGGTCCTTCTACTTACTCATCATGTTGTTGTATCAGCATGACAGAATGAATCACTATTACTTACACACACTTCAAATGATGCGCATGACAAATGACATGATGAAAATATTGAACCTACATCCTACTCGCAGAAGGTTTCATGGCGAAATCCGATCGTCAGGGCGCTTTACTCGCGAACACCACCGCGGTGAGGACACCGAGTCCCCGCGCTGACCTAGGGCTTTTGCCCCTGGGCCGTACGGTGTCCGGGAAGCGCCCAAATCTGGCCCCCAGGTCATGACGCGGGGACCGGGTCCCCGCGCTGACCGAGGGCGCCTTTCGTCCCTGGGCCTTGCCAACGGGGCCCGGGAAGCTCGACAGGGTGGCGGCTCGCGTGACAAACTGGAGCCCGCCATTGCACATCTCGCGTGGCGAGGTCCCAAAGTGTGTCCGGGGTGTGTCCGAAAGTCTGCCCGGGGTGTGTCGGAAAGTCTGCCCGGGGTGTGTCTGGGGTATGTTCGGACTTTTTGCCTGGGGTGTGTTCGGGGGTCTGTCTGGGGTGTGTCTGGGGTATGTTTATACCCCGCCTGTTGCTTTTTCGCCAAAAAATTGTAATCCGCCCGTGATTGACGGCCATTTGCATACCCCTGACACACCCCCGAACATACCCCCGAACATACCCCTCGCCTGCATTTTTGACCAGCTGCTGCAGTTTAGATAGTAATGTTGACATGACGAAAATACTCAATCTACTGCCCACTCGCAGGCTTCATGGCGAAATCCGATCGTCAGGGCGCTTTACTCGCGAACACCACCGCTTATTTTTAGGGCGTTCTCTCCCTGTGTTGTTTAGATAGCTGATTTCACTTCGCCTGGCAAACTACCAACCATTCCCAGACTCCCCGCCCATAGTCTGGCAAATTGAAACCATTCCCAGGCGCGGGGCTCCAAAGGCTCCGAGATTCTTTGCTTTGTGTCTCCCCTGGTTGTTGTTCCAGCGTGCCGCGGTTTTGTGTAGTTGTTCTACCTCACCCGATCAAGCTGTGCGCTTGGCGAGCGCTGTTGGTTCGTTGTTGTTTGTGTCCCGTTTTCCCCGTTTATTGCCGCCCGAATAGTATGACTCCACCTACATGAGTAACACACTATCACTATGAGTGCTCAACTCCCGGCGGTCGCGGAGCGACCGCCCGTGCTAGATATCACTATGAGTGCTCAGTGATGTCGCCTCCCAGTTGCTGCCGTGCCTCCGAGCAGATTGGCCGACTTTCGACGCAGTGAAGTTTGGTGAGAGGATCATACGAAGCGCTGCGCTTTTCTCTTCTTTGGGTTTTTTTTGCTAGCCCTGTACATCTACAAGCACAGACACAGTGGCGCGTCCTATAATCGCCTCTGATTTTGATTTACTCCTGTTTCTCTGTTGTGACTTACATTCGCTTTCCCATAGAATTTTGTCTCTTCAATAGTTATAGTATCCTTGTAAGTTTCTTTGCTAGCTCCTTTCTTGTACTTGTAGCGGTGTGAATTTGGAACTGCAGCCCACGTACAATACTTATTCGCTAGCGTTTGTTATCCCAATTAACGGCTCCAGTTGGCGCTGCGCCACCTGTGCTGCATAGCTGGGCCGCATATGCTAAAGCAGCTAGGCTTAGGACTTAGGTTCCCCGCGTCCTGTGGTTTTCTTCGCTTCTGTCCTCGTGTTGTCGTGTGTGAAGTTTCGTCGCGTCGTCGCCGCTCGGTTGTTTCTCACATCGTGTGCGCCCGGAGGACCCCCCACCCGGACTCCCGGCAGCTCGGTTGCCACCTGGGCGTAAACAGTGCTCCTGTTACTGCTCTCGGTCTGCAGTGCCAAAAGGCCGGGGATTCTACCTAGTCCACGGTCTGGGGAGTTTTTTTGGAGTGATCACCACATCATATATCCGCCTCCCCTCACTGTTTCTGGACCGGGTCCGGCGGGGACTCCAGAACCTGGCCTTGTCCTGGAACTGAGTTGAGCATTGCTCTTGCGATCTTCACTTCACTTCACTTCACTTCAGGTTTCATGGCGAAATCCGATCGTCAGGGCGCTTTACTCGCGAACACCACCGCGGTGTATCCTGAGTAAAAACGTACCCACACCAGAGTCAGGATGAGGATTTTGCAACACAAACCTAGGAGTTTTGTGAGTCACGCATGACAAGTTGCGCTATGCAGTGTAGTGCAGGTTAGCAAGTGCAGCCGCATCACAGATTCATCTGCTCATCCTGTTCACAGCATCACAAATTCCAAAACACGATTGGAAATGGCTCTCATGGGGGGTGCGCGTCACAAGTCTTTTTGTCTTTGCAAATCTGCATTACAGCTCTGGTGTGGGGACGTTTTTACTCAGGATACGGCGAGGACACTGTTTATGCGCACGTACCAAAAATTTCTGAAGCTCTTCTACCACAAGGCCTACGTGTGGCAGTTCCTGGAGGCAAACGGCGAATTGGAAATGTTCTTCGAGGCCAAGGAGCGCATGCACGACATGATCGCATATGCAATACAAATTTCCCGTACATGTACAAGATGCATCACAAACTACACCAATTTGGAGTGTAAAACTTGTCATGCTAAACTAGGATCGAAGCCAAGTTTTGTCATGCAGAAACCGCAATTGTACGTGTACAGGAAATTTACTGTCGATATCGCAGAATACGAGGACATTCTCTACCGCACGTGCGAGCAGGAGCGAGTATCAAAGGCAAAAATGTCTCCTGGGTCTGGAAGATGAATACGAGATTTGTATTGCTGAACTCTTATGCCCCTAGACTCTGTGATGCATGTTGTTGGATAGCGTCAACCTCCTTCTGTAATGCAAAAACGCGATTTCTCATAACCACTCAGAAATTTCTGATGCGTAGCTGCGTGTTGGAGTCTGTTTGCGACGCATGTGTCAGCATCACAAAGTTCCAGACCTGGACATTTTTGCATTTGATAGCGGGTGACGGACAACAATTTAACCCTGGTCGGCGCGCGACCCGGTGGCCCAGGTGCCGGACCAGCAGGGGAGGCCGCGGCGGGAGCATAGAGGCCGCGGGAGGTTTTTGTTTGTTATAGTGGTGATACAACCGACGATCGCGATGCAGCTCAGGTTGTACTAGATTCAAAATTGAATGCGATCGATTCAAAGAATGCGAAGCTACTTGTGCCCCCTATGTGGTTCTCCTGGTTATTTCAAGAAGAGATTATAAGTCGACACAATGACAACGTCGTTTTTTTGAAATTGAAAAAACACAGGGCACAGTAGACAACCTTTTTGGTAACAAGAAACAACCTGAAATAAACCAATATGGCATTTGGAATTCCCAGATGATCACACGGTGACCCAACAAAGCTCAAGGGAATACTAATTTTCATCGTTGCTACTACATTACAACCCGAAATCAAGGATTCTAGGACATTGTCACAGCAACATCGATTGACAACTACAAGTACCGATGGCTACTATTACATTTTGCGAAAAGATCATAAACGACACTACGACTTCCTATTGTATCTACTTTTGAATCAAGCTTGTTTTGTAGAAGCTTAGAACACGGCGATACCGATAGCGAATGATAATGAATTTTATTACAGTGCTAGCAAGCGTTTTACGACTATGGTCAAAGTGCCACACTTTTACAAAGAAATCGTCTGCATTCAATATCTCGCGCTGCTTATCTTGCGCTGAAGTCGAATTTCATTTTTCACGCATGTTCTTTCTTTCGCCGGTCCAGCTCTGCGCACAAATGAAGATCTTCAGCCGATCTCATAATTTTTGCTTATGTGAAGATGATCCAAACTTAAACCACGAGCAAAGATATGTGGTAACTAGAGCTATACCACCGCCAAGTGCTAAACCAACCGGCTGAAGAGTAAAATCAAAGTGGCTCTTGCTCGGGATGACAGGGCGCCTCACAACACACAACCAAAAACAACTATGCTCGTATGATATTTCAAAATCGCTGCCTATGCTTACGCTTTAGAAGTACTGCTTTGAGTTATTCGACTCGTAGTTGTATCCAAAGAGGAAGCTTTTCGAGCGTAGGCAACAGAACTACAAGTTCCAGATGTGCTAGCTCACTATCATCTCCGCTTGTTGCAAAAATTGCAAGAGGCAACGTACGCTGCTCCTCTGGCTCATCCCTTCTTCTAGCACCATCAAAGCGACAAGGCCCACAGGAGGCGGCCAGGATTGGAGCGTCAGCGACTTGTTGCGCTGCACCGAGGGCAACAGCATCCACTCATCTCCACGAGTCGCCCAGCAAAGAACTTCACCACTTCTACCCCTCAGCGACATTTATTTCCACTATGGCTGCGGGTCTCAGCTGGGACACGCTCGCCGCTCAGGACGACGTAGCGACCAGCTGTGTGATTGATTTACTTTGTATCCACAGTAAATTTCCCGTACACGTACAGATGCGGTCTCTGCATGACAAAACTTGGCTTCGATCCTAGTTTAGCACGACAAGTAGTATTCCCTCCAAATGGATGAAATTTGTGATGCATGTTGTACTTGTACGGGAAAGATAATTTGCATTTCATACTTTGTGAGGATGGCTGCTTCAAAAAGCTCTCCGATGCGGAGATGACGGACATTCTTTCCCGCGACCAGAAAGACGGCGACGCGCTGGCCGCCGGAATAAAATTCGCGCAGGACAAGGGAGTATTGCCGGCGCTGAAACCAGACCCGTACACGCAAATCAACGTTTTGGGAAAGTCAGCAGATATAGTTGCGGAAGAGATATTGAAGGCGATTGGGGAAGGAGCGGATAAAGGTATAGAAATAGAAAGAGTAATAGAGGCAGATCAAATACAACTTGTGATGCAGTGTGTGTAGTGTCGCCGTGTAGCAGGAAATTACAATTTTTCATGCATGAATGCAAAAATGAATTTCACCTCCACCGCCAACTGCAGGTTGTGTCCTGGTTCTGGTTGGTCTCTCCGGCACGGGAAAGGGCACCACAGTAGCGAAGCTCCAAGCAAAGTTAAAATCTGCGGTCACCTGGTCAAACGGTAACCTTTTCCGGTGTCTTACCGTGCAAGCCTGTGATATGGAAGTGTCAGAATTGAAATCGACGGAGTTGAAATGATTTGTCATGCATAAAATGCATGACCCGAGGTACGTGCGTTGCAGAGCAGGCAAGTGAGGCCGATTGTGAGCCTGTTTGAGGTTAGAGCTCGAGCTGCTAAAGTAGCATGAGAAAATCGGTCTTCTTTGCCTAAACAGCATGACAAACTGGATTTAGGGACCACCAAAATTTGTCATGCGCCACTTGAAAACTGGGTTCCAACTGGCATCCATTTTATGCATGACAAATCATGCAGATTTTCCACGACCTGGTGGCCGAACCATCTGCGGTGAGGTGCCCTTACAGGTTGTGTAGTGGTTTCGGTCGGTTTAGCATGACAAATCATTTCAACTTTGTCGATTTCAAACCTGACGCTTCCATATGTGACTTCTGCGAGAAGAACGGCGTCGCGGCAATAGACGAGGCGTTGACGGTATCCTGTGCAAAAGTATTGTACCGGTATTGCAATCATGCATTACAAATCTTTTTGTTAAGGTAAATCCGCATTACTTACAGATTTTATTTCTCATGCTGAGAAAATTTGTAATGCATTTATACGAGTGCGATACTTTTGCAGAACATAGACGGCGGAGAACCTCGATGGCTGGATGAAGAATCTGAAATTCGGAAAATTCAACGAGAAATGGGACATACAGCTCACCAGAGCAGATGGTAGAAAAGTCATACAGATACATTCATTTATTTCATCGGTCGGGCACTCTGTTTAACATACATTAGCTTTAAGGTGTAAGTTGTAGTCATTTGTCATCTGTCATAAACACTTCCGACTACGCTATCTTCTGTCATGCTGGTAAACTTCACTGAAATTGTTTTTCAGGTTCTCAAGTCCTCGTTTCTGAAACGTGCAACACGCTCCTGAAAGAGCCCAGGATCGGCCAGAACATTCCCAGCGTCGCGAAGAAATCGCAGGGAGAAGTCGTGAAATTTGCCGCAGACGCATGCCAGCAAATGGGGCAGGACGGGTAGTTCAAAAACTTTTCTATGTGATTTCGTTTCTTCAGTTTCCATTTCTTGTTGTGTACCCTGCATGGGATCCATTAAGAAGTATGTGAAATGATAGACGCAAGAACAGCGACAAAACGTTATGATTTGCGCGGTCGGGCAGCACGAGATCTACACAAATAAAGAATCCGAAAACATTAAGGTCTGTCGTCCTGGTGGAGGGCCGAGAAGAGACCGTGAATTTCATTCCTACGCCCCACCGCTTCTGCCTCATGATGTCAGACACAACTCTGATCGGCAAGAGGCGGGCAGCACAGCGCGTCCTGGGCGAAGCGCTGAAGGGCAAAGACGCATCCAGCGACGTCGCAGACGCACTAAAAACGTGCGTCGCGACACTGGCTTAATACTAGTTGCCGTGGCGTCGGCGTCGACCTTGTGGACAGGCGCTTTGTGCTCGTCGTCCGGAATACTGTAATTCGCAAGAGCGGAAAACATGTTCGCAGCCGACGCTTGCCTAGAAAACTTTTCTTTTCATCTTTCTACCGTCACGAATACCGTACAATTTTTTGCAGACGGCAACAAGTGTCGAAACCGAAAGTAGATGAATTTTCGTAGATTAGCTGCCATCAGCCACCTCCAAGTAGTGCCTACCATGCTGCTTTTCACCACGACCACGTCCACGCTCACTGTCACTTAAGACAAGCATAATTCTCCTCCGCTTTTCAGTACTTACTTTTGTCTGAAATAAGACTGAGACTTTTTGAATGCATTGCGCACATGATTTCTGATAACCACCAAAGCTGCAAGCGGATTATGTAGTACTCCTGCGCTTGTTTTGGTGTGCTCAGATCAACGAGTACGTACACCTTGATGTATACGGAATATAAATCAGAATGCTATAAAACAACAAGTGTCAACAACGAAATCGTACTTCGTACAAAGCTCCACTTTACAAAAATACAGCGACGTTCTCAAGTAGATCGTCCAAGCGAGAAATCCAAATCTAAAATCTAAGCGGCCAACGTTGTGGTCGAGACGTATTCAATTTTTTTCAAATTGCCAGCGAGATATCACCGCCAGGCCAAATTTTCGCTGCAGAAAAAAAGTTGGGTATAGAAGTTGTTTGTATGGACGATCTACTTGTTCGTGCAACAGACACACGACACGCAGCGATGAAAGTACTTGCTTCTAGTATTCTAGGTGCTCCTCAGTATGGTTCTTACCTATCAGAAACGTGTTGCTCGAAAAGGTAGGTTCGTGCGCTCGTCGTGTTCGTAACTACTGAGAAACCAGAAGATCTATACGTATTGGAATATCGCAAATACCGTTGGAACTGCCTCAACATCGTTCGTACGACTATATATATATATCTTGCACCCCGTTTCTGTCAGTCACCGTCTCTGTCAGGACGAGGTGACACCAAGCAAGCAACTTTTTTCAAACAGCCTCGAAAGTGTGTGGTTGAACTTGAGCCACAGAGTATCTCTTTGGCTAGGACAGATGGTGCCCACAGCCACACCAGCAATACAAATACAAATTTACAGGTGGTCGTTTTTAAACTTTAGTTGTAGTAGCATGGTCCGTCGTGACATTGACCTTGACGATGGATGTCGCGTCCGACACTTGGAGGTCGTCAGAATGAAATTTCTAGTATATGAGCGAAATCTCATACCCTAATCCTGACGTGCACCTAGAGTAGTAGAGCTGCGCCAACTGATAGCAAGATGAACAAAACAAGCATATGATGGGGCGTACAAATCGATCACCACACGCATTAAAAATAAAACATTGAAAACTTTTACCCGATGTTTAGCCTCGAAGATCGCATCATTCATCGAGGCAGTGAGATTTTCATTTGTGGCACCACAAAACAATCTTAATCTACTGCTGAATCAAGAAGAGTAGCAAAACTATCATACTTTTTTGCGAAAGCGATCCTTGAAAATCAAAATGAAAGTCGAACACAGATGAAGCAAGCGTCGAATAAACTCCTCTAGAGCCAAGTAGGTACACTATGAGCGAAAAGTAAATATACAGCCCTCAATCACACGAAAAAGAATTTTTTCACCAACTTTGTTGCAATCGCGCTCGCGTTATACGGAAATTCAAATTGCATCAAGTTTGCAGGAGCCCTCGAGGCTTCCGACGTCCATTGCGGCGAGAAAGAAAAAATCTGATCAGAAGATGGAGATAAATGATGTTGGTAGCGGGCTACATGCAGAAAGCTATTGACATCGCTCACTTCATCGAGGGAATGTTTTTACGTAGAGGACGCACTTACAACCGCATTGCTAGGGAAGATGAATGCAAGTCGTGCTGAAAAGCAGAAGATCAAGCTCGAACTATTTCGTGATTATGCAAATACGAATGAGGTGGAACAGAGCGCAAGAAATTGAAAGAAATACCTCAATAGATACAACTCGTCCACCACAAAATGAGAATGAATAGCTCCGCTTGCACTTAGTCTGCAAGTTGGGTCGTTCGCTTGAATTTGAAAGTAGAAGTAAAAATTCCACCCCGTATCAAAGTATAGGCAACATCGATTTTTTCCCTTGACATAGTCGTACACCGCGCAGCCCCGTCTCGTTTAGGCGAACAACTCAATGAGAACCGAAAGCCGATTATTTTTATGTAGTTGTAGGCGACTTCGGACCTATACCTACCACAACGCCTCAATATCATGCACCTCATCATAAACTCGACAGGGTCTCATCAAATTTCAGCGTCGATGGTTCGGCCTCGCCATAGGCACCGAATCAGTTCGATATGGAAACTATTCGCGGCTCGCATTCCACAAAAATAAAGCAAACCCCCCTAGCATACCTTTAGTGCCATCACTTTCATATTCATTTTAACGCTTGTTATTGTTTTCTTTTTCCCTTTGAAAACACTAGCACTTACGGCATTATATTATCGCCCTAAACTACTACTACGTGCCTCCAGGGGAGGTATCGACCGATTTTCACGTAACACACACCGCTCGAGTTTTACTTGTATGTTGAGTACCCAAAACACAACAACAGCTTTTTTTTTGGCGCTGTTTTGTCGTAGGTAGGATACAAACATAAACCACTCTTCAATAAACAGCAAGAAGAGGAGACAAGTTCGAGGACTATATCGTTTTCGAGCTCATCATCCTAGTGGTAGTACCAACATCTACTAGAGACAACACTTGCTGTACGACTTTTGAGAACAAGAAGCATCAACCTATGGACCTTAGACAAGTGTCAGCGCGACCACTCTGACATCTTGTTGGCCCACACTCACAGTGAGTACTAGCGACCTCGGCATCAGCATCCTCGGCAGAAGTTCGCGAAGACCGTGCAACTTTTCTTTCGGCGAGCGCGGCATCACGGCTTGCAGTAGACCGAGGAGGACCTCTACAGCGGTTTTTTTTTCTCTACTTCCCCACTGACGCAGCTGTTTTCAAAAGAAAGCACTGTCGTTAACATTACGGGGCTTGGACGATTTTGTTTTCGATTTCTACTACACATAAGAACTACTCCGGGCATTAAGTTCATTTTTACAACAAGAAAGAGCTCCGGAAGGAAAAAGCTAGCAGCAAATTGCTTCGCACTAAAACCAACGTAAAGCGGCGTATTCGTGTCGTCGTGAAGGAGGATTATAGTACGCGCGGCGAAGATTTTTTGAAGAAAACTACACTTTTTACAACGATCGCAAGTAGAACACCAACCGGCAGGCATCAACCGGCAGGATGTCTGTGATCGAGCAGAACAACCCGCCGGATGATCTTCCGAGCGATTTGGAGGAAAGCGAGGTATGGAAAAAAAATGCTTTTTGTCATTCATGTTTTCAATACACGTGCGGTGCTGTTTGTGTTTGTCATGCATATTTTCAAGGGAGTATAACTATAGGTAGCGCATCTTCAATCACAAATTGAAATTACAACCCGACATATTTATCACAGGAGCCGTACTTCGGTGGTGACGAGATTGTGGTCGAGGAAAACAACCAGCAGGACGAGGAGGAACCTCCGCAAGAAATCTTTGACGACGACGAGGAAAATAATATTTTCAACCAAAACAGTTCCAACGAGGAGCAAAATGTTGGTGGGAACGAGGAAGACGAAGAGGGTGATGGAAATAATCGGCATAATAGTAATGACTCAGCGGGGAACGCGAATGACGGGGAAAACGAAGGTCCAGGAAGACCACCGCGTCCTTCCGGCCAGCCGTCCGCGAAAAAGATGGCGAGCAACAAACGGTCGGCCCCGGCGGCGTCGAGTTCGGAGTTCGATGATGACGGAAATAACAACCTTGATGCTGAAAACACCGAGGAAAACCGCGCGCGGCGTTTGCAGGAACGGCAGGAGACGAAGCACAAGTTGATGGTATCAAATGCAAATATGTCTGGGTTTTGGAATCTGTAATGCTGAATGTTCATGATTGAGTGCGCCTGTAAGTGAAGTGTAGCATGACAAATTTTTCAAGCGCTTTCTGATGCTTAGTGCGCATTACAAACTGCGACGCTTCATGACGAAGTTGTGGTGCCTTTGTTGCTTTTATGCAATACAAATTTTTCAGGAATTGTGGACACGCAATACAGATTCTTAACCTTTCCATGATACCCAGACATGTTTGCAATTCATAGATGGACCGTCTGTACGAGATTCTGGACGTTGTCGAAGCGGGAGTAGAACCTTCTACCAGCGGGAAGCGCCCGTTGAAGCAACCAGATCGGTTGCTGGCCGACGACGAAGTCCGGAAACTCCTACCTGGGTTGACCTACTGGCTCCACCCGGAGCGGCTCACCGAGACCAACCAGGTGATATTGTCTGCAGCAGGGGTCGGTGGAACGGCTACAGCAGGAAGTGCTGGTGGTCCTCCTCGGAAGAAGTCCTCTATTGGTGGAACCAAAGATGTTGAGAAACAACCCAATGAAGTCGACGCAGAAGATGGTGCAAATCAATCCTCTTCTCCCGCACATAACAACAATAATTCCGCGGGCGACACCTCGTCTCCCGCCGCGGCGCCTGAAAAGGACGAGATGCTGGATCACACGCAGGTGGATCAGCAGGAGCAGGAGGAAAATCAAAATAACCAAAACCACGACGAAAATCAGGACCACAATCAACCTCACGGGAACAACAGCACGAACAAGAGACACACGACGAACAAGCGGGAACCTAAGCCAGAGACGGAGGAAGAAAAACGCAACCGAAACGTGAACAAGCAGCGCATGGAGCGGGATCGGGAGTTGTTGATCGAGGTCTGCTTGGAGTGGAACCGATCTGCGGACTGGCAGTTTCACAACCAGCCCCTCGCGGACCGGGCAAATTTGGTCCGGGATGTCTTTTTGAAAGTGTTGCTGCGGAGCATTCTCCGCCACCGAAAAAAGATGGCCAGCTTGTCGGAAGCGCAGAAGACGGGGGGCCCCCAGGGGTCGAAATATGGGAAACCGGAAGGATGCGAGGACAAAGTCAAACGTATTGATTTCAACTGTGAAATAATTGATTCTAATTGCAAAAATCAAGCACGAGGGCAAAAAAAAGTAGAAATGCTTTTCTTTACCATTCGACTTTCCTCGCAGTCACTGACAAAGAACTCAATTCTTGTACGTTCAACATCTAAGGAAGAGAGCTAAAATTGAATGCCTAGTAGAAAAATGCGAATAGTCAACAAATCAGCAGCAACAAAATATTGTTTTGTCAAATTGAAAACTACATCAAAACAGTGCATGAGATCGGCCTCGAACCGGATGTAAGCTTGCTGAAGCGCGCCTTCGAATGCCTCTTCTCACCCGAGCGGATTTTAACTCTCTTCCCCAAGTTGTTCGTCGTGACCGACCTGCGGCAAGCCCCGGGCCTCGACGGCAACGGGGGCCTCACGTTACCCCCGCCGCCCGCCAAGGAACCGAAAACGCCGACCACCCCCGCGACGATTGACAAGCCGAACGCGATCATCGCGACCCTGGAAAACGCACTGGCGAAACGGAAGCGCGGACTCTACGTCGGCGTTCCGCCGGAGTTGCTGCGGGAGACCGAGGGCGCACTGTTGGACGGCTTGTCGATGTCGCAACTGCTGAATTGCGAGCCGGAGGTGGTTATGAACTGCAAAAGTATCGTACTCGTATAAATGCATTACAAATTTTCTCAGCATGAGAAATAAAATTTGTAATGCTGATTTGCCTTGACAAAGAAATTTGTAATGCAAGACCTGCATTTATACGAATACGATACTTTTGCACAGCATAGTGGTGACGCGAATTCTGGAGCAAAACATTGACGCGGTGTTCAATAGCAATTTATCTCCCTCGGAGAGTCCAGCCAATTCAGACGACGACGAGGAGAAAAACAGCGATGAAAACAATATGAAAAACAAGAATTCCTTCTCTTCCCTCGGCGTTCCCGATGAAACTCGGCTCAACGACAAGGACATCCAAAAAGACCTGTTCACCGTGAAGCGGGAGTACTTGTTCGCAAAAATGGACCAGCCTTTGGGTGCCGCTACTGCAAATGGTCCGAAAAAGAAGAAAACGAAGAAGAAAAACAGGAAGGGACTGCCACCAGGGGTGGATGGAGGGGAGAATAATCATCAAGATGGCGGAGCGGGAGCGAATCAAGTTGTCCAACCACATCACAAAGGCGACAAGAACAGCTCCTACTATGACAAAAACAAGGGCAGCTACAAAGGAGGCAAACCTGGTGTCAACAGCAAGAACGGTACTGTGTATCACGATGGTGGAAAAGGTAAATATGGTGGTCACAAGAACGGACCGCCTCCTGTTCCGGAGAAAGGGTATTATAGTATCGGGAAATCACCGTCTGGCACGGTTTATTTAAACAAGAACAACCAGTTCGGGTTCGGGCCAACCGGAGGACATGGACATCAGCATCATCCACCAAGTAACGACAAGAACCACCAACACCACCCCCCTGGAGCAGGGAAACCAACGACCCAATCCGTCAACATGGGCGGCACCTTTCGCATGAAAGACACGGGCTACGGGCCGATCAAGGGGCCAGCAGCGCCGTCCGGAGGTCCACCAAAGGGAAGCGGGCCGTATGGCCAGTTCTCGGCCGTGAAGGGCGCACCAGCTGGAGGACATCATCATCAACACCCTCCGCCACAACAACCGCCCGTGCACCACCAGTCCGCCCAGCTCATCGTGCCAAAAGGAGCTCCTCCACCCCCGGGGCCCCCCGCGGAAAAGGGTGGAAAGAGCACTGGTGTGCACCAACAGCAAGCCCCGAAAGGCGCAGGTGGAACCTACCGCGCGCCCGCAGCGGTGCAGGAAGCGCACAAAGGGAGTGGTGGCACTGCGAAGGAGCATGGCGGGAAGGGTGGAAAAAAGGATGGCTCTTACAGTGCTGGGAAGCATGGGGGGTCCTCGTCGGGAAAGCCGGATCAACATCATGGAAAACAACAAGATTATGCACCTCATCAGCCACCACCGCATCAAAGTGCGAACGCTCCTGCTCCACCGCAACATCACCCTTCACCCGGCCACCACCCGCAACAACAAGCCGGTGCGCCGTATCATGGACAGCAGCACCAGCAGCAAAAGGGGGCGGTGATTCAGCCACCCCCGGCGCAGCACCAAACCATTCGGTACGACCCGAATCAACAGCAGCACAAGGGTGGCGGGGGGCAACATCAAAGCCAGTACCAGCAACCCCACCAGCAGAAGGGTCATCTTCCCGGTGCGGGCGGAAAGCCGCATCATGAACAACAGCATCCCACGGGGAAAGGTGGAGGTGCCCCGCCGCCAGCTGGCGGACATCATCACTCGCAGTATGGTCACCAGCCACCGCCCTCTGCCACACCTGTCGAACAGAGCTCGCAATACGGTCGGTCTTCTACTTTCCCTCAAGGTGGAAGTAGTGGGCATCAGCCGTACAACCAGCATCAGCAAGGGAAGGGCCAGCACCAACCTCCGCCAACGTCGGGCGTGCCATCGCCGCACGGGCAGGAGCTTGTGCGCACCGAAAGCGCACCAGGCGGACCGTACAACGCGTTTTCGTTGACAGGAGGTCCTCAGGGTGGAGGTCACCACCAGCAGCAGCGCGACGCGTACGGGACGAACAATAAAGGTTCTTCAAGCAACATAGGAGCACCTCCTCCGGGTGCAGTGCATCTCACCCCGGCCGCAGGCGCGCCTGCTCCGCAGTCCATCTCGGGTAAGCAAGGTACTAAAGACAGTTACGACTACAATTCTACTTCAAAAAGCGGGAATAAGGACCACAAAGACAGCGGGAAGAACAAAGGCGGAAAGAAAGGAAAAAAGGGAGGTGACAAAGACTCGAAAGGGGGCAAGGGCGGGAAAAAGGACAAGGGAGGTGATCATGGTAGTTCTTCTGCGAACCCGAACTTGATTCCGCTCGGAACAACGGCGACCGGAGGTCAACATCCTTCTGCCACTGGAAATGTTAACTCCTACTCAACTTTTCCGAATTCGTCATCAAGTGCTGCGCACCACAGTCAGAGTCAGCCGCAGCCTGGCCCGGGTGGTCAACAACAGCAGATGAGCCACAGCTATTCTTCGCATCACCGCAAGAATGCGGATCACGACTATAGGCAAGGTCCGTACAGCCACAGTGCAGGCGACGCAGGGCAGCAGTATAATCAGGGCGGTGGGGAACAACAACACCAGCAGCAACCGCAAAATCAGTATCGGCAGTTTCAGCAGCCGAATAGCCATTATCAAACAAGCACGAACCAAGCTGGAGGTGGTGTGCAGCACCAGCAGCAGCAAGCCTCGGCAGGCTCTGGTGCACCAGCTCCGGGAGGTTCATCTTACCAACAGCACCAGGAGCAGTATCATGGTACAACAACAGTCCAACAGCAGAACCAGCAGTCTTACCAGCAAGCGCCTAGTACATCAACTGGCGCAGCTACAACCACAACGTCCTACACGGTTCACGTGGATGCCCATGGCAACCAAACCTACCACCCGGTTGTTCAACACCAGTCGCAACCACAGCAGCAGACGGCGCAACCACAGCAGCAGCAGCAACCGCAGATCCAATATGTCGTACAACAACCGGACGGGAGTCGCACCTACTACACCGCGGCGGCGCCGGCAGCAACGAGTAGTGCGACAACAACTTCCAGCTCCGGCCAGCAACAAGCACAGGCGGGAAGTGGAGCTGCTGCTCCTCCTGCTACGTCGTATAGTACTCAACAGGGAAGTACAACTGGATACCACCAGCAACATCAGACGGTTGTTCAGTACCACGGTAGTACAACTGCGGCCGCAGGAGGCGGACACCAGCAGCCATCCGCGCATCTTCAAACGGAGTATAGGTACGCAGACGGTACGACCGCTGGTGCGGCGTACGGGGGTGCAGCAGCAGCAGCAGCAGCTCCGGTTGGAACAGGAGGCCACCAGCAGTACGGCCAGCAGCAGCAGGCCCAGTATAATCATCAGCAGGCTACTACACCAGCAGCAGCAGCTCCGGGGGCTCCTGCTGCACACCATCAACAGACGCAGCAGGCTGTTTCCTACATTCTGGGTTCCGACGGGAATTACTACCAAATTTCCACCGGAGCAGGGACCGCGACCGCTGTTGCAGCAAGTGCTGGCGGTGGACAACAGCAGGCGCAACAAGCCCAGCAATCGACGCAGCTGAAACGACAAGACAGTCCGGAGATCACCAACTGGGGCTTGGGCTGGGGCGGATAGGTGGACGACTTGGTTGAGGACGAGGACGAAGGACCTTTTACTTAGATAGAAGTGCAAGTGGTGAAGACCGACCTACACTAGCACTTCCAAAAAGAGTTGTAGGAGCTGAAAGAAGAGGTCACATTGAAACCGCAACACAAAAAAGACATCACCAGCACAAGGAAGAATGATCCTGGAACTTATGCTCGTCCTCTCATGATACGAAGGCAAGCAAGTAGATCGCTTTCGCTTTAAAGAAGTACAATCCGGAGAAAAATAAAATTCGTCAAGAGCAGGGACATGCCCTGAGAATGAGACCTCCCTGAAGGACGAGTTCTTCTGATGAGTTCCAAAAAGAAAATGCGAATGCGCAGTTGGTGTTGGAGCAAGCACGTTTGCTATTATTCGTTTGGTCGTTGTCTCGTGAAAGAAAAAAACATCTTGAAGAATGACTTCGTGTATAAAGAGAGAAGGAGAGAGAGAGAGAAAGAGAGAAACAGACCGTGGGATCAAAGTATTGATACAGTTTAGTTGGTGCTTTTAACAATGAATCATTGCCTATACTAGGTTTGTAAAACTCGTACATCAGGGTCGTTTTGTAAAGACTCGCGCTGGAACGCATTCTGGGTCGTGATCGTGAAAAAGGAAATCAAACGGAAAACAATAGCTACACGCGTTGATGTGTTGTGCTTATGGATCAAAAAAAGCGTTTTGTGTTGTCTTCTCGGGGTTAGAAGTGCAGCGATTTTCTTAGCGATTTTGAACTCTATAATGACCTCTGAAGGAGTTTCAGCAGGGCTCTCCGGTGCGCCACCGATGGACGTCGACGCGCGCTTATCCACGGAGGAAATCCGGATTCGGAACCTCAACGGAGTCGAGCACACGATCTCGGTTGACCCTAGCGAAGTGTCGAAGGTGGGCGATCTCTACAAGACAAACTTCCTCTCCCTCTTTCTCAACCTTGAGACGGACCTGGTTCCGCCGACCTCCTTGGTCCGTTGGATCCAAATTCGCGATGAGGTGGAGGCAGACTTTTCAGACGGTGCCAATAGTTGGCGTGACGACGGCGCAGATCTTGACTACGTGGGTTCTGGGGAAGAAACCACCGCGGACGGAAAACAAGTTGAGGCAGAGCAGAATAATCGCAGCGATGCGGGTCCGACCGCTTTTCTTGAACCGGGTGCGGAAATAGAGTTCAGCGGAGACGTTGCGTGCCAATTCGTAATCGCGCACAGCGGGTTCGACTTCGATCCCCGTCGTACGGAGGAAGAGGACTTGGAGGATTGGGAAGAGCGCGCGCTTTGGGCGGTTAAAAACGGTTTGGAAACTGTGGAAGACGCGCAAGCGTTCATCTACAACCGCGTCTACGCCGAAGTGTCCTCGGTGGATGACCGCGTTCGCCTGCTCCGCATCTGCCTACCGATCGCGGGTCTGGTCAAGGATGGGCCAGCATTTGCAAGTTCTCGTGCGGTGCCACTTGGGCCAGATTCGCGGGGCCAATGGAATCTAGTGCGTGCAGCTGTTGCGATGAGCGCAGAGGAGTGGCGAAAGCACGGTCTGCAAGAAGGTGGTGGACTGTGCTTTGAATTAGCGACTCGAGAAGAGTTCTGCTTCAAGGTCGCAAAGGCAGTCTACCACCGTCGTTTCGTCCCCGAGGTAGCCGGGGGCCACGTCCCCGCCGGGATGAGCACCTCCCGAGAAGTCTACCTCGCCCTGCTGCAGCAGGCGCTCGAACTGGGAAAAGCTGCCATGGACGTCGATTGGGTGGCAAAAACACTCGCTTTCGATGCGATGCATTCTAGGAAAGATTGGCACCGCGATTACACCAAATTGCTCATCCAATGCGTTGCGAGCGAAGGACGGTTGGCGGAGGTGTTCTCTGTCGTTGAGCGTCGGCATCTCAGCTACGAGTTGCAGTGCGAGAGCTTGGCGAGTTACTATGCAGAAAGCAACGCGCTGCATTTTGTGCGGCATTTTGTGGGACGACGGAAGGTAGGCAAGCAGGCTGTACGCAAAGTCCTCGAGAACACACTCCGGACGCGGATTGTCTCCGAAATGGACTCGGGGATGCAGCGGGGTCTGGAACCTCTACGCTACCTCTCCGCGTTGCTCCAGGAACTGCACATCGCCTACGACCTCCAGCCGATCATGCAGCCGCTACAAGATTTCATCGATCTCAAGACCAACGGAGAAAAGCTCGAACGCGCTGGACTAACTGCCCGTTTTCGCGAGACGATGGAGCGAGAAAGCGTAAAGCACAATGTCACTTGGTTAAAGTGGTCAGATGTCGAGGATTTGTGGCGGAATGCGTGACTTGCGTCAGTGCGTCCGCACTGCTAACAAGCCGGCGAAGCCAAGCAATTCACTGTAGGAGATGCTATGAGATTAAACTTAGCACTTTCGGACAAGACAACTTTGACCTGCTTGACTTTGTTGTTGAAAATGAACATATGAAGAAACAAATGGATGTACCACTAGAGCATCCTGACATGATGAGTTTCCTTGTTCTGAAAAGAAAATGCGAATGCGCAGTTGGTCTTGGAAGCACGTTTGCTATTGTTCGTTTGGTCTCGTGAAAGAAAAAAACATCTTTAAGAATGACTTCGTGTCTAAGAGAGAAAGAGAGAGAGAAACAGACCGTGGAGTCAAAGTATTGATACAGTTTGTTCTATGAATCATACCCATACTAGGTTTGTAAAAATCATACATCAGGGTCGTTTTGTAAAGATTCGCGTTGGAACGCATTTTGGCTCGTGATCGTGAAAGATGAAATCAAACGGAAAACAAGAGCGACACGCGCTGATGTGTTATGATGACGTGCTGATCTTCTGGGTAAATCATTCATTCACTCTTGCTTATGTATCAAAAATAGGATTGTGGAGAGGCGAGTTCTTTCGTGCGAAGTGCTACAGCTAGCACATCTGTAATGAAATTTTCTGCACTTACAGCCTGCACGTTTACGGCACAGAACGGCTCCGCTCCCCGTACCGATACCGAGCGCATTGCTCCTCCTGGTGAAGGATGAAAGGAGCGCGCTCGCGGTCGCCGGACCGGCGCCGGTCGGCAAGAGGCAAGTGTGGTCCCTCCGGGTCTGGCGACGAACGTTTTCGCATCTGCATCCCAAGCGCGCGCGGGCCGAGCCTTTTGCGCGCTCGCGGGGGGGCCGGACCTTTCGCGCGCGTGCGCACGCGCGCGCGCCTTTCGGCCGAATCGTTTGTGCCCGCGCGCGCGGGCCCGACCTTCTGCGCGCAGGGCGGGCGCGCACACCCTTCGCGGCGCGCGGAGACACACCTTTCGCACGCAGCCCGCGCACACCTTTCGCGGCGCGCGCACACCTTTCGCGGCGCGCACACACCTTTCGCGGCGCGCGCGCCTGAAAAGCGTAATCGCCGCGCGTACGCAGGCGCTAATCGCGCCAAATCGCGCGCGCGCGCAAAACTGTTCGCGCTGCTCCTCTGGACCCCATTTCATGTAACTGGCGACAAACAAAGAGAGGGGACTCCTCGGAGTATCATGCGCACGACGAAAGAAGTCACCTTTATTGAGCGTGGCGCCCACAGTCGCAACTCGTTGTCGTCGCTGAGAAGTAAACGTGAATAAGTAGTGTTCTCCGCACATGGGTGTTGTTCTTCGTCCGTGAGCGTGAGACTGTTGCAGCTGTCGCTGTGTAATTGGTTGTATAATAAAAACGCTATACACTGACACAAAAACGCACGACCGATTGAAATGACGGCTCCTTTGGTATTACTTTCACTACTTGAGCGTGATCGTCGCCTTCCTTGGCAAGCGGCTCTTTTCCTCGTCTCTCGTCCTGAAAAGACAAACTCAAACGTATAATTTGTGCTGTTATTTCGTGCTGGTTGTCCTTCGTGCGAAAAATTTTATACGTGCTCATCGTTCGTCGAAGCTACGTCGGAGTAGAGGAAGAAATAAGAAGCAAAAAAGCCTATCCCTATTATTTTTCGTCGACGTGTGGGTGTGGGCCAACGCCAATAATTAGTACTGTACCACCATAATCGTGAGCTTCGTGTGAAAGAATACTAGGCTTGTATAGTCAAAAGAAAAACACCAACACAAAATCGACGTTATCCATGCTTTTACCACAGCAAGCTAGAAGGAGCACAGCAACAAACGCACCTCCGTTCGGTGAGGTCGTGTTAGTGCAAGAAGTGCGTAAAAAGATAAAGCTCCACTTCATCAACTATTCGATCATTTTTCCCCTCGTCTTCTACAACTGCTACTAGGTCGTGCTTTTGTTGTTTTTTGTGGGTATTGATTTAGTACACTAGGCACTTATAGTACGGTCTGCAAAGGAAAACAAAACATGTCGAGCTCGAGTATGCACTACCGGGCGCTGCATGAGCGGCAGTTCCAGCAGCTTCTGAAAAACGAGGGAGCATACAAGAGGCTCAGGATGATACGGGATGTGGAAAGCCAATACATGGGGGTATGGAAGTTTTGTTTGTTTGTTCATCTCTGGTATGTGAATTCCAAAATTAAAATTTAAGACCTAGACGAGCTGTTATTCTGGAACTTACACTTAGACAGAGACTTGCATTGCGATTGTGGCTTGCAAGTACTGACGCGCCAACTGGGCAGTTACCCTGGGATAGTCTGAGTCGGTCTTTCGTTCCATAAAACCTTGGGTGTTGCCACCAGCAGCATCGTGATGTCAACCAGCTCTTGTTTAGAACAAAGCACTATTGTTCTGCTGCAGTTCACTTCAGTACAGAAATCTATTGTATTCTGCGTTTTCAGCCTCAATCATCACGACAGAACCCCTGCTTAGCCTTAGTCTTAGAAGCAATCCCTCCTTTGATGGCCATTTGATTTTGAGGCACATCAAACCTAGCCACAACACTTTTTTCACATAGAGATCAAATTTAGATTTTCCAATAACCCACACATTAGAAGCCGCGACCTGTGAAACGGCCCGGTTCCCTGGACAAGTACCACAAAGCCCGGGGCCGTGCGGCGAACCTGAGGCACACAAGGTCGCAGAACCACCGGAGTCAAAGCAGAAGCCGAATGTCCGACAACAGTTATTCCCCATCGGGCTACGCTTCCTCGCATCGACAAGCGGCGGCCAGCCCCTTTAGCATCCACCCCTACCCGGATGAGTCCGTCGGAAGCGTCCCGGCGACAAAGACGTACTGAATTGAATATTTTGGTGTGACTTTCACCATGACCACAATTTTACTTTTGCATTCGTAAGGAAGAACGAGGAGGAAAAATCTCAACCTTGGTGACTGATAATTCTGATGTGTTTCTCTGTCATTGGCGCATGCCATGGAAAAAAAATTTTCTTATCTTACTTACGGTTTTTATGAATCTTTCCTTCCTTCATCAGGTCCGACCCCTTCTCGCACAGTATGCCCGTTCTCCCGAAGTTGGTAAACGTGGGCAAGATCATGGGCACAAACAACAATAACCACACGGTCATGGGGGCAGAGGGTTTTGTGCACCAGTCCTACGACCGGTCACCCTCCGTGGGGGCCGTCAACAAGAGTCCGTTTACCTACTACCAGGACCCCAGCGTGCACCTGCAGTCAAGGCGGGAAAACTCTACCCTAAACCACGTCACGTTCTCCGCAAGAAGGAAGCTGGAAATGGGCAAGTTGACGCGGGAACTGGTATGAAAAATTTTTGAGCCTTTGTTGAATGATGAAAATGCTGAATGCTTTGCATTTTTCACTTCGATTTCTTTCTTTCAAAAGTACTCACACGTACTAGTACAGAATCGGTTTGCATTTACGTACATACCAGTTTGCCAAATAAAAATCATGAAAGAATTTTGTGTGTTTCATCACCCAGGTCGCCGAAGCGCGTTCTCCGCCCCCGGGGTCGCCGCAAGCGTCCCGTGCCCCAACGCCAACGCGCAGGAGGTCACAGTCCCCCGTGACCTCCACCGAACACAAGAAGGCGTTCCGAACCATGCTGCGGCAAAAGTTTGGGTCGGTCTGCGCGGGCTGGCGGTACGGCTTCAGCTACGGTGGCGCCCTGCACTTCAACGAGTTCTGTAACGCCTGCCGGCAGCACGGAATTGGTGGAGATATCAAGTCAATTTGGGCAGAACTGGACACGAAACAGGTCGGAACCGTGCACCTGGAAGAGGTCCACCCCATGGCAGCGCAAACTCTGAAGCAGTTTTACGAGGAGTAAAAAGGATTTTTTTTCGATTGGTTGTCTGATTCTTGTAATTATGTAGGTCAGTTTACCACAACCGCTCGGCGCTTTAAATGCGTTCGCAAAATGAAAGCTTACATTTGGTTTTGCATGGCTAACCGCATTCCAGTGACGCAAGATCATTCTAGTCTGGCTCACATGGGGGACAAAGATGGTGGGGCGCGCGCGCTCGTCGGTTCGTTTTTTCGGATTCGCAAAATGGCAGGAGAGCGAGATCGAAGAAAATCGCGTTCGTTTTTTCAAATTAATGTGTAGCAGCAAAAAAAAAAAAACTGTCGCGCGACCGAAGCCGTCGCGCAGCCGTCCGGGCCGCTCGGCCGCCCCCGCGCCGGGGCGCAGGGCGGTGCCGCTCGCGCCCCTGGAAGCCTTCCGCTCCACCGAGCGCACCGGGGCGCCGCGAACGCAGCGAAGAGGCGCGAGCGGCCCGGGCGGTCCGAGCGGCGCAGCCGCCCGGGCCGCTCGCTGCGCCGCTCGAGCCCGTCCCGCTCCCGGCAGCGGCCCGGAGCGCCGGCAAGGGCCCGAGCGGCCGGAAGCGCCCCGAGCGGCGCGGGCGGCGCCAGGCCGGAATTCCGAGCGGCGCGAGCGGTCGTGGGCGCGCGGCCGCCGCTCCCGCGGCGGCCGGAAGTCTCGGGGCCTGGCCGCTGGTGGTCCAGGTGTTCGGGCCACAAGGTAGGGGCCCCAGGCTAAGAGTGCAGTCGCATTTTCGAAAAAGATGCGGCGTTCTCGGTGTTAAATTTGAAAAGCGGCAAGACCCTGGCTCAGATCATGGCGGCGGGCTGTGCGGCCAACGTGGCGACCCCGGTCGGAGGCGCGGCGCTTTGGGCGGATCCCATGTATGAAAAAAAATATTTAAGATCCTGAACGCATTTAAAGACCCTAGCGGTTGTGGTAGAACTGACCTACTTGATTGTAAGTGAAGCTGAATTTGTCGCTGATGTGCTGCTGGTCGAGATGTTGTAACACTTAACATCAAATAAACGCACCATAAAACAACACATCGATCTTCGCCGAATCGATCCATCTGCATCTCACAGCATCGCAAATCTGGCGAAGAACACGCTCGCCGCCTGGCGCGTCCTGGACCCGCACAACACGCAACAAGTGGAAAAACACCAGTTTGTCACCCGCATCAAGAAGTTGCAGTACCAGGGGGACCCGGAGCAGGTGTGGCCCTTCTTGCTTGCGCCTTTCAAAAAAACTTTGTCGATCGACGAGTTTGACCCCGTGGCAGCGCTGGCGCTGCGCCGAGGGGACGACCAAATGCTCGCATTGACGGAAACGTCGGCGGACTACAGAAGGCTCATGGTATAGTAAGGTTGTTTTTGTTTTTCTGACTTCCGCGTGGAAATTTTACTTCTGCGTGACGCTGTCAATCGCGCAAGACAAATGATAAAATGTTCTGATTAACAAAAAATCAAATCAACAGACCGTCCGTGCCCGCGAGGAGCTGGCGCACGAGCAGGGTCGGCACTTGGTGAAGACTATGTCGGCCTACACAGTGCACGACTTTAAGGCCTTGCTGAAGCGAAAATACGGCAACTTGTGGCGCGCTTGGAGAAAGGGTTTGGGCTGCGACGCAACGAAGAAGTTGTCGTTCACAGAGTTCTGCGCCGCTTGCAGAGAATGCGGGTTTCATGGTACTGAGGGATTTGATTTTCATTGCTGTTGCATTTTTCCGTCATCCGATGAAAAACAGAGTTTGGGAAAAATTTGTGTTTGTGCGAAAGATGATGAGCATGAGGCACGGACCAGGTACAACTTACACATACGCCCGTTCGTCTCTCAATCATCTCTTCGAACATACAAAGCGAACAACTTCTCCAGGTAACGTGAAAGGAACCTTCCTGGAGATGGACGACGATAGAAGTGGTGTTATCTCCCTGATATCAAATGCAAATATGTCTTGGTCTGGAACAATGTAAATTGTGATGCTGCATTTGGATGTCTAAAAAATTTGTGTTGCATGAGCAGCAAAAGGAGTCTGTTTTTTGCTACGCGGAGAGGGCATCTATCATGCGGATTAGGCATTGAGAATCCCTCAAAAAACCTGGGATGCTAGGGCATGCATCACAGACATCGTGGTTCATGCAAAATGTGCATGACAAGTCTCAGAATCTTCGAGACCCAGGCACTTTTGCATTTGATACCTGAAAGAACTCGACGAGCCCACATTTAACGCTATCGTCAATTTCCGCAGATGCTGCATCGAGAAAAAAGGTGCGGAGAACAATATCCTGTTTTATCGAAAAACATGTCTGTTTGTAGTTCGCTGGTGGTATGATTCAGATTCTGGGTTGCAACAGCAAGTTTTCCATTTGTCCCTTTTCCTTCAAATGGAGTTATTTCGCATGACAACATCCAAAAGAACGCATGGAGGACTACAACTTTATTCTCCAAATAAACCCACAGGCTCCCTCCTCGAGGCGTGGATCTGTCACTTTGACCTGAACCAGTCGGGGCGGGTGGAACTGCACGAGTGGAATCAGAAGTGCAAGGAACTCGGATACACGGACATGGAGCCGGAAAAGATGTTCAAAATGCTGCTTCTGGAAGACCGGAATTTCATGCAGGTGGACGATTTCGACAGCAAGGTCGGCGCCGCCATGCGGTTGGACGACTACCGCGGTTTGCTTATCCTATGTAAAAACGTCCCCACACCATAATTGTATTGTAAATCTGCATGCTGAAATTGTTTCTCATGCGGAGCCCCATGAGAAGCATTTTTCAATCGTGCTTTGCAATTTGTCATGCTCCAATCAGCAGGATATACTGAGTCTGTAATGCTGCAGAGCTAGCTCAAACAGCACTACGCTACGAGTCCAAATTTGTCATGCAAGACACCCAAAACTTGTGGATTTGTCTAGCCAATCCCCCATCTTCACTATGGGGCGGGGACGTTTTTGCATAGGATATTGCTGGATCCGAGTAAAGACCAGGTGGCGGAGGAGAGTCCGGAAAATTCCCCGGCTACCATATTAAAAGGAAAAATCCCCCCTCCCCATATTGAAAAGGTATGACTTCGAAAATTTGTGTTGCAGATTTGAGGTCACAAATCACAACTGTCTTGCAAGAAGACAAGGGCAGGAGCTTCCGCCCCGTTATGGAGGCGATTTGTCATGCTGTTGGGCCTAAAGGTTAGCCGTTTGCCATGCTGAGCAGCTAGACACTTACGCCCCTACTCAGCCTGGAGATCTGCTCGCAGTGCCGCTCTGCAATGCAAAGCTGATTTGTGTACGCAAATCCAGCATCAGAAACCTCCTTTTGATATGGGGAGGGGGGATTTTTCCTTTTGATATACCAGCCCACGGAAGGGCCCGATGGAGATGTCCTTTGAAGAGAGGCAGCAGGAGACAATCAGAAATCAGCTGAAAAGGGCCAAGCTGCTGGCGCAAAGGAAATTCTGTATTGGAATTTTTATGTTGAGTAAAACGAGAACTTACTACTGTAAGAAGAAGAACACGACCTGTGTGTCAGTGTGTGTACATGATGATCATTAAATTGCGGTTCAGAAGATGATTGTGTCTCGTGCATCGGGGCAGTTCCAGTTTCTCCATAGTGTACGCATGATATCAGCAATTCTTCCCTCGTCCAGCAAGAAGTTTAAACTCAATAAAAAACAGCCATGCTCCGCAAGCGGGCGTCCTACATCGACACGGGTGAAGATCTCGGGCCCCAGGACGTGCGTAGTTTTAAGGAGATGCTGCGAAGAAAATACGGCAGTGTCGCCCGCGGGTGGCGCGCTGGGATGTGCAGTGAAGTTACGAACGAGGGCAACAAGCTCGCTTTTGTCGAGTTCTGCAACGCAGCGCGAGCCTTGGGTTACACAGGGAACATCTCGCTTTTGTTTAAAACCCTCGATGAAGACAAATCGGCGAACATTTCGCTCGGAGAGCTGGACCCGGATGTACAAAGGATTTTTTTTGTTGGTTTTGTGCAACACGAACTGATGCTTTGCCTTTGTTGTCGTGCGCGCATACGCAATGAAATTGTCAAGTTGGTGGAACAGCATGTGTAACTAATAGGTGTGTATTCCACACACCCACTCAATCATATACAGCCTTTTGACACCGAAAAAATGATTCCCCTTTAAGGCACAAACCCGCATCGACACCTTCCTGGGTCTTTGTAACGAGAAATACGGAAACCTAGTGGACGCCTGGAAGAAAGGGCTCGATGAGGATCGCTCCGGCCGGTTAGAACTCGAAGAGTTCAAGAGGAAAGCCAAGGAGCTGGGGTACAGCTTGTTGTTCTATGGGAATTTGTGTTGCACATTTGGCGATCCAAGAACTTTTTTCTCATGCATCTTCTACAACCTCACATCTACATCACTCAGTGATCCTCATGAACACCTCGAATCCTTTATCCTTTCTATCAGGTACACCGGTGACACCAAGCAGCTGTTCTACACTTTTCTGCTCGAGCAGGGTCGGCAGTACCTGACCATGGGCGACTTGGATCCATTCCTGATGAAAAACTACCTGTCCGGCCACCACGAGATGATCCTGGCGCCGAAGATTACCTCCGCGGAAAAGTCGAGAATGACCTTCCAGGAGCGACAGTCCATGAGCTTTTCCAACCGCATCTCGCAGTTTATGGGTCTGCAGAAGCGGGAAGCGCTGGTGCAGGAGGAGCGGGCCAAGAAGGCGCAGATCGTCGCCGCGAAATCCGAAGAGGGCTTTAAGCAGCAGATCGTGCGCCGGCACGGCAGCATGGCCCGGGCCTGGCGGTTCGGGTTAGATAGTGATGGCAACGGAAGGCTGTCCTTTAACGAATTCATGCAGGCGGCGAGGACATTAGGGTATAGTTAGATAGAGCTTTGTTTTTGAAGATGATGTAGATGTGCTAGTACTAGCTTTTGGTTTTGCGGTCGCTTCTTAGTCCTCCGATTCATCGCGAGGTTCAGATTGTGCCGGTTACCAAGTACTGGAAGCAAGTGTCTACGACACGAGGATCTTTCTACACACGCGATGTCTAGTACCAGCTGTGAAGCAGTACGTTTCACAGTCGCACGCGGCCACGAGATCCTTGTGAAGTTGTAGAGCACCTATTCCTCGGAGAAAAATCAAAGGCAAAGATCCAACACGTCGTAGTTGCACTTCTCATTTCCTGTACTGTTAGTGTTAAAAATTCTCCACAGAATAGGCCGGGCGCTCGCTTTTTTTGTGCGAGAATCCGTAATTAATCTGTGGTAAACGAAAGTAGGCAACTACCTCGCTATGCGGGCTCGATATGGCAGTATTCTGTCAGAGCGCGCACACTGGCGTTGCACAATTCTTTCCAGATTCATACTTTTCTGGCCAGAAAAGGGACATTGTGTTTGTATGTCTGTTGTTGTTCGACAGCCAGATCAGTATGGTTGGAAACCAACAGCTTATATAGTGGAAACCAATTATCATTATGCGAAAGCACAAGCAGGACGAAACACAAAAATCTTCCAAAAACCCTCCAAAAAAAACAGTTACGCCGGCAACATGAAGACCCTGTGGGTTGTTCTGGGTGGTGAAGAGGCGGGCTTCCTCGGCATGCAACACCTCGACAAGCCGCTCAAAGACGATCTGATGGAGCTGAAAAAGTGCCTCCTGACCAAGTACGGCACCATCGTCGACGCCTGGTCCGCGATGCTGGACCTCCAGCCCGGACAAACGAAGAACGAGGAGATTGACTGGGGCGAGTTCCAGGAGGTCTCGAAGATCATCGGGTTTGATATGACTTGCTCAAATCAGTTACCATCTCAAACGTCACAATAGAATCTGGAATTTGTGTTGCATGATGAGCATGATGGACTCGCACAACGTTCCACCTTTTGCAATACAAATTTCGCCAGATTTTCGGTGGGTTTAGGGCTCCCGAACTTGTCATGCGCAATCCCATGAGACTTGGCTAGATCATGCCATCTTGCATCACAGATTTCCATATTCTATTGTAACGCTTGAGATTGTAACACCTGAGCGGGTTATATTTGAAGCCAAGTCGCAGGACGGGTTCAAGTTTTTCAACAAGCAGTTGATCGCCGACAACCACCGGAAAGCGCTGATTTTGTCGGATTTGAAAATCTTGATGATCGAATTAGACAAGAAAACCTACGAAAACGAGTGGTACGGCTCGCACGAGCGCGCGAAGAACTGGAACAAACTGCACGCGTTCGGGTCTTCTCGCGCGCAAACCGCCATGGCGGACATGGCCAAGGAGAAGGAAGAATACGAGAAGAAAATGCAGGCGATCATCGGAAAATCGGTGGATGGGTTCAAAAAGATGATCATCCACAGGTACGGATCGGTGCTGCGCGCGTGGCGAGAAGGGTTGGATACGGACGGAAATGGTATTTTCATAAGGATAAGAGTTTGAGGTTTTCGTTTATTTTGGGCAATGGCGTTCGTTTAGTATTAGTGCTACTTTTTTTCGGTGCACCAGCCCCCGTCATGCGAGTAGTCGGACCTGAATGTCGGTTCTGAAGATGCGAGAAAGCATATTGTGTGTGTTTTCATCGTGTTGTATGAGCATAATGAGCATTATGGAAAATTGCATGATCGATTTGATGGAGAGGTTTGAGAATTGAAAAATGTCACTGAATCTAAAATTTATTTCCTCTTCACCACGAAACAAGGTCGTCTTTCCTACAACGAGTTTATCATGGCGGCCCGTACCTTCGGTTACACCGGAAACATCAAAAACCTCTGGGAGGCCCTCGGCGGCCTCGAGCGCGGGTTCCTCGGCCTCGCCGCGTTCGAACCGGCTCTCCGGGACGACGTGTTCTCCTTCAAAAACGCACTTCTCGAGTGGAAGGGCTGCGTGGTCATGGCGTGGGGCGGTATGCTCGCGTGGATCAAGGAGAACCAGAATAAAAGGAAAACGGATGTCGACTACGAGGATTTCCAGGGGATCTGCAAGGAAATCGGGTTTGTATCAGAAAAGGACGGGGGGAGCAAATTCGCCCGGAAGACGAACTTGAAGAAGTTCTTCTACAAGGAACTGATCAAGGAGCCGGGCAGGCAGCGACTGATTTTGGAAGATCTCGACGTGTTGATGGTGGAGTTGGACAAGAACCAGTACAAAATCCAGTGGTATGGATCGGTGGAGGCGGCGAAATCCGCTGCGTTGTTAGTCCACGGCACCGCCGAACTGCACCAGACCAAGGGGGCGCAGAAGGAGTTGTTGCGAAGAAGGAAAACCATGGACGCGGCCATGTTCGACCACACGGAGACGGAGACAATCAAGAAAAGGGTAGAGGATAGATTTGAAGTGCTGTTTATTTGAATTTCGTTTCCGATGCGAGGGTGTCATGCATGCGTCCTTACCTAGCTGTGTGAACATGATCCTACGTACCGGGAAGTCGTGACAACATTGCACCTGCTTGTGTTTCTGTTCTGATGCTTCATCGATACAAGGAAGAAGTTGTTTTTGCATCTAAACCAACGTAAAAAACATTCTATCTCAGGTTTCCAAATCCCAGACGATGTCTGTTCTCGACGGGCGACCGGCGATGCGGAACAAGCGGTCCATGTCCATGTCCCACAGCCGATTTGACAGTGAAAAGACGGTCGACCTGGACGCCGCCCTCCGACAAGACGTCGATGAGGAGCAGGAGATCGCGGCGAAATTAAAAGCCGCGAATGAAGATCTGAAAAAGAACAAATCCCCGTTTGACGACCTCCCACCGACAAGCAGTGACGAGGACAAAGCCGGAGGGAGGAAATCGAGTAAGGTCGGATTTGCTCCTTCCACCTCCAAGGTGAACTCGGATCCCGAGCCGCAGTCTAGCGCTCCTTCCGCGAAACCGAAGCGCGGGGCGGCGTTCGGCCGGGCAAAGTCGCAGGTGTACGAGAAGGTGGAGGACGACAATCTGAAGACGGTGGAAGAGGAGAAGGAGGACAACCCCTTCGCGCACTTACTGCCAACTGCAGATGAGAGTGAGAAAAAAGAAGAGGTCGACGAATACGCAGAGGATGACTTCGAGAAGGAAGAGACGGGTCCCGTGGAAATCGATTTGACAACTTCTGCTGCGGTGGTCGAGGAGGCAGAAGTTGCTGGTCGTGCTGGGGAGGAAGTAGTAGAACCGGTGAACGCTGGTGCTCCTGCTGCGGAGGGAGAAGAAGTAGTCCCAGCCGCGGCCGAAGTAGAAGTAGCTCCAGCAGCAGAAGATGCTCCTGCGGCTCCGGTCGAGCCGGCTGCAGAAGAGGAAGCTGTGGAAGTACAAGCCGAAGAGGAGGAGGCAACACCGGCTGCTGCGGAGGAAATAACGCCAGCGGCGGAGGAGGAGGCGCCGGCTGCGGCTGACGAGGCAGTGGCCGCTGCGGAAGTAGAGCCGGCAGCCGCGGAAGCAGAGCCAGCGGTGGAGGAGCCAGTTGCGGCTGCAGAAGAACCGGCTGCTGCCGCCGAAGAAGAAGCGCCAGCAGCTGCGGAGGAGGAAGTGGCCTCTCCGGCTGCGGAAGCTGCAGAGGAGGCTCCCGCACCAGCGGCGGAAGATGCGGTGGCAGAAGCGGAAGCCACCCCAGCCGCGGAAGAAGCTCCGGCTGCAGCGGAAGTGGAAGCTGCTCCGGCGGCGGAAGAAGAGGCTGCTGCTGCACCCGCTCCTGCCGAGGAGGAGGCTGCTGCTGCTCCGGCGGCGGAGGAAGCGCCAGCAGCTGCTGCTGCGGAAGAAGAGTACGCGGAGGAGTTTGAGAAGGAGGAGGAAGCGTGAGTGAACAAGAGCTGAACATCCAGCCAAGAACTCCTCATATCTAAATTCTAAATTTTGCAGCAAACAAAGGGCTAGTTCGGCAAGAACTCCTTCTACCTAGTAGCAACTTTTAAAACTCTACTACGTGCTCTAATATTAAAAACCGTGTATGAAGATTCGGGCTTCCTTTCTCTACTACTTCTGTAGCAGCTCTGTCCCTCCGATGTACAAATTTAGTGCTGCAGCGGAAAATAGTACACGTCGACCTGTAACAAATCGTCTCCTTCTGTCATCAAATTCAAAACGCGAAAGTACACTAAAATGCCAAACTTTTAAATGAACCACATTTGTTGAAAAATCAGACACCAATCAGACCACCACGCGCCTAACTTGTAATTTGAAAATCAGGGTATTCTTTCAGGATAAACAGCAAACAGAATCACTCCTGTCAGGGTATATATTGTTTTACAACCTTCTATCATAAGGTCGTCTTCTATCGAGTTTACTATTTGTGAAAATGAAATCTAAATCGAACCAGAATCTAAATCAGACCAGACTATCGGAAAACACTTTATAGGAAAATCAGAACACTATATCAGAATTTTAAGTTGTAAGATTCAGCTACTTATTTCGGATTCGGTTTCTAAATGTCAGACTTTTCCTTCTTGAAAAATTTCTAAATCTGCGCCATGCAGCAGCTAAGAGCTTTCTGTTCCTCCTCAGAGGACGTCGCACAACTGTATGATAACAAGATGGCTAAGGGCTAACCACCTGAGTAGCCGCGCTTAATTCCTCTAGCTGCTCGTCGTTTCAAAAACCACTCTGTATAACCTTTCTTGTTTACAAAATTTCTAAATATGCAATACGTGCTATTTCTACCGCCGCACCAGAGGAGCCCCACGGTGATTATTGCAAAACTTGTTTGTAATTTCGGGCTGACAGTCTATTCTTCAAAGCGCTTTTGGGACAATAATACTAACATCATCATCTTGCAGTTATTTCGAACTTTCTTGTAACATGCAGCTTTTGTTTGACAATCGGGCTACTTCTAGCGCTTTATTTCATCACTTCTGTTGAGAGCGATGTAACCTATTCTGGAGCAAACTTTGAACTCTTCCCTCGTCTGGCACGAGTGGTAGACGAGAATCTTTGAGCTGAGCTGCAAACAAGAAATTTCGACGTCAGATCCTGATCCGGCACAAGTTGTGATGCCGTGCCCCTCCTCTCGACAGTGTTCAATCCGAGGTGGACCCGCAGAGAAAGACCGTCCGTGAGACCTGTACAAACGCTGCCATAGTCGACTTTGTCGGCTGGCTAGCGCGTTTTTCGAAGCTTAGTAATAAAATAAGGTTACAAATTTGTAAGTGTCGGTGGCAGGTTTGATCGACTTCCAGAGAAGATCAATTTTGAAAAAGAGCAGGATGAGTCCAGTGAATTTGTAGATAGGGATATCTGAGAAGGATTACCTTCCCTGACGTCGCTGTCACAAAAATGTCGAAAAGAGATTCTGAACAAGTACACGTCATGATCCGCGTTTCTAAATTTTGGTTTTGCTAGGATCAAAATCGCGATCTTATCGAAAAAAAGTTCCACCTGGATCGAGAGAAATGCATGCAGCTCGTCGACACAAAAAAGTCCGCGATCCTAAGCAAAGCAGGATGAAACTCGTGAATTTTAGTAGATAGGGATATCTGAGAGGTCATCCTCTTTGACGTTTCTGTCACAGAAAAAGTCGAAAAGAGATTCTGATACAAGTTTTTCCAGGTGCAGTAAAAGCACTGTCTGTAGTGGGGTGTAGATCGAACTGATAGCCCAACGATGTTGCGTCCACGGCAAAGTTATGTTGCGATCTCACCAGCCTGGCAAGTCCAAAACCACGATCTAAAGATCATGCTTCGGATCCAAAATGCTGAACGAAATGGAAATCTAAATCGAATATCTGGATTCTTGAGGACGCGATCTTGCACGCGCGTTGCGTAAATTTAGGCAGATTTGCTCATCATGCTCAATATCTAGATCCGCTATGTTGGAATTGGTGGCCTTGTTTCTTACGCCATTCTATGCAAAAATCAATTCCTTTTCCCTACCCCAATACCATCACAGGGAACCTAGTCTCGGGACATTAGTCTTTCGAGAAGGTTGTTACAATCACGAGGTTGTACTGTACCTAAATTTCATATCAAATCACCACAAAAACAACAAAATGGTCCGCGAAGTGCCGTCCGACCTGCTGTGGACTTTGGTCCGCAACAATTCCAGCTTCATCAAGAAGCAGAAGGAGCTCCCGGTCATGACCTCCGAGCCGCAGAACCTGACCGGCTTGAACAGCTTCAAATACTCCGGTTTGGCCAACAAGAAGTCCGCGGGAGTTTCCGTCAAGAAGTCCGGTGAGAAGAAGGAACTCGTCACCCTCTCCATGTTCGTGAAGAAGGGGTCCGCTTCCCTGAACACCGCTATCGCCAAGAACCCGAAGAAGGGTTCCGCTATGGTCGAGAAGCTGTTGACCAAGAACGGCTACCGCCGGGATTTGATCGGCGCGGCTACCAAGAAGTACAGTGCCATCTTGAAGTCCTTCAAGTCCGCCAAGAAGCAGGTCATGAACCCGCGCACCGCCGCCCGCAAGGCCAAGGAGGCCGCGGCCAAGAAGGCTGCTTCCGGCGTCGATGAGGAGGCTGATTAAATCGGTGGTTTTTCTTCTGAAAAAGAGCTTTAGCAGGTTCTTTGGAAAGAATAAACGGGGAGATGATAGGTGATGTTGAGATGAGAGAGACAACACTTTGACTATCTATGTCACGACGAAAGATGAGCATCATCACCATCATCTCTACTTGTCGATTTGATACGGTATAGAGTACAACAACCATTTGTATTGAAAACAAACCTTCTTTTAAAGGCGAAAGGAAAACGTCGCGGAATCTTTTTTCTAAAAAGGTTTCAGCGACGTCGAATTGAATCTGCGGAGAGAAGTCGTGAGTTTAGAGGTGATTATCATGTACTTGATGAGATTCTGACGAACTTTTCACTTTTGTCTGTAGGTTTGAGTCCCGTGGAATTTAAAAAAGGCGGAGTCCCGTGAAGAGCTGCCTCTGTGGGGCCGCTTCGAAGTGATGCGCATGATGTAATTGCGCTTTGCTACGTATGATACTGTTCTATAGAATACTCGGTATTTTTGCTCGTATGGCGTTCTTGCCCGCTATGCCTTCATTCCTATCCTGTTAGCCGAGGCGCAGACTTGCGCACTTCTCATACCAAAACGATGAAGCGCTTTTCGAGAGAGATGAGACCCGCTAAAGCAAGGACGTACATAGCCCGAGAGAATCACATCCTGCAAAACGAATTTTATCCGTTTCGACGAAATCTTGTGTGTTTTTTGACAAAGGACCTTTTGAATTCTACTGTCCATCGTCATTGGGAGGATTTTTGCGTGTGTGTTGCTTCGCGATAGTTGGATAAGAAGCCGGAGGCGCAATAGTCAATTAACAGGAAATTAGATTGTCACTAGGTCTGAAGAATGTGCGTGTAGCAACACGAGTCGTTGCAAAAATGGACGCGCCGTACCGTCCCCCAGCGTCCGAGGTCCGTTCGGTCTTTCTTGCGTCACACGGTGCAGCTGACCAGAGCCCGGGCTTCGGCTATTCAGCGGGCGGGGGGAGTAGTAGCTCTTCTCCCATGAAAGCGCCGCAATTTTCGTCAGCAGGATCCAGAACAGCTCCAAGTGGTTTAGCCAGTAACACGACAAATCCACTGCTCGCGATGAACAATGGCGGTTCACTCTCCGGCAGTGGTTCACTTCCCCCAGCAGCGCTCGGCATGAATGTTGGCCTTGATGCGCAGTTTGGTGGCTCAGCCGGGTCTGGGGGCGGAGGTGGAGGTGGGTTCGGTGGAGGAGGCTTCGGCCCGGGAGGGTATCTGAACAACAGCTTGACTTCGACCAGCGGGAACAAAACGCCCAAGCAAGTCGTCCACAACTACCTGTCCGGCGCGGATCCACGGCAATTTTCCCCGGTGCCGTTGCCGCGGATAGGACAAGATGGCGGCGGACCGCAGTCGACCACGGATCTCGCGTATTACAATGGTTTTGAATCGTTGCTTGATGTCTTCACTTCGTTTTGATGCCATCACGCACAGTTCTGTCGCAGTACTCTCCTCTGCCTGCATCATGCAAGTACGCATTTTTAACATTTCACGTCCACGTGATCTAAGTACCAAGCCGCTTTCGTTGCCTGAGACTCCAACTTACAACTTTATGTTGGATGCAAGCTCAACTTACGAAAGCTACAATAGATATGTGACCAGTTGAAGATCCTTGTTGTGCTTTTTTTCATGTGCTTCAAGGATAATCTGAGTCGCACAATGAAACTCCGCTACAACATCATCTCCGTGCACCACAAAATTAAGTTTCTGTTTGATTTAAAAGTAAGCGTTTGTTGGCACCACGCACAGTCCTTTCGCATTCATGCTTTGAATCCGCTTTCGTTGCCTGAGACTCCAATTTACAATTCTATGTTGGGTGCAAGCTCAACTTACGAATGCTACACTAAATCAGTGACCAGTTGAAGATCCTTGTTGCGCTATTTTTCTATGTGCTTCAAGGATAATCTGAGTCGCACAATGCAAGAACAGAAACTCCGATCCAACGTCATTTCCGTGCACCACAAAATGCGCGGAAGATTTTGCAGCGTCGTGACCCACCTTCATATTAAAGTGTCAATGCAAGAAATCGTTTTCTATACAGCTTTCTCCGCAATAGTTTGGAGCAGGAGACTATGAACTGCAAAAGCATTGTACTGTTATAAATTGCATTACAAATTAGCCCAGCATTTGATTTGTAATGCTGATTTACCTTGAGAAAGAGATTTGTAATGCATAAATGCAATTACTACGAGTGCGATACTTTTGCACAGAATAGAGACCAAACGCGTCGCCGTGATCAACGAACGTCTTGGTTTTATCAAATGTAAAAATGTCTGGGTCTGGAAGAATGCAACTTGTGATGCGCATTTCAGAACACACAAAAATCTCTGATGCATAGGCAGCAAAAGCTGCTCACTTTCTGTCACCAAAACGGGGGATTTGTCATGCGGATTCGGCATTGCGGAAGCTTCTCGAAACCTGTGATGCTAGAGCTTCCATGCCAGACCTTGTGTGTCATGCAGAAACAGCATGATCTTCCAGACCCAGACATTTTTACATTTGATAGGTTTCCTGGAGGACCAAAACCGCACCTTTCGCGAGCTCTGCTGGGATATGAAATGCAAAAGCATCGTACTCGTATAAATGCATTACAAATTTCCTCAGCATGAGAGAGAAAATTTGTAATGCGGATTTCCCGTAAGATAAAGATTTGTAATGCAAGCCTTGCACTCATACGAATACGATACTTTTGCACAGGATATGGGACAAGATTGCGCATTTGGAAAAGGAATCGCTGAATTTGAAGGAGCAAGTGCTGGACAAGATGATGTCCATGGAGCAAGCGCAGCGTATAGGAATGTTGCTTTTTTCTCTGTAATTCATGCACGATCTCCTGCAGCAGCGACAGACATACTATTCCATTCTATTCGCTGTCGTGCAGGTGCATGACGATGGCAAGATTGATTCATTGAGCGGCGAAATAAAATTAAAAAAGGTATAAACCTCCAAGAGCACGCCATGCAGGTGACCGCGCTGTCGCAGAAAGTGGACGACTTTGCGTCAGATGAGTCGACGCAGGAGCGGGTGCAGCGAGCGTTGCTGAAGGAATTGGATGAGTTGAAAATCGTCGAAAACATTCAAAACATGAGCGGTAGCTTGAAAGCCAGCGTGGCGAAGATGGAGGACAGAATACGGCACACCGGGGAACATGCGGAGCAGGTAAGAATCTCTGGTTTTTTTGTCATGCAAGAATGACAGCACAAAGGTGTTTTGTCATGCAGAAATCCAATTGTTCTTTTGCTCTCCCATCATGATGACAAAATCTCACTTTCTCGAGCTGTACGGTCCACCTCTACGGAGGACCGGGTGCCAGCCGAAAACTAATATCCAAGAATTCCAACTGATTTTCAAGACAGAGAAGACTACAGAGATGACGTTGAACTTGTGATGCAAGAATTTCAAACGCAGATGTTGGGCGTTTGTGATGCAGAACATGCTTGGTACACACAATCTATTGTATCAGATGCTCCAGCAGAACTTGAAAAACGCAAAGGCGGACATTGACTCCCTCATTGACATGAAGTTGAAGGAATTCGTCGTCGCCCATCTAGTCCCGATTCAGAAGGAAATTTCCGGGTTTTCCAACCAGCAAGCCATGAAAAACAAGGAGGTTGAGTTTTCCCTCCAGACACTGGATTCCACGGTAGATCGAAATCGAAACGAAACGGTCGAAGCGCTGGCCGAGACAAGGAGGTCGACGGTGGATAGCATACGGCAGCTGGAGAAGGAAGCTCAAGTGGCCAGGGAACAGTATTCTGATTTGAAAATATGTGTGGTTTCGACGTGGTTCTTGTCCAAAAGAAATATATGGTCCTGCAACACGCGTTACGCGGTGGTGTGGTGTTTGCTTGTGAAGATGCTTCAGACGTGATAACATCGTGCGTAAGATTCTGCAGCCTGCTGTGATGGAGTATTAAAACGATCAGCGTCTATTTCATACCACGCGAATGCCCTTCAGCTTTTCAAGTTGAGCCTTTTGCTTTGCCACGGCAGGCACCAGTTGTGCTTTTTTCCCCGCACTCGACACCTTCGCTTTTTTCACTCTTGCTTGTCCTGTACTGGGATTTATGTTTTGTGAATCTAAAAAGTGGGCTGTCATTCGAATCTTTTCCTCCACTGCGCACTTTATTCCAATCGAGCCGGCTGCTCCGCAACGTAGAACTGGGTGCCGGCGGCCGCTGCCGCATTTGTTCGCCGTTGCAAAAGTTTTCTTCCGCATGTCCATCCTGCGCAACGTCATTCACGATGCTACGCTTGACGATTAATTTCCTTGCGCTCGACACCATGCAGGGATACGTCACCCAGCACGTCATGATCCATTCTCACTTTGGATCCATTTTTTTTGCTGTGACAACTGCAGCATCGCGAAACCGCATGTAGATCATCTACCGCAACTTCTCCGGTTACCCACCACTAACAAACAATTACCAGGCTCCAAGAAAAGCACACCGCGCTGGAAATATCCCACGGCCAGCGGCTCACCAAGGTCACGAACGACGCAGAGGATATCCGCGAGAAGCTTGTCCCTACCGAGGTGAACAAACTCAAAGAGGAATTCATCGAGAATTTCGACAAGTACCAAAAGCAGTTCGAGTCCAAGATGTTCAATCTCCTCGCCGTGCGCGAGAAGGAAGAGGCAGCGGCGCTACCAGCCCAGAACCAGGCGGCGATAGCACAGTTGACACAAACGGTTTTTCAAAATGCAGAAGTGCTAGAACAGGTGAAGTTTCAGGTGCTGTATCCACAGTAAATTTCCCGTAAACGTACAAATGCGGTCTCCGCATGACAAAACTTGGCTTCGATCCTAGTTTAGCATGGCAAGTTTTACGCTCCAAATTGGCGAAATTTGTGATGCGTCTTGTACATGTGCGGGAGATTTGTATTGCATATGCTAGAAAACGTGAAGAACTTCGGATCCATGCGGCAGGAGTTCGGGTCGGGGATAATGGCGTCGAAGCAGGACTATCCTGTGCAAAAGTATCGTACGCGTAGTAATTGGATTTATGCATCACAAATCTCTTTCTCAAGGTAGATCAGCATTACAAATTCAATCAATATGTAATGCTGGGCTAATTTGTGATGCAATTTATACTAGTGCAATGCTTTTGCATTGCATAAGGACCTGGATTTGGTGCGCGGCGGGCTGGAAAAAGTAAAGAAGTGGGCGTTATCAAATGTAAAAATGTCTGGGTCTGGAAGGTTGGAACTTGTCATGCTGAATCTGAATCATGCAAGAAATCTGTGTTGCGTGATTACCAACAGCCGTCGTTTTTTACCAAGTTGAGAGGCAATTTCTCATGCAGGATCGGCATGCTAGAGATCTCACAGAGTTTGTCATGCTAGGCGCTGCATTTCAGTTCTCATGAGTCATAGAAAACCTGCATGACAAACCTGGTAACCTTCCAGACCCAGACATTTTTGCATTTGATAGGCGTGCGAATTAGACAACCAGCTACGGGATTTTGAACAGCAGAAGGGCTTCTTAATGAATAACGCGGGCGGGGGAGCAGTTGCGACAGAGACTTTGTCGAAGAGGATAGAACAGCTGGAGAGAGGTATATAGATAGCATGGTGAAATTGTTTGTCGTCGTATTATTTATGCGGAAATGAATGCGGCATGAGCGAGGGCAGCGTGCTGAGGTAGTACAACAAACATGTTGAACTGTAATGTTAAAGACCAGTTCTTGCGCGGTATACTAGAAATTGTTTCAATTCCACTATGACCCAGACACCGAGCGTCGCTTCGAAGCTTCTGAGCGCCGGCATGCGGAAACTCTGATCAACGTAACGCGCTCGCGTCCCAGCTCACCACAACGATCCAGCATGAATAACAACTTCCGAAACAGCGGGAACAACCAAATGCCTTCCTCCTCTAGCAGGTCCCGTTCCGCCGCGAATCAGCAAGCTATTAGAAAGTCAATCTCCAGCACGCTGGCACAGTCAATCGAATCGGTGATCAGCAATGGGACAGCATCGAACTTCGCCGACCCAGCGCAGCAGATGCTCAACAGTAGCCTAAACACGGGTAGCATCGAGAAATCGTTACCTATCTCGAAAGCGGAGTTCTCCAAGATTCTGAAGCAGCTGGAGCAGGAGCTGCGCGCCGTAGCAGAGGCGACGGAGATAGAATTGGATGTGCTGCGAAACGAGGTATTCGAGCACGTGGAAGACAAATCCGGAATAACGCTGAACCAAGTGGAAGACTCCCTCCGCGCGTTTGAACAAACCGTCGCGACAAACGCAGTATGCATTGCAAATATGTCTGGGTCTGGAAACTTGTGATGCAAGAAAGGGAATAGTGAACTGACTTACTATGATGCGCTGCCAAGCATGACGAGTTTTTTTCATGGTTCTGAGTTGGGTACTCCGCATGACAAACACAAACCGCGTTTTTGCATGACAGGGAGGAGGAGCTCTTCGCAGCCATGCAACACAGAGTTCAGAGTCATGCCGGCGGGCATGACAAATCTCGCAATCCCCCAGACACAGACACTTTTGCAGTTGATGCGCAGCTTTGATGAACAACAACAGCAGACCAGCGATCGCCGACATCGACCCCGCGATACCGACGAAGCTGTCGGTGTTGGACCGAAAGTGCGATGACATTACGAGCAGAGTAGACCGGGAACTACACGACATGAAGAGGGATCTGGGGTCACAGGTATAGAGGGTAGAGTTTCATTTTCGGGCGCAGTGAACTGATTGCCAGATGAGGTGGCGTGCTTAAACAAAAATGTTATTATTTGCCATCATTAGATCTTCATTTTCTTCACCTACTTCCAGGCCCAACAATTTTCCCGCGACTTGGATCTCACCGAAGCGCGGGCGCGCGAGGCAAACTTGGATTTGCAATTGAAGCAGGAGCGACTGGAGAAGATGATTCTGCAGGAGCGTAGCAGCGCCGGGGCGATCTCCGCCGCTTACGCAGCCGCGGAAAGACGAGGGCGGGCGGGAATTTGATCAGGAGGATAGTGCTACTTCGACGATGCCTTTTCTCGCATGCTCCTGAAGACATCAGCGTCGGTCGCCAGCATGCGACGATCGCCGCGCTGTGCTGGCTGCGTGCGAAAAAGGGCCCGAACAGATTGTTATTCTGTTTTTTTTTTGTTGAGCAACGAGAACGAGAGCGAAAGGTCAAATTTACAAGCAGAAGCAGTATGTAAAACAAAAAACCTGAGGCAGACCATGAACTGCAGAAGTTTACCAGATTATCACATCATCAGCGACCACAAGCGCAGCTTCAATTACCTGCGGTTAGTAGAGATGAACAACTGCGCCCGCGTCTTGTGGAGCAGTATTGTCCTCATGTGCTTTATTCAATAATCAAACAACGCAATTACGAGTAATAGAATACTGTAATGTAGTGTAGTAGGTGGCTCATATTTACACCACGAAGACACGATAGGGACAGGGAGTATAGAGTACTTCTCTTACGCGGAACAGCTGGTTCCGATATGAAAGCTACTCGCAGCGCGATTCCGACGGTTATTTTATTGAAGGAAAATTTACAGTTTGTAGTGATGGTCTACGAATTCAAAATGAATGTTTTGTTCGGGTGTTTTTCATTGACCAATACAACCTACCCGCACTAGAAAGTTTACTTCTTCTATCGCCGCGATACATGCATCAGAAGTTGTTGCGGTGCTGTCCTAGGGGATGGAGAATAATGAACTTGTACTTGAATGGTCTGTCCATAACTACTGACAAGAACTCGCAATATACCAGCACATTAAAAACGACTGACTGCACATGGAGATGCCAAGGAAAGTTTTTTTCGAATTCACGAGCGCGCAGGACGTCGCAAGCACGCAGGTAGACGGAGCAATCCGTAATGTGAGACTCGCATCGCGGAAGTTGAGTTTCGCTTTCACAGTGCTCGCGCTTGCGCTTTGCAAAATAGAAATGAATGGTGTGAAACATATTTGATCCGAAAGAAGCTACATGCAGAACGCCGCGCTGCGTGTCTCGTTGATGGATGTTGTGTTCTAGCGTTGACCGATTTGCCCTGATTTTTGCGTGCTTCTTGAGCGTTCGGAGTTGGAGCGCTCCTTGTCCTTTCTCATTGCAGCCGCCACACAATTCGCATGGCGAACTTGGCGGGGCCCGCCGTTCCCAAAGATGTCCAGCCACATCCCGGCCCGCAAGCTTCGCGCTGAGTTGCGCAAGCTGAGGGGCTGCGCCGGCACAGTGGGCCGCCCCGTCCTCGCGCAAGGGAGCGCAGTGCGTGGGCTGCCGGGATTCGCGCGGGCCAGAGAGGTGCCCGGGCGAGGTCTTGGGCGCGCATAGGTAGCGATCGGAAGCGTGGCGGAAGCACTGCGAGCGACGCGCATCTTTGCCGTGGTGGCTCATTGGGCCGATGGCTGAAGAAGGCGGAGGCAGTTGCTAGACGGCGCGCCTGGGGTCCGGGCGTGGGCCTTGCGCCTTTGGTCGGCCCCGCCCTTTTGCCGGCCCACCGGGCGGCGCCGCGCACGGCAGGCAGGGGGGCGAAAGGGCGGTGGCCCCCGTGCTAATCATGCTGGTGGGGGAGAGCCCCCCGCGTATTTCCGGCCCGTCGGGCGCGCGCGTTAATTTTTGAAGGCGCCCGAGGGAGAGCGGCCGCCTGCAAGTGGGGCAGGAGCGATCCCTCCTCCGAGTTCGATGAAAGGCAGCGATCAAACTGCGCGCAGCCGGCCTTGCACGCTAAGAAGGCAGGGCGGGGAAGAAGAAAAGCGGGGTGACACAGCTGCAGCCGGGCCCCCCGGGGCTGCCGGGCCTAGCGCCAACCATACAAACAAACAGGCGGCAGCCAAGCCGCCAGCGCGTGCCCTGATTGCGCCCCCGCCTCTGGCAGCCGGCCAGCCCGTTGGCTTCCTTGGTGTCGGCGCGCGAGGCGCCGCCATCTCTTGGCCGCCCGCGCGCGCCACCCACGCACGGCGGGCCGGGCGGGCGCGCCCCGCGCCCGCATTGCGGCGCGCGGCGCCGCTGGCCCGGGGCTTTGGGGCGCTATGTGTTTCGAAGTGGCTCCAAGCATTTTGGCGTGGGCGCCCGGATTTTTTTCCACGGAGAGCGAACCCGGGGCCCGTGCCCCCGCAAGATTGACCCCGAGGCGCGCAACGAGATCAGAAATGGCCGCGCTGGCGGAGTTGCTTGCGGCCTCGCCACGGGAGGCGCGCGCGCGCGCCCCCCATCCAAGCCGGCGAAGAAGCGCAGCAAGCACGCCGCGGCGCCTCTGCCCCGAGTGCATGGGGGCGGGGGGCGAGGGAGAAAGCCTACGCGCGCAAACTCGCCGGCCGGCCGCCCGCCGCGCCGCCCCCCCCCCCCCCCCAAGAGAACAAGGGGGCCCCTGCTCATCAGGCCCGCCGGGGCGGGGCCCGTCGGTGTGGGCGCCCCCGCCTTCATTCCTTTTCCCCTCCCAAGCGCGCCGTCGGCCCCTTCGCAGAGTGGAAGGCCGGCCGGCCTTGGGGGGGCGGGCGCCCGGATCGGCGGAGCGGTAAATAGAAACATGCGCCACGCATCCCCCCGGGCGCGCTTTTTGTTTTCCCGACGTGCCGCACCAAAGGAAACAATACAAAAGCGCGGCCCCGCTCTGCAGCTCGGCCTGCTCCCACGGCCGCGGGCGCGCCTTTTCCCATCGCAATCTATCTAGAATGGGCACCGCACTGCAGTGTAGACTGTGCTTTTTGGCATCGGTTGCCCCAGCTTCTGCTGTGTTGTTCCTGAAGTTGGTGCTCTTCATTCCTGGAGTTTGGTTGCGCCGGTTGCTCGTATCTGTTTGATGCAGTGCTCCATCCAGCGACAGCTCCAGTGCGCGAAACCGTTCCTCAGCGTCAACGCGCGTCCGATCTAGAATACAACGAACGCCCAAGTAGCTTGCTGCGCGGCATCGGTTGGTATGTGCTAGCTTCTTAGTGGAGATGTGCATATCCAGAATTGGTTTAGTTCGCTTACGCCACAGAGCAAAGCTCACATGTCCCTCGGGGATTTTTTTATTTTTTGCACTGCAATATAATGTACTTCAACTTCTGAGAAGAGAACCGAACTTGGACAAAGACAATCACATGCAGGTATGGATCACAAACTTTATTGAGTTGAATTGTCTACTTAGCGTGAGCCTGTCGACGAGTCGAGAGCTAGCTCGCGTCAACAACCGTTGCACTACACGCGGTGCAGACCGACGGGAAACAAGAAACGGTGGTCGCGTTTCAGTATATTGACTGCAAAATATCATGTCCTTGTCCACAACGGCGCCCAGGGTAAATGCCGCTCTGGGCCAAGTTTTATTCCGGCAACTATTTGAGAAGGAGTCCAGCACCTACACCTACCTGCTTGGAGCGGCGAATGGGGAGGCGGTTCTGATCGACCCCGTTCTGGAGACGGTCGAGCGCGATTTGAAGCTCGTGGAGGAGCTGGGACTCGTTCTCAAGTACGCGGTAAACACGCACTGCCATGCAGACCACGTCACCGGCACGGGTAAAATCAAGGAGAAGCTTGGCGGGGTGGTGCGGACCGCGATTGGGGAACACGCGGAATCGAAAGCGGACATTTTGCTCAAGGACGGCGACAAACTGGAGCTCGGCGGGGCGTCCGGAGTCGAAGGAGGCGCTTTGTCTCTCACCGCGGTGCACACGCCGGGCCACACCGGGGGATGCCTAACGTATGTGCTGAACGAGGGGACCATGGCGTTCACAGGTGTGTAATTGAAAACTAGTTTTGAACGCTATTTCTCATAGATCAAAATGCAGAAAATGAACAGGATGATAAGGACAAGCGATCGAGCAAGAAAAGGACCAGAATACCGCGAAGCGCAAGAAAATTCTTGCTACGATCGAAAGGAAAAGGAAAGGGAAAAGCCGAATAAGGAAAAGCAAAGAAATTAGATCTGATTTACGTTGAATTAGCATGACAAATTGCCTTTTTACTACTTTCAAGGAGCTGAGCCAAGGCTACGGGCACAATGGGGCTTGTTAGGAATATGAAAATAGCATTAGAAACTGGGAAAAACTAGACTCGGCGTAGGGAATCTGCAATGCGGATTTTAAGGATTGAAGATGTAGCTTTAGATGGTGTTCGCTTTTGACTCGGTATTGTTGCTTCAGAAAATCAACCTCTCCATTTCGAAACTAGATCCTCTACAGGTGACACACTGCTAATCCGCGGCTGCGGGCGGACGGACTTTCAGAGCGGCTCTGCAAAGACTCTGTTCCGGTCAGTGCGGGAAAAGATTTTCGGCCGGCTATTCTAAGGAGAAACGTCCCCATCCCAGAACTTGTTGGGAGCATTGATTTGTGTTGCAAACCTTTCTTCAAGCGAAAACATGCGCCCTCTTGCCTTTATCAGCATCACAGGTCATTTCCAATGAATCGTGAGTAGAAACCATGCAAAAGTAGATCCCAGGAAGAGCGGCGCTGGTCATGCAAGCAATGCTGTATACGACTAGACTCTGCATTAGAAAGACTAGTAGTCCTTTCATGCATGACAAAAAGTTTCCATTTGGAAACTTCGCAAACTACTGCATCTCTCGGGGTGGAGGCATTTTTCACTGCAATACCGGCTCCCAGATAGCTGCGTACTGTACCCCGCGCACGACTACCAAGGGCGGACAAGCACGACCGTGTGGGAGGAGAAGAAGTTCAATCCTCGCTTGGGTCTGGAAAAAACGGAGGCACAGTTCGTCGATATCATGGACAATCTGAACTTGCCGTACCCGAAAAAGATCGACCAAGCGGTGCCGGCGAATCAGGTCTGCGGAGTATTTTCCGAGAGCAACTGAAGTGCGGGGGCGCGGGCGAATTTCGGAGGAACTACTGTCCATCTGGCTCTTGCCAGGCGCTGGTCTTTTTCTTTGCCGCTGCTCTTCACTGTGCCGGGGGTGAAGATGGGACTGGCTTTCATCGCACCAGCATCTCAGTTGATTCTTTCTGCGTAAGTCAAAGTAAATCTATGTTGTTGTTGCCTTGTATGTCGTTGTGTACTAGCACAAAAAATCTTCATGTTTTTTCAGAGTCATTTTCATAAATTTCACGAGTTTTTTAATTTGGAATTGACCTCCTCTGTTGTTCCGGTGTAGAAGTCTCAGACTTTGACTCCTCTGTTGAACAAATAGGGTTGTAGTCTCGCGAGATTCCCTCGCGAATAAATTGCAATTGTAATAATTGTAATCCGCTGATGAACAACAAAAAGCGAGCACATTTGTCCAATTGTGTTCGTTTCAATTGTAAAGTCTTTGTCGATCGCCGCCGCGAACGTGAATCAATGGTGGGCGCCGATAAGTAGAATTTACGTCACGTAAAAAAAGGAGGTGGTAAATAATCTCTGCCTCGAGCTAGTACCCCTGAACGGAGGCTGCGAATTGTCTATAGAGCTAGAGGCAGCTACTGCTACATCTAGTACAAGCATCAGACACATATGATGCCCTCCTGGCCCTATCATGCTCGCCCAAGCTTGGGGCCGTGCAGACACGTCGTTCGTACTTCGAGCCGACCTTTGGCAACATCGTCATCTGCGTGGTCCGCAGCTGCATCATCTTCGTCTTCATCGACTCGTCAACATCATTTGTTCTGCCAAATGAAGCTTTCGTTTCTCTCCAATAAGACGAGAAGAACCATTGTCACGACGCGTCCTCGCCACGAAATGACGGTCACCGAGGTTCCGGACACCAACATCATCCTCCTGGGCACCAGCCACACCGAAACGACACACGAGGACCTGTTGGAGAAGTTCAAGGAACTGGAACCCATCTCCGAAATTGCCGTCGAAATGTGTGAGGACCGACTTGGCCAGCTTTTTCTCGGCCAGGCGCGGAACGGGTTTCAATCGGTGCGTGGGGAGCAGCTCTCGCACCGGTACGAGCAGAAACTCTTCCAAAGGATCGAATATGCATTGCAAAAGTGTCTGGGTCTGGAAGATTGCTGAGGTTTGTGATGCTGTGTCTGCATGACACGGAAGGCGTGCCATGCAAGGCCTAGCGTCACAGGTTTTGAGACGGTTTCCCAATGCTTAATCCGCATGGCAAACGCCTTCTTTCGGCGACAGGAAAAGGGGCTCCCTTTGCTGTGTAAGCATGACAGATTTTTGTGTGATCCAAGTATGCATCACGAGTTCGCATCCTTCCAGACCCAGACACTTTTGCACTTGATATCGAAACGCTGCAGCATGGGCGGGACATGGCGACGGCTGCGTGGTTTTCCAGGTTTCAGTATCAAATGCAAAAGTATCTGGGTCTGGAAGATCGCGAGATTTGTCATGCTTGTCTGGCATGACCAAAAAGTTTGTGATGCATGTCCAAGAAGAGACCCTTTTGCCTGTCATGCAAAAACGCAGTTTGTCATGCGCAAAACGCAACACAAAGAAGCGCAGATATTTCTCATGCTTGGGTGTGCATTACAGAGCACTCACCACTTCCAACGCAGCATTACAAGTTTCCAGACCCAGACATATTTGCATTTCATATTCAGTTACGGAAGCCGGTGTTGCTGCTGGATCGGAAGTTTTCGCAGACCTTGGAGGCACTGGCAAATGACGTGCCGTATGCAGAACTGGAAAAGCAATTTTTCTGGCAGCCGCTGACCTGGCCCTGGACGGTGTGGCGCATGCAGTTAGCGTTTGAGGAGTACTGGGAGAACAGGAGGAAGCTGGATCTCGATGTAGTGCAACGGTCAGCGGGAAGAAGTGGTCCAAACGTAGAGAAAGCAGAAGTTGTGCCAGCACATGCGGTAAAAGTGCCACCAGACCCTGCTGCATCAACAACCGATTGCGTAAAGGAAGACCAGCAAAAATCTTTTCAGGCCGCTCAGAGTGAGAACTCACCAACATCAACAAGAACCGAGGATCCACCTCATCTCACCTGGTCGGAGCTAGCTCGCATCGCGAAAGTCCCAAATGTCTGGCGGGGTTTCCTGGCGTCTATGCCGATTGCGCTGCACGAATGCCAGAGCTGGGTGGACGTGGAGCATGTGTTTCGAAAAGTGCGGTGTTGCTCCGAGGAGCTGGAGCGCAGCTTGCAAAAAGTTGTGTTGGATGGGCGGGACGGCTACATGGCAAAACAGTTGTTTTGGAACAGGAGGTACAACGCGGGCAACGAGGGTATGGCGTTCTCGAACGTTACATTCTCAACTGTTACATGAAATTTGTAATGCAAGAATGGCAAAAGTCAAAAGGGGGAGGCTGCATCTGTAGCATTACAAATTCCGCAGAGATTCAGGCGCTGTTCTTGTTTAGCCCTTCGCAAATTTGTCATGCGAAGCAGCTTGATCATGTAGATGTTTATGGCGCTTCTGCATGACAAATTCATGTAACACTTGAAAATGTAACGTTTGAGAACTTCATAGAGGGCAAGTGCGTCGCAGTGGTTGGGGATTTTCATGTCGCAGGGATGGTGGCGGAGCTGGAGAGGCTCCGAGAAGAAGAAAGAAACTACACTGCGGGCAATGCTTCTACTTGCAGTACAAATACAACTTCTAGTACTCTGAGCAGCATGAAGATGAATAAGACCGGAGTGCCTCTTTCACGACACGAAAAAGGTAGTAGTTCTTGCTCAGGAAAATTAAATTCAGATCGGCTGGCAGACAAGCCCTGGATAGTACGAAAATACTTTGAACGCCAGCTAAAATTTGCGCTGGGCGAAATTTTGTAGAATAGTGTTAAATGCTCCTGCTGTCCTGTATTCATGACTACGCAAATTTTTAAGCAGGACTGTGAAATAGAAAGAAACACAATAAACTTGCGACTATGCAGAAAGCGAGTGCTCAAGACGAAGCGATTTGATGAGGAGCTCCATGTGTGTTCCAATTTGAAGGCAGCCGCAGCAGCTTTCAACGTGCATCTTGATGATGATGACCCCACCAGCACTACTGAAGTGTGCGAACAGGCTGTTACCTGTATTACATTCACTAGGTCACCGTCCTGAATCATAATCACTTGATGAATCTCTTATCAGCCTCCACTGAAACACAAGCATGTTGTAGTTGTACTAGATTCAACCTAAATCGAAATCCCCTCCCTGCAACACACGATATTGCACGACGAGTGACAAACAAAACCCATAAAAAAAAGACCAATCAGAAAGTGCTGGGACATCAGTTTTTCTGCACTATCACTTCTAACGTAAAAAGGTAGTCAAAGTTTTTTTCAAATACCACGCACTAGTATTTTCTGTGTCCTACCAGGTGTGAAGAAAAAGCACGAACCAGTAAAATTTTTGTTTAAAGCAAAACCATAGTAGTTTGTCTGTCGTGCCATACACATACGTAGTAAATTACCTTATTTTTTTGTTCCATGTTCACGAGGACTTGAACTTGTACTCATCAAACAGCAATCGGTATAAAGTACTTGGCAACAACTCTGAAACTTCGCAATAGTAAAAAAATAGTGTAAGAAGAAGAAGAACCACACCACAACAAGCTCAAGCGTGAAAATAACAGAAGAAAATAAGGCGACTACTTACAGTAGTCTAGCACGCCGCTAGCAAAATAAATTGAAGAGACCGACCCTGTCTCTAGTATTAGTAGCCACTTTTGAATCAAGCAACAAAAAAGAAAAAGCGAAAATGTCGGAGTGGGCAACTTTGCTAAGCAGCTATATGGTCGACCCCAGCGAAGAAAATGCCTCCTACGCAAGTATCAAATCTGTCATGCTGTTATTTCATCTGCATAGAGGAAACATAAAGATAAAACAAGTTTCTTTATGCAACATATGGTGCAAAAATGACAATGAGTGAAAGCGAAATGGAAATCGCAATGCGAATGTGAAGTTTTTAAGTTGTATCAAAAACCACCAAAAATTTCAGATAACTCGATGAACTATTGCTTGAGCGCAGCAATTGGGGGCAAGCACTTCGGTATGGCGCAACAGGTACTTCTTAAACGATCCTTGAATTTTGCAGTCCACCTCTGAATGCTAAACAGAAGGAGAAACTTGCCTTTTCCGCAACAATTAAGTACTTGGGAAGATTGATGCAATTGCAAACCCAGCCTTCCAGGAGTTGAAAATTTCTGTATCAGGTTCCAGCAGGCACAACATGGTGGGGCGCGTCGTGCCGACCAGCGGACGGCGACACCGGAATTGACACAGACGCTGCTTTATCAAATGCAAATATGTCATCCGGGTCTGGAAGTTGGGAACTCGTGATGCTAACTTTGGACTCTAAAAAAATCTGTATTGCATGACCAGCAAGAGGAGCAGCCTAGTTTGTGTTGCGCGGGGAGGGCATTTGTCATGCGGAGAAGGCATCAGCAAGCCCCCTAAAAATCTGTGATGCTAGGCCGTGCATTACAGACATCCTGGGTCAAGCAAAATACGCATGACAAACCCGGCAACATTCCAGACCCAGACACTTTTGCATTTGATATGCTTGGGCGCACGTCTACGCAGCGGACGCGGAGCAGAAAATTATGCAGGACGACATGACAGAGAAGGGGGTATAGTTTTGAGCTTGTCAGGAAAGATTTTGTCATGCAATTTTCGCCACTTCTGACGAAGACTGTTTGTGTTGTAAGTAGTCTCTTTCATGCACCATCGTGAGCCAGTACGCGGCGCACAGCAATTTTGCAACACGTCGACTCGTAAAAACAAATCCTCTATCAGGTATGGATTTGCGAATTCCAAACGATAGTAGACGCCTTCTTGCACGATCTGAAAAAAGGACCACTGGCCAACGGAGTCTGGATCGCGGGAAAGAAGTACTAATTCTTTTGGTTCCTTTCATGTTCCGCATGACAGATTCTCATTTTGATTGGTGTTTTGCATAAAAAGTTTCAGGAGCAGTGCAGCCTGAGTTGCGATGAACTGAAACAGGTCATAGGCGCATTTGCATTTCATCCTGCATGACAAAAAACCAGGCACACGATAGCACGGAAGCAAGTCGAAACCGGGGCCAACAACGAGTACAACTTCATTTTCATGTATGAAAGCCTCAGAATGGAAATCCTCAAAGTGGAAAAACTTTGTGATGCATGAGACGCGACGCAAAAAAGACTGTACTATTGCAGAGGACGCAATGAAGGCCGACTATTGTCCTTCTATGGGTTAAGAATTGGAAGGCTGATCAGCACGAGAGAAGGGCGCCCCTTTACGTTGACCAGCATGACAGACATGCTTTGAACGCCCGGGAAATTTGTCATGCGCCGCCTACAAGTGGCGCGTCAGCCGGAGTGTTTTTTTGCATTACAAACTCTTCTCACTTTGAGGATTTCCAACCTGAGGCTTTCATATCATGGTCGCCGCGCAGAAGGGAGAGAAGGGACACATCGTCATGTCTACCGATGCGGACTTCAAGGGCAAGGCCTGCATTATCACCGCCGAATTCGACAAGAGCTTAGGGTGCACCAGTGGTATTGGAACCGTGTTTACTTATTTTTGCGTGATACTTTGTAGTCTTGGTACGCATGAGAGATTCTGCTCTTGCAGTGTGTACTTAAAGTTGCCCTCGTGCTGCATGAAGTAGGAAACTTGCGATGCATGACAGGCAAGCGTGTTGGCATTTGTGATGCAAAAGAACAACGTCTCTTTTTCAATAGGTATGGCCACCGCGGTCGCGTTGGACTTCGCGAAGTGGCTGAAGGAGAGCGGTACCGACCAGAGCGACTCTATTGCGGCATAAATCACGACACGATCACGATCATGTTGTTCGCGAAGAAGAGCTGCAAGTTCTCCAAGTGCACCAGACGCCCGCTACCTTTGAGTTTTAAGGAAACGACGCACTCTTTGTGCAATCAAGTAATTTGATGTTCCCCTTTTTTTCATGAAAGATCATTTTTCATCAACATCCCCTCAACTACGGAACCCGGAGGCCACAAGCGATCACGTCGACAGGAGCAGCAATCTGATTCAAAGGCAAACAGATTGGAGAACAAGCGGAAGGAGGTTTGAGAACAAGGACAATGAAACTTTGTTGAATAATATGAATATCATCACACGACCACACCGGACGAAAGAATAACGGTGCGTATTTTATTCATTCGTATCACTATCATCGTATAATTATCACACGACCGTATAGACGTCACAAACACAGTTTAAATTCAAGCAGCGAGATCGTCGTTTGATCGCTAGTTACAATGCAACTAGCGTGCAACGGCCTCCTTCATGATTTTTTTTTTTGGTAGTACAGCAGACACAGCATGTGAACTGGAGCCAAAGGTAGTAGATCTGTGGCGATGTTCGGGTCGTCGCACAGTTCACTTCACAGGAACTCAGCAATGCACGGCTAAGGAAGAGGAACCTCGATACGAATTTCCCTGGAAGATGAAAGAATGATTGGCCGAGGGAGCCAAATTGAAGGACAGGATCGATGGAGCATTTTTCCGGCTCCGAGCGTCTATTCACCGATAAAGCCGTTGTGTTCTAAGTAGCCTCTTCATTTAGGAAAGTAAGTGACACAAGCGCTGTGGACTCGGCATTCGCGGCGCGACGACTCGGCAGTGTTTTGATACATAAGCCTTCCCGATGTCGTTTTCTTCATAGCGGCGGAGCTTGTCAGCGTTTTCGCCCCTGCGGCGTCTGCCGCCCGCGCTGGTCTTTTGTTTGCTGCGGAAAGTGTTCCGCGCCCCCTCCGGTCCGTCGCTCTTACGGCGCGCGGCCCGGCGCTGCCACGGTTCTGCAACGGGTGGGCCCGGGTTCGTTCATGCGGTTGATGGTTGCGATGTGGCTCGCCCTCCTGCAAATGGATGACCTTGCCGCGCCTACGCAACCCACCAACGGCCGGAAGCCCCATCGTGTGCCGCCGCACGTTCTGCAGCAAGGCCATCAGAGAGGAGCGGGGGGCGGGGCCTCCGTGCTCGGGCGCAGGCGTGCGATCATAAGCACACGAACGAAGAGTGGCAGGAATGGGCCGAAGGCCACGGGGCTAAGGTGATAGAGGGCGAAAGATGGCAAGTGGGAGCGCTGGAAGGCATAGCCCCGGGTGGCCCCATTGGCCCGCATTTTTCCGGCAAGAATCGCCCGCCCCCTGGGGCCGCCCTTGGGTTGCCGCCGCCCGTCCTCTTGTGGGGCCGCGCCCGCAAGACTATTGGCGGCGCGCGCCAGTAGTTTCCGGCGCCTCCATTCGGCGGGCCCGCCCCGTGAGTGCTTGCTGCGCGCGGCTTCGTGTGCCTGGTGGCAGGCCCCGCGCCGGTGTTTTGGGCTTTGGCTGCCGGCGCCCTGGGGGGCTGTGGCAACCCAGAAGAAAGAGACGACGCGGACAATGGGGCCGGCCGGCAGTGGCGAGCTGGTGGGGGCCTGGCGCAGGTCTTGGCGCCCGCGGACGTCGAGCGCCAGCAAGCAAGTGGGCAGCGGGCCACGCCGACCCCAGTCCCCCCCGTCCGTGTGCCGGCCCCTTCGTGGTTGGCCGCCCTTCCTCGTGTGGGTGGCTTTGCGGCCTGCCCCCCAGGGCCCCGCCCCACCTCCCCGGCCCGTCGCGCTCGCGGCCAGCGAACTGCGCAAAAGGTTCCTGTGGGCGCTTCGGCGCGCGCGCCCTTGGGTGGTTGTGTCAAGGGTTCTCGAAAACAGCAATCGGGAAGTGGGGTGATCTGTTGGTCGGTCTCGGCCTCTCCAGCTATCAGCTACGCTTCCGGACGACATGCTGTCAACAAACGGGAACGCGCCCGATCTTCCATTCTTTCAGCAGTTAGCCAACATGTACTGCGAGGAAGACGCTCACGGCATCCCTAGCCTCGGCGCGCTTTGCAGCAAAGAGATGGAGCTGAGAGAGGCGCACCCTATCCCGACCGAAGTGGAGACGAAGTTGAAGCACTACGCGCCTCGTTGCGACGTGAGAGCCTACGCCTGCGACAAGTCGCTTGCTCGAAGTTTGAAAGCGCCCCCTTGGGTGGCGCGTTTTCAGGCGGGGCGGCGTATGTTCGCGGCCGGCGTTGGTGTGTTTCTTTCAATTCGCCCTTCCCGCCGCGCGGGCGGGGCCAGCAGGGGGCCCGCAGGCTGTTATTGCTGCTACCGGCCGGCGAGCCAAAACCCCGAAACCGCGCGGCGCGCGTAGCTGCCCGCGCAGATTTCGCAAACGCCGCGGCGGGTTTGCTGCCTCCCTGCCTGCGCACCGTCGGGCTTTTTTTTCACTTGATAGTGTAGTCAGCGGCCATGTTATAAAGCTTTCTTGCCTCGTGTTTCCGCTGCCAAAATCGTGCTCGAAGCTCGCTGAGTTTTGGTCATGCGCAGCTCATGGGATAAGGATAGCCCCGATCTATATAATTTGTGGTTGGTCCTCGTCAGCGCTGGCGCTGCAGTATCATCTTCGATCTCTTCTTTTTAAACATCCGTGTGCAACGGTGGATCACAGGCAAGATCTCTCGACGTGTCACCAGCCCAAAGAACTAAAATGCAAGCTTAAAATGAAAATGAAATTGGCATTAGTTACGAAGATCTGATGAGCGTGTGCCAGAAGATCTTTGTTGGTATTTAGTTCCTGGAATCGTAACCAAGATGTTGTTGCTCAGCCGCTCCCTTTGACAGATCTTTCCGCAGACGCGCACCCGCACTTTTTTGTCGACATTAAAGTTTGCTCCAAGAATACCTGTGTATTGCGGATAAGGGTGTGAAGAACTAGAACAGCAGTCGAACCAGAATAGACCTTGTTACTGTTACTGCACCAGACGAGGCTCAATTACTCCATTAAACTGCGATATCAGTCAAATATATCCGACAGCGACGACGTAGAAGTAGTTCTTTATCTGCTTTATTCCTAGTACGACGCATCACCTCAAGCATACGACCTCATTCATATTCCACAAAATTTTTCGTAACGTCAAAATTCCACCTTTTATAAAGCAATCAAACCCATTGGTCCGACGCTGCATCCGGGTGGAGACGAGCTGCGCAGCTGCTTCGACTAGTTCAACCCGAACAGCACCCTTCACCGTCGCCTCCGACGCGGAAGGAGAAATAAACCAAAACACATTATCAACAACCGCCCGCAAGCGCAAAATGCCGGCGTCCGCGAAAGCGATGCAGGTTGCGGGGTCTGACGCCGCCGTCGAACCGGTGTCGGTGGAGGAAACGAAGAAGCAGGGATCCGCGCGACGGGACCGGCTGGTAGAACTGCAACGACGAGCGCAGGACGCATGGATGCACGATGTGGCGTACGAGGTAAATTATTTTTGTACGAACAGCCTTTGAAGAACGAACCCGGAAGTTGTGGGGAAGAACTGCTGTCGATGCATCCTTTTGCATGTTTTAAGGAGTGTTTCAGTTTCCGAAGAATTTCTTCTTTGTCGTATGTCCGAATGAATACGTGCACGACCTCCGATGCCGAATGAATTATCCAACATCTATCAGGTCGACGCCCCCAGGCAAGGCGCTTTGACGAAAGAGGGCGAAGTGAAAAGTTCGAAGGACAAGGGGAAATGGCTCGTCACCTTCCCATATAAAATGCAAAAATGTCTGGGTCTGGAAACTTGTGATGCTAAAATGTGACTGGTGGGCGGACTGCAATAAGCAGCCAAGCATGACAAATTTTTCAACTACTGCTGTGTTTCGTTTTCCGCATGGCAAATTGCGTCTTTGCATGACAGGCAGAAAGCCAAAAACCGGCAGAAAATGGGGCCACGGAAGAGCTCTTGCTGGACATTACCAACATTTGTCCATGCAGAGCCGTCCTCTTGCCGGACACAACCAACACCTGTCCGAAACAGCCTAGGGCCAAGACGACACCGTGAGGACGACCACAGGGGGTTCGTCTCAATGATGATGATGATGACAGGCAAGAGGCCACTTTCCTGCTCATGCATTACAGATTTATGAGCCATGCCAGACAAGCATGACAAAGCTGCATTCTTCCAGACCCAGATATTTTTGCAGTTGATATCCCATATCCCTACATGAACGGGCGGCTGCACTTGGGACACGCGTTTTCCCTGACCAAAGCCGAGTTTTCCGCGCGGTTTCGGGCTCTGGAGGGCAGAAAAGTCCTCTTCCCCTTCGGCTTCCACTGCACCGGTATGCCGATCTGCGCTGCGGCACACAAGTTGGCTAAGGTACTGTTATATGCATGTTGGAGTTAGAGTTTTAGTTTTGCATTTCGTTATACGTTTTCGATACCTAGTACAACAGCAGGCCCACTTCATCTGTTCCTAACAAAAAGTTCAAACCTTTTTGTCTTGGATGAAAAACAAAAACTTCCGTCCACCTTGATCGCAAATCAATCTTCCCCTATCACCAGCAACTGAAAGAAGAGCAAGAGGACGCAGCGGAGGAAGCCGTCGCGCCAGAACAGCAGTCCCAGGACGCGGATGCCCCCACCGCCCCGGGCCAGTTCAAAACGAAGAAGACCAAAGCGGTTGCGAAGACCGGTGGCAAGCCCGTTGCGGAGGTGTTGAAGTCTTGCGGCGTTGCTGACCATTTAATTACCAATTTCATCGACCCGAAATACTGGTTGGAGTACTTCCCGCCCTACGGTATCGCGGACCTGCAAACCTTCGGTTTAAGGACAGACTGGAGACGGTCGTTCATCACAACCGACGCAAATCCCTACTACGACGCCTTCATCCGGTGGCAGTTCAACATTCTGAAGAAGGAAAACTACATCAAATTCGGCACCAGGGAATCCATATCCTTTGCAAAAGTATCGTATTCGTATGAATGCATTACAAATTTCCTTAGCATGAGAAATGAAATTTGCAATGCGGATTTGACTTAAGAAGAAAATTTGTAATGCATGACTGCAATACGAGTACGATGCTTTTGCAATGCATAATCCATCTTCGACCCGGTGTCCGACCAGCCGTGCGCGGACCACGACCGCGCCAGCGGGGAGGGCGTCGGCTATGCATTACAAATGACTTAGTGCTCGTATAAATGCATTACAAATTTCCTATAGCATGAGAAATAAAATTTGTAATGCGGATTTGACTTAAGAAGAAAATTTGTAATGCATGACTGCAATAGTACGTCGAGTGCGATCCTTTTGCAATGCATATCGGCCCGCAGGAGTACACGTTGATCAAAATGGAAGTCTATCAAATGCGAAAGTGTCTGGGTCGAGGACGAGGATGCAACTTGCCATGCTATCTTTGGATTCCAAAAAAAATCTGTATTGCGTACAGGGCAAGAGGAGTCCAGTTTATGCTACGCGGAGAGGGTATAATTCCTCATGCGGTATAGGCATCAGGAAGCCCTCGCAAAATTTCTGATGCTAGGTCATGCATTACAGGCATCATCGTTCATGCAAAATGTGCATGACAAGTGTTCCAATCTTCCACACCCAGACATTTTTGCATCTGATAAAGTCCTCGACGCGCCGGCTGCGTGGAGAGAAACCATCAGTAAATACACCGGCACGGCAAACGCGGAGCAGAAAATTTTCCTGGTCGCCGCCACGTTGCGTGCGGAAACCATGTGCGGGCAGACCAACTGCTTTGTGCTGCCGGAGGGGGAGTACCACGTCGTGCAGGCGAAGAACAACGAGATTTTCGTCTGCGGGGGACGAAGTGCGAGAAATCTGGTGTACCAGGAATCCGCGGTTGCTGCGTCGTTTGACTCGGAGTTTGTGAAGCAGGTATAGGAGACGATGTAGTTTGGAAGGTAGTTTGGGTTATGCCATAGTACCACGTAAAGAACGTTTTTTTCTGTTTACCTCACTTGCGGCACAACAGCTTCTGCTTGCATGTACTGACACCAGGCGAGATTAGATACATGAGAGGTGGTAATGGGGAAAATAAAAACTGAGTGTGAGAAAAGGTGTAGAAATATCTTCGTTCGTTGCGGCACAACAGCTTCTGCTTGCATGTCGAACAGCAATACAGAAAATTTGCAAGTAAGCAATTCTACACATGCATTATCGATTGCCAGGTCCTCCAACCCGACACCAACGCCGCTTCAAAGCAATTGATCGAAAGCATCCAAACCGACGACGCCCTCGCTATGAAATGCAAATATGTCTGGGTCTGGAAACTTGTGATGCTGGGTGGCGTATCATGAGGAGGCCACAAGTGCTGGCTCAGCATGGCAAGCTTCTGACCTTCTAGGTGTTGCCTACTCTGCATGACAGACTGCGTTTCTGCATGACAGAAAAGTCGGGTTCTTGGGTAACGTGCATGACAGATTTAAGAGTCAGGCCAGACAAGCATGACAAACCTGGCACTTTTCCAGACCCAGACATTTTTGCATTTGATACTCGCCTTGTACAAGCAAAAACCGCTCACCTACTTCACCGCCATGGGTAAGGAGATGATCGGGCTGAAGGTGAAGGCCCCGCTCACGCCCTACGAGTACGTGCACGTGTTACCGCTCTTCTCCATCCTGATGAACAAGGGAACGGGGGTGGTCACCTCCGTGCCCGCGGATGCACCTGATGACTACGCGGCGCTGATGGACTGGAAAACGAAGGCAAAACTCCGCGACCAGTGGGGCGTGAAGGAGGAGTGGGTGGCGGGCTTTAACGTGATCAACGTGATCAACACGCCTGATTACGGGGACGCGTGCGCACCGGTGCTGTGCAAGCAGTACAAGGTGGAATCGCAAAAAGACAAGGATAAGCTGAAACTGTGCAAGGAAGAAGCCTACAAAAAGGGCTTCTACTCAGGTATGAAATCAGGGTTTAGGATTTTAGATAAGATTTTCGCTATTACTATTTTATTTGGTGCATTTTAATTTATTTTGTTCCACAGGAAGAGAAGTCTGGCCGCAGATCACGTAGTACCGATTCTTGTTGACCAGTCATCTTGCATGCCACGACATTGATTTCGAGTCACGATGATATATAGAAAACCTCTCGCTGTCATCAACATCTTCTAGGTAAAATGATCGCGGGTCCGTTCAAGGGCATGGCCGTCGCGGATGCAAAGAAAAAGACCGCGGAACTCCTGGTGTCTACCAACGAATATGCATTCCAAAAGTATCGTACTAGTATAAATCGCAATACAAATTTTTCCAGAAGGAAAAATGGAATTTGTAATGCTGATTTCGCTAAGAAACAAGATTTGTCATGCATGATTGCAATTACTACGAAACGAGTACGATACTTTTGCACAGGATAACGAGGCTCTGAAATACTGGGAACCGGAAAAGGAAGTGCTCGCCAGAACCGGCGCGGAGTGCATCGTTGCGTTCTGCGACCAGTGGTTCATTGACTACGGAAATGAGGAGTGGACCAAGGTGGTCCGGGAGTACGTCGCGGACGAGAGCCAGTTTGAAAGTATAAATATGATGAAAATCGAAATCTTTTTGCTCTATTTACTGATTTTTGTATTGCAGAAGTAGGAATACATACGATGTTGTACTCCCTGCTAATATAAAAATCCGTTGAATTCAAACAAAACGCACGACAAAATGTACGAGAATGATTCAACAAGTAACTTGCCTACGAAACAACAGCTTACGGCGAGGGTACCCGCAACGGCTTATTAAAGACCGTCGATTGGATGAGGGAGTGGGCCTGCTCCCGAACCTTCGGTCTGGGTACAAAACTCCCCTGGGACCAGCAGTGGCTGATCGAATCGCTCTCGGATTCTACCATCTACATGGCCTACTACGCGATTGCGCACCTGCTCCAGGGCGGCATCCTGAATGGCATGAAACCGAACGGCGGGCAGGTCGGCACGGAGAGCTTCATTCCGCCCGGGCCCTTAAGAATTAAGCCGGAGCAGTTGACGGATGAAGTTTTCGATTACGTTTTCGATCGAACGGATTCGCTCCCAACAGAAACTTCCTTACCCGATTCCGTCCTGCAGGAGTTGCGAAACGAGTTCCAGTACTGGTACCCCGTGGACATCCGCTGCTCCGGCAAGGACTTGATTCAGAACCACTTAACCATGTCTCTGTTCAACCACGCCGCGATTTGGAAAAACAAGCCGCAGTACTGGCCGAAATCTTTCTTCGCCAACGGACACGTGTTAGTCGATAACAAAAAGATGTCCAAGTCCGAGGGGAATTTCATGACGCTCCAAGACGCGGACGACATGTTTTCCTCCGACGTGGTGCGCCTCACCTGCGCCGACGCGGGCGACACTTTAGAAGACGCGAATTACAGCCGGGAGATCTCTAACCAAACGGTGCTGCGCATGACGACGTTAGAACAGTGGGCGTTGGAAACTTTAAAGAAGCTATCTGCGGGTGGCCGAACCGAAAAGTTGTTCCTGGATCAGGTTTTCGAGAACGAGATGTGCTCTTTGGTGGCCAAGTCCTTCGAGGCGTACGAGACCATGCGGTACAAAGACGCGCTGAAGTATTCGTGGTACGAAATGGAAAACCTCAGGAAAACCTACTGCAACCTGACGGATGACGACGTGCACCCGCAATGTATACTACTTCATCTTACACTTTCCTTCATAGAAGCTCTCTGTGTCCTCTGTCGAGAGTTTTCTCCATGTACAACATGCGTTACAGGCCATTTACTTTTGCTTTCCAGTTTCTGATGCATAAAGCAAGTGCTTAAGTACAACAACATGCCTGTCGTGCTGCGAGGGGCAACAGCTCGTTACTCGTCGCATTGTTTCAACACAGAAGATTTTTTTCGCTTTTATCAGTTAAACTAAGACATCAAATCAGCCATCACCAAGTTTCTGGAGATCCAAGCCTTGATCCTGTCCCCGATCGCGCCACACTTCTGCGAGAACCTGTGGGTCTCCGTATCCTCAGCAAAAACGTCCCCACCCCAGAGTTGTGATGCAAATGTGCAAAGACAGCAACATTTGTAATGCGCATCTCCATGAGAGGTATTCGTATTCCCAATCGTGATTTGGCATTTGTAATGCTGTAAAGAGGATGAGAAATTGGCTTTCTCATGCGGCCTGCCTTGCTAAGCACCACTATGCTACAGACGGAGACTTGTCATGCACAACTCCCAAGGCTTGGCGATTTGTGTTGCAGATTTACCAACTTGAGCATGGGGCGGGGACGTTTTTGCTCAGGATAGTCCGTTTTGAAGAAGCGGGACCCGTTGTGGAAGCAGCGGTGGCCGGTGATGCCCGCGTTCGACAAGGTTCTGCACCGGAAATTTGAAGTGTTGGAAAAGGACCTCCGCGAGTTCCGCATGGCGAAACTGAACCTCCAGAACGAAAAGAAAAAGAAGCAGAAGGACTGGATATTACAATGAAAAATGTCCCCACCCCGTAATTTACAGAAGTTTCTCATGCAAAGTTTCCAAATGAAATGTTTTGTCTTGCATGAAAGAAGAAGGACTGCGAGCCTTTCTGATGCAGAATCTAGTTGCGCAAGGTATCTTCTGCATAACAGATCCCCCTGCTGTTGGACTCCTTTGCAACACAAGTTTCAGCTTTTCATCAGCATGGAAAACTTGTGATGCTGAGATATGCAAGACGGGGAGTGTTTCCATTGGAAAGGTTTGCAATACAAATGCTGCCAAGTTCCGGGATGGGGGCATTTTTCATTGTAATACTGGAACTTCGACGACGTGGTGAAATCCGCTTGTGTGTATGTCGCGTTGGAATACAAACCGTGGCAAAGGAGCATTCTGGAGTACTGATATTCATAAAGAGATTTCATTGTAGTGTGGATGCCGTCTGTGTTTCTATAAAGCCCGAAAATTTGATGTAGCAATCTCAATCAGATGCACTGCGAGCATGACCGCAAACGGTTCATCATGAAGATGATTAAGACACTTATCCCGAATATTAAACTACTATCAGGTACTGCCAAACCGTTCCACTAAACGAGGCTGGCAACGCTCCGGCCGACCCAAAGAACTGGATCCGGGGGCTGCAGCAGTCCGAGGCGTTTAAGTCGTTTTCCAAGGAAGAATATGAGAGTGCACAACTCCCCCTCCCCCTCATTTGTATTGCATGAACAGCAATATTTATAAATACATGGAGCCGGTGCATGACAAATTCACGCACCTAGTGTAGTACTGTTTGGGCAGCTTCATCCGGAACAATCTGTCATGCAAACAGTGCCACAGGGAAGCAATTCGATTTGGGATTTTGCATGAGAAATGAGAATGAGGGGGAGTTGTGCACTCTCATAAAGAATCCAAGAAGGCCATGCCGTTTGCCAGCTTCATGATGAAGGACGAAATGAGCGCGCGGGGAAAGGACGCATTGGAACTGGAACTCCCCTTCAATGAGGCCGACATGCTGACAGAGCGGATCGAACTGATCAAGAAGCAGTTGGGCATTTCCAGCATCAGCTTTCGCTTCACCGCGGACGGGAAAATTGACGGGGACAACTCGGATAAGATCAACGTCGCGCAACCCGCGAAGCCAACGATTGTGTTTTTGGAAGCGTGAGTGAGTTGGAAGGACTTGTTCTCGAGGATATTACCGATTTGACGAGAACTTCTACGCTCAAGCGCGAGCCACTTTCTTCCCGGGAACATCAAATCGGAGCAGTTTTTTAGTAAAAATGCAGTTTGCAGCCCACGAGTATAATGAGTCAGTGTACTTCTTGATGATGGAGAAGGTCGAGGTCCGTTACGCAAAAATGTACCTCGTGTAAACCGCGAAACAGCAACGAGTTTTTCGCAAGAACTCATAGGCAGCAGCTACTCACCAGAAGGAAATTGTAGCAGATACTTCGCGAATTTAAGCAGATCCAAAAGTTGCCGCTTTTTATCATTTTGGCATTGTGAGGACGAAGGTCAAGCCTTGATCGTCAAGGTAGCAGGTCCAGGTGGCACTCCCCATGACGTCCTGGCTGCATGCTGGAGAAGCTTACCGCTGAATTCGCTTGCGCGAGGGTTACGCACTCGCTTGGGCAAATAGGGATATTAGAGAGGGCGACTGAGAAGGGCGGTCGGCCCCTCCAGCCAACAAAATTCTGTATTGCTGCCCCAGTTGCCCTCTGACCTGCTTCTAGTATTTTTGTTGGAGCAGGCGCATTCTTTAGCCTCACCATGATGGTGCTCCATCTTCATTTTTGCGCTATGCAGCCTCACCTCGTGCGCCTGCGTTGCCTTGCCCCTGTTTTACGATGTGGCGTCGCGTTTTCAGTCTTTACGGCGCATTCGTAGAGGCACACGCGGCCGCTAGGAAGCAAAGCAGCCCGCCGCGACGTTTTTACTCGCGCGCGCCAAAGGTTTCGGCGCAGGGGTGTTGGCCGGGAATATAAAAAAAAACAGCTGGCGGCCGCGGCCGGAGCTCGGTGGCGACTCGCGAGAGACTAAGGGCATGAGCATGCGTGGGACACCGGCGCCACGACAAAGCCAACCAACGGGCTGTGTCTTTGTTTGAGGCGCGCCACGTTTCGCCCTACCTTTTTTCGTTGTGTTGTTTCTGGAAAATCAAAACTCATGGTCACGCGGCAACTTTTTGCCCCTGGCGGTGTAGGGGTCGACCTTCGTTGGATGGAGTTAACTCTGCAGTAGTGGCGCCCGGTTTTCTTACAAGCTGCCGGCCGCCTTGTGCGATGGATCGGCGACGCACTCTCCCCTGCCCTCGCCAAGGCAGCCGCAGCTTCTCTGGCGCCGGGCAATCTGCTTAAATTATTGAAGTATCTGCTTCTACTACCTGATACACAGTAGTTCTACTACCTGATACACAGTATAAACCGCGAAACAGCAACGAGTTTTTCGCAAGAACTCATAGGCAGCAGCTAGTACACCATACTACTTTTAGGAGCAGCAGCTTGTTGGTGCACCCGCACCGATCCTAGTTGTCGACAACGGTAGTTGTATCATGTTGAATTTTTACGCATCAAACATGATTATTTTCTGTCATAGTGGTAAGTGTCACACAAAATGATTCTTTCTCAGCTGATTACCTATGGAGCGTTTTTCATTCATTTCGCGCAGTGCTGTCGAGAACGTAAATGAAACAAATGCACGGCAGTAGTAAATGTGGAACAACTTCTGCTTCTCGGAGCTGGTAGCACCTACAAGGAGCTAAAAAGTGTTCGTTCAAGAAGAAGGACAAAAATCGAATGAAAATCGATGCGAGATCATCTCCAGAATGACAATGAGCACGAGAAGAACGATGAAATCGGTCTGTTTTTCCATGTCGAATAGTTTTTTTCCATCAGGCTTCGATTTTGTCAGCGTGGATGAAATAAAGAAGTCGAAACAACAATGCAAGTTCCCATAAATCGAGCGCGAACACGAACTACAAATTAGCAAAGTCGGTTCTTTCAGGACGAGATCACTTTCAACGTCGGTAAAATTTTGTTTTGAATTACCATATTATCCCAACAGTACTTCGGGACTTACTACACGGTGGTCCAAGGAAAATGTGAGGCTATGATCTGCGCTCTTGTTACTCTTGGACGATGAAAAAATTTATCATCAAAAAACGAATGTCGGTTTTTTCAAATTTGTTGCTGCATGGTAACAAGGTGGAGAATACAGCAACCAAGCCAATACATTGCAACGCCAAATTGAAATGTTGATCCTCACATAGTTGGCGCTTTTCGGATCACCTACACCAAAAAATTTTGCTACAGCCGATGTAGGTTTTAGTCGGACCACGCTCCAACATCAATTCCGATTTATTCACAATTGTCCACACGACCAGGGTTTTGGTTAGTTCTGAGGCTCCCATCAGATCGGCTACACCCGTTGCAGTGAATTTGACATTCTGTCCACGTTCTGATATTTTGGTAACTTACAACCAAAGGAAAATACTTCAAACTACCAAACAAAGTAAAATATCTAGTTTTGGAGCGGTAAACTTTCATTTGTTTTGTACAACCAAGAAAGGAGTAAAAGTATTTGATTTGGTGTTCACTGCAACAAGCTCTAGTTTTGGACAAATTTGTAGCTCTAGTTTTGGATCAAATATCGATATTACGTAGAAGTACACCAAAAAACAATTTTTCTTGGGGAGATTCGAAATCACATCCTCACATCGTTTGTAAAGTGTTGCAAACCATAATCTCAGTTCCTAGATCAGGCACAAAGTAGCGAAGAGGTTCCTCTTAGATTTAGATAGATCCTCAGATAGCAGGACTGGAGCAGACGTCACAATTAACCCGACTAAACAGAGATCAGCCTTTTTTGCTACAAGGATCTCAAAGTAGACATAGACACGATCGTACAACTTTTGAGTAGCACGTAGACGAGTAAAGCACTGCTTCACCTAGAATCATAACATTTTTCGAAATCTTTCCCTTTGACAAACTTTTCAATCAAAACTTCATCAGTTTTGACCATCGAACGGAGCGGCGACACGGCATTTCTTTTTTAGGAGGCAGAGCACCAGTTGTACTTGTAAATTTATTCAGACAAGTTTGCTACGACAACGCCAATAAATTTAAATCTCTCTCACACGTGGACGACGAGCAAAACGGAATTTCATACGGTTTTCATACTTAGCCACGACTTCTGTCAGAAGAACCTTTGTGAGATCGAGAACAACAAGCAAAATATCAATACAACAACAATTTTTGAAATAGGTCATCAAATCTACTTCGCTCAACATAATCATCAAAACTCCTGTACTGTATTATATTCTAGCACCAAGACCAATGTCATCGTCGGGTCCTAGAGAAATTAAGTCCAACCAACCTCCTGCTCCGTCGTCTCTAGTCAGCGAGGTTGATTATAACGTTGCTCCTCTTGAAAAATCGAAATCTCTGCACGAAAATAAGACCACGAAAAGATTGTCGTCCTCCCCTGTAGAGAGCGAGAGGGTCTCCAACGAGACAAGAGGGACGACCGCCAGTGGCGATACGACCACGACCAGTACTACTATGGCGGGCACGACTGCAACGGCAGCGGCTACAGCACCAACAACGACGAGCGACCCGACAGGTATGACCACAACTGGCGCTGTGACCAACACGTCGCATGTTGGAGGACCACATGTTGGGAACCACCAGCATCACCAGCAGACCACCACAACTCATGGGCAGCAGCATCAGCAACACAACCAATACCACCACCACTCGGGTGCACTGTCCCCGGGAACCGAGCATTTCACAGCGGTGCACGTGGGCTCTTCCACCGTCTCGCCCGTGGCGTTTTTTAATCCCGAGTTCATGATGAGCGGCTTCGGCGAGTACGTTCCAACCCCCCCGCACCTCCCGGGCCACCAGCAGCAGATCCACGTGCCGGGACAGCCGCAGCAGTTAGGTGTGGTTGATCCAAATCAACAGCAGAACAATGTGGTAAATCCGTCGTTGCTGAACCTTTCGCAGGCGGAATCGCACCTGCTGCAGCAGAAAAACGCACAGCAGGCACAGATGAATCAGGTGCTTCAGCAGCAGCTGATGCAGCTCCAGACCGCGCGGATGCAAAGAGGCGACAGCGAGAACCCCAACGACCAGTCGCAGCTGTCGTTCCCAGGTAACGCCGCGACGCCAAGACTACACCCGCTGGATTTAAGCCCGTTAGCGGGAACCAGTCCGGCTCCGGCAGGAGCGGCAGGGGACCAGTCCTCGAACAACCCGTCCCGGCTCCCGTCCGGGGTCGTCCCGGCGGGCGCGCAAACCCCAGGGCAATTGGCTTTGTTGCAGGAGTTGATGCGGGGCAGCCAAGGTGGAGCAGGAACTACACTACAAACTCAGATCGTCCCTATGACCCCACCAGCGACCAACCGCATGTCCTCGGCCGCACACATTGATACTTCGGGGCAGAGCCTGAACATTCAGCAGCAGCTCGACATGAGCTATTCCGGCCAAAAATTGGGCGTGACCCAGCAGCAGCCCCTCGGCACCGCGGAGATCGGACTGTCCGCGGATCTGATTGTCGCCGCACAGAACACGGGGTTGATGTCGCCCATTGAAGTGGCCAGCCCGGGGCAAATGTCCCCGGTGTCGGGGCCGAACGCGGCGCCGGGTAACATCCCGTACGGGGTCGTGAATATACCGTCACAATTGAATATGGATGTGTCAGGATTGAAATCGTCACAATTGAATATGGATTTGTCATGCATAAAATGCAAAGCATGAAAGAAGTGCCTGCGTTGCAGGGATGGCAAGGGAGGCCGATTGTGAGCCTGTTTACGGCTCTGGACAGAGTTGCTAAAGTAGCATAACAAAAGCTATCTTCTATGCCGAAACAGCATCACAAACTGGATTGCGGCTCTACCCAAATTTGTCATGCGCCACTTGGAAACTGGGTTACATTTGGCATCCATTTTATGCATGAAAAATCATTTCAACTTTGTCGATTTCAAACCTGACGCTTCCATATTGAACAACCTGCCCGTACCGCCGGGCGGACACATCGCAGCCTTGGCAGCACAAAAAATCGGCGAGATGAATGAGAAGGTACTTTTGACTGCATATATTATAGCTGTTTCTGTTTTCTTGCGGAAAAGTAAAAGTTTTTTTACATTTTTTCGTCTATTTTCGATTTCATGTAGGAGGAGCCCACCTTAACGTTTTGACGTTGTAGTAGTTCTGCGAATTATTGTGATTTGCATTTTTCGGCATCGGCGTCGTGTGGAATTGCGGTTTTTTATTGGCATTGGCTGCATCTATTTTTATTGCTCAAATTTGAAAAAACAGAAATCCGACAACTCGGTTGCTACCACCGGCCTTCTCGCGACGTCTGGTGGGTACCATGTGCCCCTCGTCGGCGATTCCGCGGCCTCGGGTTCCTCCCTCCCGACCTCGCTGCCCGATCACCCGGTGCGGTTGGTTTCCGTCGCGGAGTATGAGGACTTTTTGCAGCAGTGCATCCAAATCAAGAAGAAGCACCCGAAAAAGTTCGCGAGGATACACATCCCGGACGGGAACCACCACAAGGACCAGAAGATCCGGCTAGACAAGATGCACGACGAAACTGGAACTTATGGCGCGATCCACTTATCCGGCGCGATGAAAAGGTCAGGATCTGGCGTGGAGCAGCACCAAGGCCACGGTGCAGCAGGGAACTACAACGGGAGTAGTTCTACTGCTCAGGGAATCGCCACGACGGTGAATAATGTCCAAGGGAATGGTGATGGCAATAATTATCACGGGACGAACGTCAAGCAGTACACAACTCCACCATCGTCGGCCGCACTGCAGCAGCATCCGAAATTTTCCGGCTACAGCAGCAAAAACTCGTCTGCCTCCGGGTATGGCAGCAAGACCCCCGGGACCGCAAGTGAAAAGGGGAGCTATTCCGGGTACGGAGGTAAGGGTAGCGGGAAAGATCACCACAACTACGAAAACTCCTGGAGGACAGGCGGGAAAGATCAGCAACAGGGAAAGGATGGCGATCCCAATGTCAAAGACACAAGGACAACGATGATGCTGCGTATTGATTAGTTTTTTTCTGTGCTGGCGAAATGCTTTTTTAAGCAAGTATTTTTTTATGTTGCAGCGACAGCTAGCGCGGCAGTCGTGCTGACAGCATGGGTACAACTTGGTTATGGTTTATTTTCTTGGGCCATCTTGCTTCGCTTTCTGAACTTGTCGCAGGAGCTCCGAGCCAATTTTTCTGTACATCAAAATAAACAGGTAATATTCCGAACAAGTACACGCAGCCGATGTTGCTGAAAACGCTAAATTATGAACTGCAAAAGTATCGTACTCGTAGAAATGCATCACAAATTTCCTCAGCATGAGAAATAAAATTTGTCATGCTAATTTACCTTAAGAAAAATATTTGTAATGCAAGACTTGCATTTATACGAATACGATACTTTTGCACAGGATATAAACGAAAACGGCTTTGAAGCCAAATTCGATTTCTTCTACCTGCTATGCATTGCAAATATGTCTGGGTCTGGAAGGATGCAACTTGTCATGCTAAATCTGGATCGTGCCAAAAATTTGTGTTGCATGATATACCAAAAGATGTCCACTTTTGGACAAGTTCAGAGGCAGTTTCTCATGCAAGATAGGCATGATAGAGGTCTCGCAGGATCTATCATGCTAGGTCCTGCATGCCAGACCTCATGGGTCATGGAAAATCTCCATCACAAATCTTGCATTCTTCCAGACCCAGATACATTTGCAGTTGATACCTGCCCATCGACTTCAGAAACCGGTGCAACGTGGGGTATGCGTTCGTCAACTTTGTCACGCCGGAAGACGCCAAGAGATTTCTCGGGGTACAACTGAATTGCCTTTGTTGGAACTTGTTTTGTCCTGTAAAAGCGAATGCCAAGAATAGAATGCCATGACGATTTTGGGGATTTTGTTAGAAGACAGCAAAAATGGGAGAATTCATTTGCGACGCACAAAAATGACCATGAAAACAAAAACTACAGCTCTTTCACAAGTTTAAGCTGAAAGCGTACAACAGTCCGAAAGTGTGCGAGGTGAATTACGCAAGAGTCCAGGGATTGCAGGCCAATATCGAAGTTTACCGTATTGAATTTTTTTGATCTTTCTTGTTTTGTGTTCGCTACAAAAATCCGCCGGAATGTGCACCTCAGCTGCAGCTGTGCGTGATCGTTAACTATCGAAATAAATGGCAACGTGTTTAATATTATATTACTACAGGCAACTCTCCGGTGAACGGTATCCCCATCAAGCAGTACCGCCCCTTGATTTTCCAAAACGGAATATCCTGAGTAAAAACGTACCCACACCAGAGTCAGGATGGGGAATCTGCTAGACAAATCAGCCAGCTTTGGTTGTTTGGCATGACAAGTTTGTCCGCGTAGTGTAGTGCTGTTTGAGCTAGTTTAGCAGCATTACAGATCTAGTATCTCGTGCTGATTGGAGCATGACAAATTTCAAAACCGCATTAGAAAATGCTTCTCATGGGGCTCCGCATGAGAAACATTTTAAGCATGCAGAGTTGCGTGACAACTATGGTGTGGGTACGTTTTTACTCAGGATACGGAATTGAGGCGGAGTTCCCGGGCCCAGACGCTCCGTTGCCGCCGATCCAACTACGCTCGGAAGACATGGACGGTATGACAGTGCACAACTCCCCCTCCCCCTCATTTGTATAGCATGAACGGCAATATAAGCATCAGCAAGAATGCCGGTTTTGCATGACAAATCCACACTGGGTTGTAGGGCTCTGTGGGCTACCAGAACTTGTCATGCAAACAGTGCCAAGAGGCACAGTCTGGATTTGGGAATTTGCATGACAAATGAGGGGGAGGGGGAGTTGTGCACTTTTATAGACGGGAAAATGATGTGAGAAAGGACGAAGTGATACTTATCGTCTTCAACAATGTTGGCGTCGTAACAATGAATAGGTCGCGGAAACAGAAATTTGAAGAAATTCCTAAAGAAACCAATAGCGAGAAGGAGAAAAAATATGCAAGAAAAAGTATTCTCATTCTGTAGTGCCTGCTGTGTTTATTTTCGTATGAAAAAGCGCGGCGCACCTCTGCCTAACTAGAAGAACGAGGAAAGAATATATTAATCACGGAAAAATATTAACCTCGAGGAGACGAGACAAAATAAATTCGAATATGGTTTAAATGCAATAGACAAGAATAAGAAGAAAGTGACATACTTCTAAGACAAAGCAAACACGCATAGAAGGAAGCTGGAATAGGCTTTGATTCTTGTACACTATAAGCTGCTATCTGTACAGCTCCGAAGGCCTTCGATGGGTACTACAGTGCAGCTGAGTACGTACTAGTATAGGTCGAGAAATTCGGGCAGTGATATGCAACAAAAATGAACGGCTAGAAAAATTGCTACAATATGAAGCGACATTCTGAAACGACGCAAATTACCTATATTACGCATATCATGTATATGATTTCTAATCATACTATAAACGACCGTAGAATCACGGCCACGCCGCGCAGATGAGAAGCATTTCCATTTCGTTTTGAGCACCGAAAAAACGCAGCACTGAAGGCCTACAACCGCCATGGTTAATTATCCCGTGTTTTTACCCTCCTGCTCGCCCAAGTTTTTTAGTAGTACTTCACGCCAAATGATTTATTTCCAGCATGAAGATTCTATGCTTCCCTCCCTGATTGTGTCCAAAAGTGACATGACTTTATCTTTTGCCTGCTCTCCCCCGCCCCACCTCCGCCGATGGATAATAGCTTTTTACCAAAACTTACACGCACGTAAGCTCTGCTTATTTCCGATCATCTTTGTTATATTTTCAACTTCTACACAGCACTGGCGTCAGCGGTAGCGTTGTTAAAATCTTCGACCTACCCCCGCACGACGAAAAAAACTGCCCTAGGATTCTTCTCTGTTTGAAGCTGTGCTCGTCATCGTCTACTCTCGAATTTTTACCACAGTGCTTTATTTGTTCCCCATGAAGATACCACCTGAGAAGGATAAAAACTTGTGGGGTCAACATTATAGTTCTGCGAGACCACTACTCAATACCAGTACCATCTTTTTCCTTTTAGCAAATTCCTGTTTGGACACCGGGTTGTATTGTAAATTCATTGATTGTGACGAGACCACGGCTTTGTCGACTTTTACCGAGTAGAAGCAAGCATTTATTTTGCAGCAGGAGCCTTGATGTTGAGAAGTAGGCCCAGCTGAAGCTTAATATTATGTAATCGCCGTAGTAGTTCTGGCTTCATCTCTACTAGTACCTCACATCAAGGGTCTCGTGCAGCTATGTTGAGGGCTGTCTATTCATCATCCCGATGTCTTGATGATGTCAGGTATACGAAAGTATCTCTGCTTGTTATATTTTCCCTGACTACTTGCAAATGCAAATGCAATTCCTTTCCCTTTGAGCCTGATCTAGTAAAAAACTTCTTCACGGTGCAGCAGCACGACGTCGCAGCGCCTTGGTAGTTCTGTACAGTGATTTTTCGATAAAAAGCTGCACAGAGGGCTACATGTTGTTGACAACTGACTCTGCATCTACTATCAAGCTACTACTTGCTGCCCGGTAAAATAAAAACTAAAACTTTGGACAGAAGCTACTTCAAATAGGAAATTCCTAGACAGCCTTGCTCCCTCGATGTGTCATGGTGTACTACTTACCACCTCCGCACAACAACCGAGAGCGAGAGCTACACTTGCTACTCCAGAGGACTACATCGTGATAAGCAGAAAAAAGCGCCCCGCACCACGTATCAAAAGAAGAGTAAAGAGAGAGAAGCAAGACTACACCCCTCTTAACTACGGAATGAAATCTCTCTGCAGAAGTAGAGCCGGCTGATGTCTACACCAACCTCAGCGACTCATTAGAACTACGACCAGACGACTCTATTCTTCAAAAACCGCTCCTACAACCATTTTTCCCTGCTGCCTTCGACGACATTATGCACGGTGGCAAATGTGAATATGATTTGAGGACAAGAAGAACGACAAGAAGAACACAAACCTAGCGACATCGACAGCGACAGCGACTAAACGACAACATAGTACAACCTGTTAAGGTAGAAGAAGTAGGACGAAATAGTTCTACTAGCTGCTCAATAAGAAAAAATATGAAGCGGAAAAGTATTCGCCTTGCGATAATAAAACTTTTTGGAACAGAAGAAAGGGTAGAACTAGAAATAGAAGTCCTCCGCAATAGAGTGTCGCTGTATCTCTATCTTCGCCCAGCGTGCGACTGACAGAGGGCATGACCGTTCCCGCCTTTCACAATGAAAGCTCGAGCGAGTCGATTCTGTCTGCCTATCGGGGCGGATGATGTTAATGTTTGTACAATTACACACGTGGTGGAGAAGAAACGAGACTTCTATTTTTTTGGCGTTTTGGAGCAGAGTTCTTGCGGGTACAATGCGAAAGGTCCTCACGAAGTTGTAGTAGCCCTCACTCTGATTGATTTGATTTATTCGGATAGATTCCTTTCACAATTAAAAACAAGCCAAATATAGCGGCTGCAGGGGCTGGGTTCATGTCATTTCAGCAGGCTTGCTCGGATCTGATCACGGGGAGCCTGCTGTAGAATAGAGACGAAGCCACAGCATCCAAGCGGAGTACTTATTGCTGGTAGAGATGGCAGTATTTACTCACCTCTTTGCATCTTTTTCTTATTAAAAACGACTAGCAGTCGCTTCGATCTAAGATTTTGTAGTCGCGCACGGAGGTGACATGGGCGAGTCGTGCTGCCATTAAGCTGTCGCGTGTACGATTTTCAAAATTAAGCATATGGAATACGATTAGCTAGTTAGACTTTTATCAAAAAGAGAAAATGCATAAAAAAGAAGGAGCCGAAGATGAAAACTGGCTTTGGTAACAAGGAGAGAATTTTTGGAGGTTTGGACGAGAATTATTTTGTCTTGCAGGTGGTATAATCGCAGCATGATGCGAAACTTCAACTTGCTTTACTATAGTTGGAGTGAGGTTGATGTGCATGACAAAATAAAAGGACGTTTTGTGATTGATCCGAGAGAATAAATCCAACAGTCTACTCAGTGAACTGTTGAGGTGCACCTTTCCTGACTGGGTGGCTTGAGGAAGTAAAGGAAAATCCTGTTTAAAGCAAACGATGAAAATCTGATTCTGACCAAGGCCATACGATGAAGAATAAATCATTCCGCTAGAAAAAGAAATCATAGTCAAGGTTGCCATGCTGCAGTTTGCAATCAAAACTGCAGGCATGGTGTTCCCTAATACAAGGCGCTGCTGTCGCATTGAATCCACTTGGATTCAAGCGCCCGATGTTCGATATTGTGTTCCTCCACATTGTAGAAGAACCGCGAAGTAGAGCTACACGTCGCGTAAATAATCGGTCCTGATCATGATGCAACAAGAAGCTGCGACACAGGAAAACAAAACCAGCTGAATCGGTCTGTCTCTGACTTTGCTTGGTCAGCAAAAATTGAAACTCGGGCAGCCTGTCATGCTGGTACAAAGACGAAAAAAACTGGAACTGTATCGGTAACTTGCTCACAAATCACCGTGGAAGTATTCGTCCTAACAGCGGTATGAAGTGATTAATCGGTCCTCGTTCTACTTGTGCTTTGTAAATGCTGCCTGACCACTAGTACATCGTGCACTCAAAGCATCGTCCAGAATTTTCCTCCATCGTCCTTTATTCTCGCCCTGTCACATATGGGAGTGTCAGGTTTGAAATCGTCAAAGTTGAAATAGTTTGTGATGCATAAAATGCAAGCCACAAAATGCTTGTCTTGCTGAGTAGGAAAGGGAAGCAGATTGCAAGCCTGTTGAGGGTACCAATAGAGCTGCTAAAGTAGCATGACAAAAGGCGTCCTCCTTACCCAAACAGCATGACAAACTGGGCTTCGGCTCTTCCCAAATTTGTCATGTGCCACTTAGAAACTGGACACCAACGGGCACCCACTTTATGCATGGCAAATCATTTCAACTTTGTCCATTTCAATCCTGACAGTTCCATATCACACCGTCACCAACTCCTATTGGCGCCGTCTTTGCTGGTCGTGAGCACAGCTGTACAACCAATCTGCCTCCAAATAAAATCCCTAATTCTACTTCAGTGACGTCAGAAGAACGCAACAACCCCGTTATCGCCTCTAAAACTTAACTTTCAAAACAAATCTTCTCAAGAAAAGTACGAGGAAGTATCCTGCTAAACTAAAACGAAAACTTTTGAAAAGAACTCAGACCACCACAAAACAAAAAAATGGCGCAGCCCGTCCGTTCAACCGTGGCCATGCGGGCCCCCGTGAAGGACCGCGCGCAGATGTTCCAGCAGGGCGCCTTCAACAAGGCGGCCCCGGGCGTCCGCGCCGGCTCCATCGGTGGCGACGTGAGCGGCAAGGTGGGGCTGTACTCGCAGGAGCCCGAAGCCCCGGAGCCGATCATGCGCACCGGCCGGATTCCGAACTTTTTCAAGCGGATCTTTGGCATGCAGATGAGCTCGGATGACCTGAAGAACAGCATGCGTATGTTATTTCTTTCTTTATTGTGGAAGAATGAAGCATGACTATGAGAAACTGTAGATCATTGAAGTTGTGATAGGACGTATCAATTTCTACATCTGTGAAATTATCCACGAGATGAGGCATGAGAAATTCGTGTTGCAGTTCTTGTTATGCAAAAATAAAAGCTACCGAAACCGACTACAGGCGCCGACGGAACGATGATGACGCAGGGGACTACCATGTCTCTCCGAAGTGACGGCACATCTGTCTACTCGGAATACGAATCTGGGTCCTTCATCGGCGACTTGATGTTGCTCTTCGCGCTGATCATATGCAATGTAAATTTCCTGTACATGTACAAAATGCATGACAAATTTCGCTAAGTTGCAGTGTCCAACTTGTCATGCTACACTAGGATTGAAGGCAAGTTTTGTCTTGCAGATACTGCATTTGTACGTGTACAGGAAATTTACTGTGGATAGATCATGTTCGGATTGACCATCGTCGCTCTGCTGTTGGAGTCCGATCCGACGGAACTGTATTATTTTGCTTTTGATGTGTTGTTCTTGTTTGTTCACCTCCAATGAACCCGGAGTTTGATGTGTGTATTTCAACACAACTATGTTTGTGATACTTTAGCTGAAGATCATGCACGGTCGTGGCCTAATTGAATCGTAAAGAATCTTCTCGATAAAATGCCGATCAACATACCACAGGGTGAGCAACATGGCTCTGGGTGCGGACACCGGGCCAGCGTTTTCCCTTCCGGAGATCTCCATGCCAGCGATTTCCATGCCCTCCATCTCCCTGCCGTCCTTCGGTGGCGCCTGGAACCCAAACTTCCGGGTCAGCGCGGGCGACTTCATGTACTTTCGCTATCCAATTTTCTTTCAGTTGATCGGGATGGTGTAAACCCGTTCTTCTTGCGAGGTGTGGTGAGCTTGCACTTGCGCTCGTGTAGTTTACGGACCTCCAAAGGGATGTAACTGTAATTGGGAGGAGGGAAAAGTATTTTACAATGGGCGACGAGAAGGTGAGAACTACAATTAGTAGAGTTTTGAATACTTTGTTACTTGTCTTACGTTTTTTACACACGAAATCGAAACAACTTTTGATCATTGTATACTCTTTCACAAGATTTGTATGATATCAATACCGCGTCAGTAGGACCATCTGATTTGTACTTTCCATACATTTTGCAATTCTGCTTTTTTTTGTACACTAAACTACTCAATAAAGACCCCAACCAAACGCAGTATGTGAGAAAAAACTCCAGCTATGACAGAGGTCCTTCTAGTTATAGTAACTGGCCGTGGAGGAGGCGATGCGGAAATATTTCAAAATTTGAGATGTTGCTGCACCGGAATTATGCGATAGTAAAGACGCCAGGCATAGTTATATCTAGAGACAACATTTGTCACCAATTGGTCTATACCAAAAACCCAGAAGTACTATGGTAATCTGTTGAAAAACAAGAGGACTCGTGGTCGAGCGCTTGAAATGAATCCCGTACGACTTGCCACCTGCCGACATGGCAGTGCGACAAATGAGTAGATGTCCTCGGCATGATGGGAGATGACATGGGACGATGAAGCCAGAGATTGTAGTACGATCACGACGAATTTACCAACAAACGACTTGAATTGTTTTCAAGAAACCAAAGAACTCGAGATGCAAATGTCAGACCCACAAGATTAACCAAGAGCCACTGCATCATTCGCAGCGGGTGCAATTATTGCGATCGTGCAGCTGTAAAGGCTACGCAAAAAAGTACTACAGCAGAACACAAAATTTTGCTCTTCGTTGTTCGAATCCTTCTTGGAGAGCGCAGAGGCGAATGCGCAAATTTGAGTACGAGCCGAATTTGAATGATAGGATCAAGGAATAAAGTGACAGTGAATTCGGATTACATGATGACGTGAAGAAACCTCCAATGCTCTGGTGTCCTTGCAAAAAAAAAACTGTAGCAGCGACCTCAATATCCTTGAATTTTTTTTTCCTCTGGCCTCCGCATTGGCATCCTCCTAGTTTTACGAACCCCCTCCCAAAAAAACCGCAGAAAACTGCAGTAGTCCTTTGTGTTGTTTTGTCTCATAGATACCGCCACATCATGTTCAAAGTAGGCTGAAAGAAGAACTACGAAGCAAAAGTCAAACTCAAAGTAGCGACCACGACGACCTCGCACCAGCAAAAGTGAGCAAATAAAGACCTCGCCCCGCCAAAAATAACTGGCGCTGGCCCTACACGTCGTATAAACCTTGAACCAAAGCCGCCACGCCGAGAAGTGAAGGAGGACCAGCAGCACCAGCTACAGCAACACTAGCCAACATGGCCGTCGCCAACGGTATCCAAACCGGCACGTCCGGGTCGTCCTCCTCGACCGCCAGGTTGAACGAGATGCTGGATGCCGATATGGACATGCTGCTGACCGACGACGGGATAACGCAGGAGGAGCTCATCACCATTTTGAAAAAAATCTCCGACGACCAGGCGGTGGCAAAGGAGTGCCAGCACTTTGCGGACGTGTTGCAAAAGGAGAGAGAATTTCAGGAGAAATTCGCACAGGCCGCACTCCAGGCGGAAGACCAGGAGGCTCTGGAAGACCATGAAATTACGGATTTCGCGCGGGAGCTCGTGAAAACGACCAAGCACGCGCCCTTGCGCATGACGGAAGCGGAGCGGCAAGTCTGGAAAATACTGGAAGCGGCCCTGCAAGTCTCGGAGTACTTGCTACTTAGATGAGGAATTTTGAGTGTTCTTGAGGTTGGCTTTCTTGTCTTGATGCAGAGGTTGTAGGAGGTTTTGTTCTGTTGCTTGCTTATGAAGGGTCTTCTTCTTGCAGATTCAAAAACAGGAAAAGTGGACAGGATTTCTCGTTATGATTTTGTGTTGCATGAAGATGAACATGAAACACAACATGACGAATTTTGTCCTTCAATTCGCAGGTACACCGATAAGATTGACGTGCTTGCAATTCGGGGAAACAAGACCGACACCATAGTCGAGGAAATTCTCGAGCTCTGCAACGGCATTGCCGGCATGATTGTCGCCAATAGCTACGACAGGGCGGTCAAGCAGTTCCGGCTGCTAGAAAACGACGACGAAATGGCTAACGGGAATACTAGAGTAAACGGCCGAGGAATCGGCGCCCGAAAACAACGACAACACAACCACGGTCACGACCAGAACGAGAAGCTGTTCCAGCGGGTGTTCGAACTCGGGAGGCGGGCGAAAATTTTAAACCCGAGCCAAATGCGGTCGACGTACGGAAAAATGATGTGGGTGTTAATGGATGCCAAGCAAACGGGGAACTGGCTGGGCTTCGATCCCGTGCGGGGCGGAGTTCGGACGGTTTACGAGTTGCTGATGGAGAAGGACCGGAAAGACGCGGAAGCGTTTTTGAAGGAGCCGTTATTGAAACACGCAATAGTCGAGATCTCCGAGACTGACGCGAAGGGGAATCCTCTGCCCCGAGCCGACCTGGACGCGGCAAAAAAGAAAAAACAGGACGCGGTCGAAAAGATAAAAGCAAAGTATAAAGATAATTTTTGACTGCAGCAGCAGCTTCATGACTCCGATTTGCGTTCAAAACAAGATTTTAGATTGATTGGCAAATGTTCTTGCGCATGATCAATACTAGACTAGTCACAGTGGCACGCGTAAAAAATAAACGTCTACAACCTCAGGTATGGCCGCCAACCCGCCCCAGCCAACCAGGGCAGCAGCGTTGCGGATCTGTTGAAGACAATAACGGAGGTATGCAAGAAAAAAACTATGTGAGTGTAAATCTGTGATGCAAAACACACAACACAATATACACCTGTCATGCTGGTCAGCCTGCCATCAACTCCTGTTTTCGTGTGTGTTTTCACGAACAGCCTGCGCATGACAGGTTTTCTCTGTCATGTAGAGCAAATTTGTCATGCTGTCTCTCCAAGACACCTACACTCACACAGTTTTTTTCTTGTATAGGAGGAAGCAGAGGAGGAGGAACAGGAAAAGCAGAAGACCGGCGGGAACAAGGTCGAAAGGAAAAAGATGACCATCGCGGAGGTCGAGTGCATCCTCAAGTCCCTTCAGGATCACAACACCTTCGTCGACCAGCACGCCGGGCCGGTGCAAAAGATGATCGACCTCCAGGAGAAATTCTTCAAGCCACAACAACCCCGACACGAAAGCGACGACTTGAGCATACGCTCAGGACGGGGCGGGAGTTGCTTGAGCCACTCGCACGAAACGCAATACAAGTATCAAAGACTTCTGGCTATACTAGTGCTAGTGGTGGTGATTTAGTTATAGTTTTATATGCTGTTTTTATTTTTCTACTTCTTGGGTGGTTTTTTCATAACATTAGCTCTTGGAGGTCTTGGTCGCGCTGACGGACCACGAGGCCGAGGGAGCTCATGCTAGCCAGAGCAGTGTGGCACTCCTGCTTCACACTCATCTCTGACTCTTCCGTGCATGATCCAAAAAAAGAACGGCGCGATGAACGAGCTAGAAGTCGAAAACAACCGAAAAATCCGTTTACCCAGGTTCGTGAACCAATCCCTGACCCTGTGGCGCAATATTATGCGGAATATGGTCCAGCTGTGGCACAACGCGGATCAAGACATGCTGGACAACCGCTACCGGCTCGCCGACACTGGTCAGGGCTTGAACCGCATGCAGCAGTCACCAGCGGTGCGAAACGCCATGGGAGAAATACTCCGCATGACCCAGCAGGATGTCGGCCGAAAGGGGCAAAGCTGGGTGGGGCTCAGCGTCGTGCACTTAGGTATTGATAAGGGATATTTATTGTTGTGCTGTTCTATAGATTTTTATTCGCACAGGCACATACACGAACAGTCGAGTCCTATTGATTCCGCCGCAACGAGGAGGAGGCCTCGAAAATAAATCCAGATAAATTCGCTTGCCACCTGTAGGTACTTAGTAGGGGTTGTTATGCTCCTCACCACGAAAAAAATCATTCTATCACAAACCGCCATATATTTTTCAGGTGACCGCGACGTCCCCAATGCGCTTGTCTTCATCGACAAGTACGTGCAAGTGCCGAGAATACTTGGCCCGCTGGTGAAGGTCATCGAAAAGCTGCCCATCCTTTACCAGCAGGGGGTGGGGGATGAAGAGGAGGACAAGCAGAAGGTGCGAGAATTTATCGACAAGTTTGGCGGCGTCGAATCGGCACAAAAGCTCATCCTCCGCGACTTCTTCCGCCACGGCTTCGATGGAAGCGGCGACGACGGTGGCAGCTGCGTTGACGGACGTCTGACAAGTTGCTGGAACTGGTGCAGCCAGATTGAGAAGAAGGTTTATTTCCCGCTGTTCCTCCTCTGCGGCCACCACGGCTTTGATGGCTGAGGTTGAGTTTAGTACTAAAAAAGCGGGCCAGAGGACTGCAGGTGCAGGAGATGATGCTTTTGGTGGAGCGCATCTGGTGGAGCTCAACAAGCTACAGAGCATCGTTGCTGCTCTCGAGCAGCATCAGCACAACTTGTTGTCTCTGTCAACTTGTACAAACGACGAGTTTTTCAACATAAAAGAAAAGAAAAGCGACAAAAGAAAAAGAAAAAACATGGTACGAGCAGACCGAGACGTTGGTCTGCGTCAGGAGCATCGTCGTGCTCCTGCATTGGAGGTCTGCTGATGCTGGCACTCAGAGCTGAGCAGACTGGTGACTACATAAGGGAGTTCTTGTTTTACTTGTTTGTCTTATCGTAGGCTAGTTTTGTGATCCTCCGTTTCCTTCCTTCCGTGACCTACGTAAGTGCAAGTGGTAGCGTTCTATGATAATTTTATTTTTGATGGTTTCCGTTCCGTTTCCCTCTTTGTCTTTCGTCAGTTTTTGATTTCGTGTCAGAGCTCTCGGTGAGCAGGGTACTAAGGTACATCATCAGGTGGCGGATGCTTGAAGACAAGTTGAACACCGCGCAGGAGACGCAGGCTTTATATATGAATAGTTTTCCTCGTCGTCGTCATTTTACGAAATAATGCACCACTACTAGGACGAGCACGAGCAGCTTTCTTGTTGTCTACTTTTTCTATCGGTTTATTCGATGGCGTCGGATGTAGTATAAACAGGTTGGTCGTGATAGATTCTCGGTATTTGACTGGGCATGTCGGTGTCAACAAGGACCAAGAAGACGTACGAAAATTCTTGCTCGTCAACGCCTGAAAAGATATCGTATCAATCTAGAATTAGTTTCATAACTGAAAGTACTAGTTCTCACAATAACGCAAAATAGGCCGTGCTAATGGTGTTGGTGTCTGGATCTATTTTTACCACTCCTCTTGGCTTTGTTTTACTGAAATATAAATGTACGTATGAAAAAATAGCGATCCAGATACAGGTGCAGTTCTGTCAGGTCACCTCGATTTACCACTTTGATTGCCCCCTCTCCTGACGACTCCCACACGATTCGCACAAAAAATTATACCTGCTCCCCAGGCGGATTTGTATTTTGTTTTTACTTTTTCTTTTTTCGAATCGGAGCTACGAGGTCCTTTTCCTTTTTTTTTCCCTCACTACTCGCATAAGCAGTAACTAATTACCCCAGCGCCGATTTATTTCGAAGTTCCTACTACACCGCCAAAGACATTAACATTATGAACCAGAACACCATGGGCACGGCAATGTCAAACTCAAACACGACTGGGAACGCAGCGAACCACGCAGTTCCTGCAACCACCTCCAGTAACTCCACCTCCACAACTTCCTCGAATAAAGCCAATGTTAAAAAACGGCTCCGCACCATCAAGATTCGTAACATGAGTGGCTCCAAAGTCGTCGAACAGCTTGTGGACCCGACAAAAGTAAGAACAGTCGCAGATCTGTGCAACCAAGACGTCATTCTCGACGCCATTTTGGCCGAAGAAGAGCTGCGGCCGCCGGTCCATCGTTTAAAGTGGCTGTATTGGAGGGCGGGGGATGAAGAAGAGTGTTGGGAAAATGATAATGATGCTGAGCAGGAGGAGCCTTACCACGATGAAGATGATCTCGCAGTTGCGATGGAAGGGAAGAGCAATCAAAATATTACCTCGTCCACAGGAACTAGTACACGTGGGACCTCCGCACCAGACAGCCTTGTTCCCTATGAGCATGATCACCCAGAGGCGTTTTTGGACCCCGCAACCGAGATTGACTACTACGGAGATCAGGCTGAGGAAGCTGATGACTATGACGACCAGCGGGATGTTGCTGCAGCAAGCGTTAACAATAACAACAAAAAACGCCGAAAAATAACCCGTCGTTCTACAACTCCATACTTCCAGTTCGTGATCTCTGCGGGGGAGTTCGACCGCGAGAAATTTTTGGCGGGAAGACCTGCGGAGGAGGTTTTCAAAAGTGGTGATGCTTTCGGGGACCAGCTGCAGGACGTCTTTGAAAACCTCACCCTGGAACAAGGTCAAAGCTTCCTATACGACCGCAGCTGGGAGGTCATCGAGAGCCTGCTGCTGGAGCTGAAAGCGCACGCCGGGTTGAAAGAATACGAAGAGGCGAAGAAATACTGTCCTGAGCTTCTGCCAGAAACGTGGTTGCCGTTCGGGGGACAAGCCGAACAAGCCGAAATATCAAATGCAAAAATGTCTGGGAGGTCTGGAAGAATGTGGATGCAAGTTTGTCATGCTTGTCTGGCATGACTGGGGAGTTTGTGATGCGTGTCCAAGAAGAGAGCCTTTTGCCTGGTGTCATGCAAAAACGCAGCTTGTCATGCGAAGAGCGCAACACTAAGTAGCGCAGATATTTCTCATGCTGGGCTGTGCATTGCAGAGCATTCACTATTCCCAACCGAGCATTACAAGTTTCCAGATTCAGACTTTTTTGCACTTGATACGAAAGCGATGAAACTGCGCGGGATAAAATCGACGAGCTCTACAACCGGAAAAAGCAGATCAGCTATCAAACGCAAAAATGTCTGGGTCTGGAAGGATGCAAACTTGTGATGCGTGTTGCGGATCATACACAAATCTGTGTTGCATGACTTGCAAAAGGTCCCCATTTCTGGCCATGCTGAGAGGGCATTTCTCATGCAGAGTAGGCATCACCAAGGGGCTGCAGAATCTGTGACGCTACGCCCTGCATTCCAGACTTGGCAGAGCTTGTAAAAACCGCATGACAAATCTCGGAATCTTCCAGACCCAGACATATTTGCAATCCATATCGGTGTGATTTTGGCAATTACGACGGCCATCTTCTCGCTCCCGCAGCGGGAATGGGCCAAGCACGAGAAGCTTTTCGGCGGGCGGTATTTCGCGTGGGAGCAGCGGGAGAGATACGCGAGACGGCTGCGGGTCCAGCTGTTCCGGCACGACGATGCCGCTGCTTTCAAGTGGTTTGACTCGATGCACTCGAGCGAGTCACGGCGTATCAAATGCAAAAATGTCTGGGTGTGGAAGGGTTGGAACTTGTGACGCAAACTCTGGAACACACAAAAATTTGTGTTGCATGAGCGCCAAAAGCTGTCCATTTCTTGGCACGCAAGTAGGAAGTTTCTCATGCGGCAGAGGCATCATGAGGCGTGCTCAAAACCTGTGATGCTTTTGCCTGCATCAGACGCCATTTGCGTGATCCGAAATATGCATGACAAATCTCGCAATCTTCCAGACCCAGACACTTTTACACTTGATACGGCGAGACGCAGACCGAAAAGCGCTTGTGGAGACACAGAAGGAGGAGCTCTGCAAACTGATCTTTGCCGTGTCCAATATGGACGGAATGGCCGCGGCGGAGGAGATTGGCGTTCTCTTTCTTACCGGCTTGAAAAAGTTCGATTTCTTCCGAGGGATCTACAACGGGGACGGAGACTGTGACCTCGCGTTCAAGATGTTGGTCCACAACTTAGAGCGGCAATCGAGCTGCAACGAAAAGAACAAGGACGAGCTGTTGGCGTTTTGCAAAGCTCTGGACGAGAAGGAATTTACAAAAGAAAGAATTCAACTGCAAGCGCAAGCCGCAGTGGCACACTATGCCGATACCTGCGACTACATGTGGAAGAGGGATGGATTTTTTGGTGCATCCGATGTTGGTGGAGAAGAAGAAGAAGATGACAGTGATGAAGAAGATGAAAACGAAGACGAAAACAACGACATCACCCAGCACAGAACCAGTACGAATGCGGCCACTTCCGCGGTACAACCACAAACGCCCGTTATAGAGTCACAGTCGGATCAAAAGAAAAACTATCGAGCAAACTCGTTACGTCTCGCGGAACTGTTCGACCAGCACTTCGCGGATGGGTTACGGGCTCTGGACCACATCGTGTGGCGGTTGATCCATCCACACTTACCGAGAAGAGCAGTCCCCAACAAGGAGCACCCGCGGCGGCGGATGAACCTGGTCGGCACCGAATTCGAAGACGATCCGTACTTGGTTTACGACTTCAAGCCGCTCAAGTGCCGGCTGGAAATGATTATGGAAGCGTGCGAGTTCAAAAACGACATCCTGCACGACCTCGGGGTAGTCGACAAGTTCCGGGCGGCGCTGGAGGAAAAGTATGGCGACGAGATTCCGCTGCCATGGAGTGAGGTGGAACAGTTGTGGGCACAGGAGGATGACGAGGCTGTTGGGGGGGAAGATTCGTTTGAGGACGATGTTGCGGAGGACGATGAAGACGAGATTCTCGACGGTTGAGGGTGGGGAGAGAAGGACAGCGAGGAGCATAAGCAATTCGAGTTGTAGTTGTTCTTTCCGTTATTTCTTTGCCAGTGGTCGTGTACTACGACAAAGACATGTGTTGATGCGCCAGATCGCTTGAAGGAAGTAGATCTGTTTGGGATGTTAAAGATGTTGACAGTGCGGCTTTTAAGCGGTGATGTGTCGTACAACGGAGTTTATTTTCAACTGGGATTGCAGTGACTTCACAGTCCGTCTCCGTGGGAAAGAAAAGTACCAGGAAGAAGAGCACGAGGTTAGCACACAATAACCAAAGGAAAAACTGTTCGTTGAAAATGCAGATCGTGTTGCATGTCGATGCAGCCTTAACTACCGCCCTATGAAGCAACATTTAATTTCGGTTTGCCATGATTCGGTTTCGGTTTTCTTCTTGCAGTAGTTGATGAGATACACAGGAATGCTCTCAGAATGAACGTGTCGGCTGCTTCTTTCATCGCTTATCGTTCACGAAGTTTATCTCTTTTTCGGTGTCAGATTGAGCGTCATCTTCTCCTATTTTTTTGTGTCCTGCCCCTGCATGATGTCGGTGTCATCGTGAGCCAATTCCCGTCGCGGATTTGAGAATATTTCGGAAAAAACGCATCTTGAAGATCACAGAGTAGCGCGTGCTTTTTATGAACATGACATATTTATAGTAGAAGAAGTTACAGTGCTGTTTGCATGGTGAACGGTCTCGGTTTCTTTGCTCTTGCGCTTTTTCTTCAAGAAAAATTTTTGATAATTAATATCGGTTCGTCCACACGCGCGTAGTCGCTTGCTTTCGTCAATGAAGTAGAAGTTGGCCGTGGTCGTACCAGATATCAACTGACAGCCGTACTTTTGAAGTTGACGTGCATGTGGGTCAATCGGACGTACTCCACTGCCTCAGACCCATCTTCGTTCCTCGCGCTTTCTTGATCTGCGAACGTGCGTAATTTCGTTCAAGGGATGGACATTGGCCACGACTGTAATGCAACACGATTTTTTCGTGAGGGGAGCATACTCATGTTCCACTTGCCAAGTGGACTACACCATCTGTCGCTACAAACTAAGTGCATTTATTTCTTCGTGACTCTTTCCCCCCACTACAGCCACTCAACCTGTTTTCGCGGAAGAAGCCCTTTTTTATCATTCTAGAAGAGCAGTCGTTCACAGCATTGCCTCCTTGTCGTGCGTGGAGCAGTAGTTTCAGTTTGTTGGCGTTGTTTTTGCGGGGTTCCGTCATCCTCATCACATTTCCAGTCGCGAAACAATAAGCCCTTGAGGAACAATGCAGCAACAGCTACGGCAGAGAAAGAAAAATGAAAGGACAAAATCATGAAGACAGCACTTGCATCGAACACAAAAGGCAAGAAGCCTCTGAAGTCCTATTTCTTGCATCAACAACAGAGCGTCAAGCTTCGTCGATTTTGCGCTCCTGTCTTCTCCATTTACATCGATCGTTTGTTATTATTTTCACTCAAGGTCCAGCTGCAGCTGCACACAAACTGAAACTTCTGCGCAACCAAGGAAGGAGGCGAATTGGAGGGCGACTCGCTTTCTTGTTCATATTTTTTCTGCAAAGACTACTGAGTCGCAAAATTAACGAATTGTTACCAACCAGTTCGCTCATCTCAACTACTTTTTTACTCGAAAAAAACTTCGTCTTTACCCAACACGTCTGCACTCACCCAAAATAACGAGCTTCTAATTTCTTTACCCAAGGAGAAGCACATCAGAACATCACTACGTACCAAAACAGCTGCAAGGAGAACCGGACGGATTTGAATAACGGGAAAAACCAAAACGTCAAGAATTGGAAACGCAAATAAAAAGCAGCAGGTAAGTATATTTTATTAGACCTGAGTTATCTTCTAAGAAAACTCGGGGCTAAGAGAAGATATAGCACTATCGATCCACATACTTTTATTTTCGACGGCAATAAGCAAGCGTCGTACTCGTAGTTGTCTTTGCCGAACAACGAAGTCGAGCCTCGACTTGATAGTCTTTGAGTGCAGTACTCCAACTTCTTCTTCTTCTTCTCCATCTATATTTCATTCTTCAAAACTCAAATTGTGTTTCTCTTTTCTACAGGCTGCGCGACGACCTGCATGCAGCAAATTGACGGACAGCTCGTGCCTTAAGCAGAACAAAAAAAACTATAGCGTAAAACTGTGCGGGAGAGGAACGGAAGGGCAAGAGCTTCTTTATCTTTTTGAAGGGCAAGAACGGCTTTTCGTTGGGGGACCTGCGAGAAGTGCGGCGCACTGTTGAAGGTATAGATTTTCTCGGCCCTTTTTTTCAAAACCCAACAACAATTAGTATATATTAGTGTCGGGGTCTGTTTGTGTTACAGAGAGAGTGTGTTGGTGCTAACCGGAACGGACACACGGGAGGCTGCAATCCTGCTCGGTGTACTACACCAGCGGAATCGAAGAAACAAAACCCGGGTAAGCTTTATAGCTTTTGCAAGCACAGCTCTTCCTCATTTCAAAGACGACGACGAGCACAACATCAAATATTTTGCACAGGTACAACATCAACAACTTCGCGCACAGGGAGCGTACTGGAACTAAATTTAACGAACCGGGACAATTACAGGCCCCAGAAAGGATTCTGCATTCAAGCTCGGGACTCGCTATCAGGGGAGGATCGCTTTTTTTTTTTATCAGCTGCAGTTCCACCTTCGGGGTTTTTCTTTTTTCGGGCGCAGAGCAACTGGCACTCTCTCAGCGCAGTTTGTTCGTTTGGAAGCACGCAATATTTTACGTCAGTGCCGCCCTAATTAGCATCTGGATCAAGACTACCAGGAGAACGAGGAAGAACAGTAGCGCAAAGCTTTGCTCGCAAGCACGACGACAACCGAGCAAACGACAAGTAGAGCAAGCACGACACAGCCGCAAATTCGTGGTCAACGGCGCCAGCAACTTGTACTTGAACTTGGAGAATCGACTCAGAAGACGCAACGCTGGTAGTTGGTCACTACTGGGGTCGCCGACTGGGGGCGCAACGACTCGAACGTTTGAGGAAAACGGTGTCTTGGTTGCGAGACCGGGGAACGGAATCACAGAAGCAGGAGCTACCTACGCTTTTAGTAGTCTGCCCTCCGTATCGGTGCCTTTTGTAGGGTGAAGTTGCAAAGGAAGTCGCGCAAAGGCGACAGGATGGGCTGGGGACGGGGCGTCTTCGTTCGGATCGCGTCGGCCGGAGTTGGTGATATCATTTTAATAGGCGTCAAGGCTGAGCGGTTGTTGGAAGAGGCGGCGGGCCGACGTCCTGTTCCTCAAGTACCTCAGCCAACCGCTTCGGAGCAACGTAACTTTGCGTCACTGGTGCAAGACATTCATAAACAAACAACAGAACACCGTCTGACTCTCTCGCTTACGACCGAAAAAAGAGACCTGGGCATACGAAGAAGACTCACCCAAGACTGCATGGGCAACCCGACAGTCGTTCAGGAGACCGTCCTTGAATCCTTTGCCACACGGACGGTGTTGTCACAGTCCGGCAATCTTATTGTGCCCCCGGATTCATATTTTTCTGTCCAAAGTGTAACTGGCGTCGGAGACAACAACCCGCAAGACTACACACTACAGGTGGTAGGGACCAAGCAAGGTGTGGCCAAGCTGAACTATAATGCCGCCTTTTCGGTTGGTCCATGGGTCAGCAACACGGGTATACCTGAATTTCAGTCGATAGTGAACAATGGAAATCGCGGCACGGATGCCATCGGAGAGGTGGACAAGGCGCTCGCCGGTCACAACATGATGGACAAAGCGCGGGCACTGAATTACTTCGTGGAGGACTGGCTTGCTAGCATTTCTGGTGGACACATGATCCCAGGAACCGCAAACAACAGGTTCTTCCGCTTCTCACCGCCTGAAAGCACGCCGCAGAACCCCTCTCTGCTGCAGTCGTTTCTCCCGCGCCGAAATTCGGTGCAACCGCCCTTGTTTTACGCATTCCCGTCATTGCCGGTTTCTGTACTCCGGGCATGTAACGTCAGTGAGAACGTGGCTCCCATTGTGATATTGTATCCAGCAAAGGCACATTCGTCTTCGTCCTCGTTTCTGTCAGTCTAAAATGTGGTGCGTTCTTGTGTCGGGTGTTGCCAAACTTGTGAGCGAAGGGGCCCAGCAGGAGGAGCCAGAGATACTACAAGTACGCCGCGTTTATAATTTTGATATTATGATTATATGATGTGTAGTGAGGTCACGAACGTTCTATCCTAGTTTTTCCTTTGACGCCTCTTTATCCAAAACGACCGGCAGATATCTATCAGCCGGCGGCGTTTTTGCACAAAAAAGATTTCCATTTTGCAATCGGGTGGGGCTTTGTTGCCAAACAAGCCCGGAGGAATACTGTCGATTGCCGATTGACAACAAAACGACGCAAGGGAGCCGGCAAAGGTGGCGCCCTTCTGCGGCGCCCTGCGAAACTACTTCCGCCGATTGGGGGCGCCAAAAAATGGGCGGCGGGAAAGAAAGAGCGAGTCCGCGCGGTACCTATGGGCCCCGTTTTGGCCTGTATAATTTTGAGGCGGAAGTAAAAGTCGGCCAGTTGTAATGTGGGGAGCACGCCAAAGAGTGCGACTTCTGCACGAAAAAAAAGCAAAAACTTCAGAGGCCGCCAAAGGCAGAAAGCCAGTCCGCATGCTATGCTGGACCCGATTTGGGGCGCCCAAGGGCTCGGCCCTGGTGGAGGCCTTGCCGGGGCCATATCATGTGGGGAAGGCTTTCGAGCTTTGAAGACAGGAATGCGGAGGCCGGTGGTCGTGATTTCAATCATCCATCCGCGACACCATGTGGAGCAACATTCTACGCGTGGGAATGCTCGAGACAAAAGCGCGACTATTTTCTTTTGCTCATGGGAATGCGCAGGAGCAGTGAGGGAAATGGGGCCGGGTAAGTAGTCAAGAAAACCGGCGTGACCTCACTACCCCCGCGGGCGCGGCTACTATTGGTCTTGTTGTTGTTCTTGCTCTGATTTCGTCCTTCTCCTGGCTTATCCGACGTTTTTTTCATAGTTTGCATCTGCATATATATTCCTATTGAGAAGTTCAAGCTGGAGTTTTTGGCGAATTTCTTTGGGCCTCGAGGAAACGAGAATACGCCGGATCAGACGTCCTGAAGATTTTCGTAAAAAAAATACAGGAGCGTCGGGTGGATGTGGTCCCGTTGCAGGAGATGGGGATCACATGCTTCTGCGCATGGCTATCGGGCGAAGTTTTGCCTGCTAGCCAACTACCGGTCTTCCGATCGTGCTGTTACAGAGGGTTTTGTGGTTTTAATGACCCTCATCAAGCCCGCGTCACTTCTATACGACATTGCCGCTTTGATATATCATTTATTCTTTCATCCACGGTGTATTTTTTGTTTTTCGATTCCTCATCTTTATTTTTGTTTTTTCATCACGTGTTTATAGAATTCTTTTGCTTCGTTACGTACAACATCGAGTCATGTATTGCAATGAATATCGACCACGACCTTTAGCAACTTTATTTTCTTCAATTTCAAAATTAATTGACGTCATACTATTACTAATTCACGATGTCGATGGGTCATGTGGCTTGAGTAGTTTCCTACCGAATCACCAAAATTATCGAACTCTATTCACCAAGAAGCGTGCGAAGGTGTCGGAGGGCCATCTGTATTTTTTCTCTTCGGATCTATCGTCAATTGCATAAGCTGCACCCTGCTTCTGTTGAATGTCCTCGCGATCGCAGGGAGGTTGGGCTAAGTACGCAAGAATTTTCCGCGGCCCATCCATTGAGCATTTGCAATTTCGGTATGGACAGGAACCAAGCACAAAATACATGGTGCCTGGCGCAGTGACCAGCGCTTTACGTTTTCGTGCTCGTGACGGTCATATGCTAGTGCTAGCATGATCTGAACAAGTTACTGGTTGTTCATTCTGAACAAGTATACTGGTATACTGCTGCATTTGCTACTGGTTGTTCGTTTGAACCCACTCCCTCGCTTCCTCGAATTGAGAATGAAGAAATACAGCGGGACGGGTTTTTTTTGCGATGACTGCTGCAGACAGTTCATCATCTCCATCTGCGAAGTCAATAGGATCCTCAGCAGTCTCAGGAATGAAGATTTTCGCTCTATTTTTGTATATGATGTTGAACAGGATCAGGATCATGAGGATCTTCGTCTTGTTCTGCTGGAAAGAGAAGCCTATAGAACCTCGCATCTTTGGCGCCGTGCCCAGACCGAAAAGGAAGAAAGAACAAAGAAAGAGGGCACAATCAAAGCCGCAAGCAAGCGATCAATCATTTAAACTTTTTCGTTTTTCGGAAGTTCCTACTTGATCATGTGATGTGTCTGTGGCCAATTGTTTCTGTCGACGATCTTGCGAAGCCACGGATGATTTTGCTCTCATCGATTCTCGGCACAGTGATAGTACTAAGCAATGTTTGAAAAATTGCATTCTTCAGGCGACCAGCACCAGGATACCTCGACTAGTAAAATGTTTCAATGTCAATGAACGCTTTCGTTATGTTTCCTATCGATTGGTTATTTGTATTTTTCAATATCAGTGATAGGACTCTTTCGTGCAGTTTTTCCTTTGACTATTTCGCCAATTTAGTCATCAAAAAGCAGAATCTCATTTTATGAAGCGCGCACAACCCTCTCGAGACTGCGAGCCGGACCCTGAGGACGCAATCGAGCAGCAGTACCAGCAGAAAATTCAGGCCGAGAAGATAGTAACCGATTCCGACGCAGGGGCGCATAACGAGAGAAACAACAAGAAAAACGCTAGCGACAAGAAGACTTCGACTGGAGGACCTACTACAGCGAAGTCTGCGTCTTCCCGAGCAGCAGCTGCAAAAGAGGTCAACAAGCGCGCCCGCCTCAGAAGCCGGTCCGACGTGGAACAGGACGAAGGTACTAGTCGCAAAAGACAACGGGCCTTGACAGACGACAGCGCTGCGGAGATGGCGCCGGCTACAAAAAACATCTCGAAATACAAGGCGGGAGATTTGATATGGGTACAGTGTTGTCGATTTACTAGAACACGAATTTCTTCGTCCCTCCTGGTGTTGTATAGCTGCACCAGAATCACTCACCGTTCTATAAATTTGTTGGTCGCAACATGGGCATTGATTTATTACTGAGCTCCCCTGCTGCACCAGTTTGCGTTCAAGCCGAGAGTCGCAGTCTTCTCTATTCGTCCTTTTCAGTAGTTACATTTTAACACCTTCCCCTCCCCAACACAGGTCTTCACCACGGAGGAGCGCGACTACGATGCGAAAAACCACGTGGCCTACATTGCCGTGCTCGACCATCGGCACGGAAATTTTCGTCCGAGAACAGGGCTTTCCGAGGGCTGGGTTCCCGCGGTGGTGACGCACGACTTTGCTCCAGAGAAGTACAACGAGAAGAAACGCGACACGCACCTGCAATTCGAGTTCACCTGGCCGCACTGGTTCAACTGCAGAGGCGCGTACTTGGAAAAGCACCAGCTGTACTACTATGCGCAGCCCGATTTCGTCGCGAGCCGCGAGGATGTCGCGATTCAGAAGGGACTCCGGGGGAGACAAAGTATTTTTTATGTCAAGTAGATGTAGAACTAGAATTTCATCTGGGTACTATCATAGTTTTTTTTGCTCCTGGTGCCGCAGCTGGAGGTTTCGCTCCATCGCAAATTGTGTCACGAAATCCACTATACAGTACTTGAATGTGATCTAGCGTCTTATATCGTTTTACCAATTTGACGTCGACACTTATCGGCCACTACATGACTCTACTACAGAGCCCTTCCTCTACCGCGGTGGGCAGTTTGAGCCGGATTTCCAGCCCGAACTCGCCATCGTCGCGTTTCGGTGGGGGGGAAGAGACATCCCTGACTCCGACCCAGGCGAGCTCCTCGGGATTACCAACCGCTACCTGTACAAACTTTGCGACGACGGCTTGCGACCCACCCTCGGCCGAAAGTACGAAATCTGGTCGGTTTTTGTTGAAGACCGCCACGACTGCGAAAACCTGGCGAACAGCCTTCATCTGATCTTCGGCGACCACCACCCCTGCAGGCGGGCGAAGAACGTGGTCTCCATGTTTTTCCTCCAGCCAACGGGGTTCGATACCGAGTCAGAACCGGCACTGATGACCGGCGACGAAAATGGGGCCGGGTCTCTTGAGTACGAATCCCTCTACAAGCTGATCCGCGCGTCCGAACGGTGCGGAATGGTCACCCGGTTCCCGCACTCCGCGCACTTCTACCAAATCTTGACAAACAAGGAGTGGACACACCAGCTGTGTCTGAACCCGAAATACCGGATCCCCGCGTCGATCGCGGTACCGCGGATGTGGATAGAAAGAGACGTGGCAATTACCGCGGCGAAAGCGAGGAAAATGCTGCAGATGGTCCGGGACAAGCAGACGGCGCTCGGGATGTGCCCAGGTATTGAAATCAATCGAGGGCCATGATGCACTTGTTGCAGATGTGATCGTCGTGCAAGACGGATTTTCCTTTCACACCCACGGCGGAGGGGGCATCAGGTGGTATGAAATGCAATAAATGCAGCATCGCGAATTATTTTCCCATCAACCCAACAAATATAAACACCACATAAATGTAAAAATATCACAGCCAAGAAGATCGTGCAGGGCGTCGGGAAGCTATGGAGTTCTCAACTGTTACATTCTCAACTGTTACATGAATTTGTCATGCAAAATTGCCATCAGCCTCCACTTGATCAAGGTGGGCAGCATGACAAATCTTCGAAGGGCTAAACAGCATCTAAATCTGTGGAAAATCTGTGATGCGAAAGCTGCAATAATGCCACTTTCACTATTGCTGTTCTTGCATTACAAATCCATGTAACAGCTGAGAATGTAACGTTTGAGAACGCCATAGAAGCTGGGCTACAGTTGGGAGGCGTTGGACGTGAAGCTGTGGCGGGAAGACGTATGCATTGCAAAAGTATCGTACTAGTATAAATAGCATTACAAATTTCCTCAGCATTAGAAATGGAATTTGTAATGCGGATTCCCCCAAAGAAAGGGATTTGTAATGCATGACAGCGATTTGTACGAGTACGATGCTTTTGCACAGGATAAGACGTCGGGAACTACAACCTGGTCTCCGCTCTGAACGACCTGACCCAGCAGATTGAGATCACGTCCAACTTTGTGGGGCAGGCACACACGCTGGACCACGTCATCGTGCAAGAATTCGTTCACCACGCGACGGAGATGCGGCTGTATTTTGTGGAGAACAAGTGCGAGTTCGTCATGTTCACGAAATTTGGCAAGATCAAAGCGAACCAGGAATTCGGCGACTTCAACTATTTATGAACTGCAAAAGTATCGTACTCGTATAAAGGCATTACAAATTTCCTCAGCATGAGAAATAAAATTTGTAATGCGGATTGACCTTAAGAAAAGAATTTGTAATGCATGATTGCAATACGAGTACGATGCTTTTGCACAGGATACTATTTGACCAAGGACCAGGTGTTGGCCACCGGGTTCCACAATGACAAGGAGGCTTATGGATTGCAAATGTGTCTGGGTCTGGAAGAGTGGAACTTGTAATGCTGTCTGCGGAGTCTAAAAATATCTGTGTTGCATGAGCAGCACGAGGACTCAGCTCTTGGCACGCGGAGAGGGCGTTATTTCTCCTGCGTAATTAGCATCAAGAGGCTCCCAAAAAATCTGTGTTGCTAGCACCAGCATCACAGACCTCACGGGTCATGCAAAATGTGCTTGACAAGCCCCGACTCTTCCAGACCTAGACATCTTTGCAGTTGATAAGGCTCTGGACAAGGCGATCGAAATGGGCAAGGAGACGGCGCGAGAACTGCTGGATTGGGTACTATATAGGAGTTTGGATAGCGATTTGTAGTATCAAGTTGACGCAGCTCTTGTACTACGTAAAGAGCCAGCATCATGGTGCCATCTTTGGACCAGCAGAAATTATATGCAATTCTGAATTTTTTTCCAAAAAAAATTGGTCCACCTGGCTCATAAGAGTAAATGTTACGTCATGGTCATGCATCTCCATCTTACGAAAAATAAAACCTATTTCGCATCTATCCCAGGTCCGCACCCAAACGTTAGACGACGAGATTCCGGCTTTGCGGTTTGATTTTTTTCTGCAGTACGAACAGAAAGAGGTGCACAAAATGAACAACAAACAGCAAGAGGGGCTGAGCAAGTTCGGCGTGGAGGGGTACGGGTTGGTGGGGAACAGCAAAGCAAGTAGTAGCTCATCTAGCAGTTCCTCTTCTAGCAACCTCCCAGATCAGCAACAGAAATCTTCCTCTGGTGCTTCTAAGGCGAATGGTGGCGGAAAAATGAACAACAGTACTTCTACTACAGCAGGCTCGGAGCAACAAAGCTATTCCAATCAGTGGGTCAACCCCGCCAACAGTGCGGTTGTCACCGTCAATGTATTGGAGATGTGCGAGCTCGGATTCAGTATTCTCCACAACAAGGCGATTCCGAGAGCCGTGATGCCGGCAATAGTGAGGAGTTGTTTAAATTTGGATCAAGTGGAAAGTAACAGTAAGCCGGGCGGCGCATCAGGTGGAGCTGCTACCGCTGATACAACAAGTTCAACAAGTACGACTGGAAATAAAAAAGCCGGCGGAGCAAAGAAAGATAGAAATCAGGTGGAACAACCCATGATTCCAGCGGACCACGCAGACGAATCAGAGGAGTTCCACAACTGCTCCAGCGCTAACGATATGAAATGCAAGTATGTCTGGGTCTGGAAACCTGTAATGCTGAATAGTCATGAGTGAGTGCGTCTCTAAGTGCAGTATTGCATGACAAATTTTTCAAACGCTTTGTCTCTCATGCTTAGTGCGCATTAGAAACTGTGCTTTTTCATGACAAACAATTTGTGGCGCTTTTCTTGCTTTTATGCAATACAGATTTTTCTGGAGTCCTGGACACGCAATACAAGTTCAACCTTTCAAGACCCAGACAAATTTGCAATGCATAAACGAGAGTGGCGCAGGAGCAAACAAGGACAGCAAAGACAGCTCTTACCAACCTCCAGCCCGGTATCCTGTGCAAAAGTATCGTACTCGTATAAATGCAAGTCTTGCATCACAAATTTTTTTTCTGATGAAGGCAAATCAGCATTACAAATTTCATTTTTCATGCTGAGTTTTTGTAATGCATTTATACGAGTGCGATACTTTTGCAGTTCATACCCGGGAAAGAAATGCAAATGGTCAACAAGAGCAGAAAAGACAGAGCGGCGAAAGAAATAACAGCTATCAGTACTACAAAAAGAAAACTCCCGCTGGAACAACTTCGGCGTCGAACAACCAAAAGCAAGGGACTACTGCGAACGGAGGCGGACCGTCTTCGAAATAGCTCTGGCCGCTAGTATGACGAACAATTAGAGCATGCACATGCTCCTCAGCAAAAGAATTACTTTTTCCTTTGAACGAGCGCCGCGACATTTGAATTTCATGTTAACTGCCGATGTTCGAAGAGAAAAAACGAAAATACAGTCCTGTAATTCAGTGACGTTTGCCGTGGGCGGCTCTGGGGTCGTATGTCCGTTTGAAAAATGGGCTGCGGTCCACGGCCGCGATGTTCCTCTATTACCTAAACCTAGCCCACGTCTAGTGCTAGGCTAGTAGAGATCTTCGTCTGCTATTGTGATTTGTGAATGCTATGGTGCTGCAAGAGCTGAATGAAAATGAGGATCAAGAAGATCCTGATGCGTGCGTGTCGAAACTCCGAAGGCGAAGCTGAATAATTCCAATTGCTGCAGAACTACTCCTACTGCGGTCTGCTCTATCCTGAACATGTGTCATCTTTTTCGTGGTTCTTCCTTGTGCAGCGTGCGATGTCAACTACAGCGAAGAACAGATCACGTACTGAATATGCACGACTGAGTTCCGTTTGGTGGCTTTATTCGCGAGCGCGGTTTTCTTTCGATAAAGATCATGGTCCATGTGGCCGTTCAGCCGTCTGAATACGCATAAAACACGTACATGAGTAGACAAAAGTAGAGAACGTCGAGCTCTCTATCCGTTGCCGTTATGAAAGATCGCAGGCCAGCACCAGCAGCACACCGTTCATACGCGAAGTTTTTCGACGACCCTTTGTTTGTTCATCTGCGCAAAAAGATCAAACGACCCCACTCAGCTATTCAGGTCTACTTGCAGCCCACCGTCAGATGGTCTGTCTGGGTGTGCGTCGTGTGTCCAAGAACATCAACATCATTTTTGAATTTTTGCATCACATGTAAAAGTAGATATCGCTTGTTGCCCTTTTTTTTTTGGTGAGATGATGATCGCTCTTATGCGCTATTGCGGTCGTCTTCGTGTATGCGAGTAAAGGTTCTTCTGTCACGTGATCACGAGCATCTTGCAGACTTGACTCAAGTCGTAGCCAATCGAAGCTCTTGGATTGCTATTGAAAGTGCATGATCATATTTTGCATCTTGTAGTATGGTTAGAAGGATAGAAGCTGCGATGTGTGTGTGTGTGTGTGTGCTCCCGTGAAAGTAAAGGCAAACGTCGTGGAAAAATTAACGAATAAATATTTTTACGTCACTGCACGGAGACTGAGGTATGGAAATCCAAATCTATGTGGCACACGACGTCGGGTGTCATTCATTTGATTCCAAGACCTCGTCGACGTACATGTACAATTCTTGCATTAAACATGTTTCATGATCGTGCTAAAAACGCTACCCAAGCGCAAAACACCCTTGTGTTGTAAAAGTTCCTCCTCCTAGGAACTGCAAAGAAACCATCCAGAATGCGGTCGAATGTTTCATCTTGCAGGTGCAGAACAGCCTCCACATCGACGACCTCCTGGGTTCTGCTCATTCTTGCAGCATCGCTTCACCATGCTGCTCAGACGATACTATTTCAACACGATTTAGTATTGAGTTCATTCCTGACAGGAGGAGCTCCTTGCAATTACATCAGAGGGGTTTCAGGAATCCGATCCAGTCTCGGGGGTCATCTTCGTGAAGGGAACGCTGGTGATGCAGAAATCGTGGCAGAAAGAAACGGAGTGGAAGAAGATCAAGATGCTGCAGCAGCCGCCAGTGGACCACAAAGTCAGGCGGGAGGGCAACAAGGTGCATCTTCATCTTCATCCTCCTTGGGGATTCTTCATATGCCTGAGGCAGAGTCCTCTACTTCGCAGCTCCTGCATATGGATGTGTCAGAGTTGAAATCGACAAAGTTGAAATAATTTGTCATGCATAAAATGGATGCCAGTTGGAACCCAGTTTCCAAGTGGCGCATGACAAATTTCGGTGGTCCCTAAATCTAGTTTGTCATGCTGTTTAGGTAAAAAAAAGCGATTTTCTCATGCTACTTTAGCAGCTCGAGCTGTAGCCCCAAACAGGCTTACAATCTGCCTCACTTACCTGCTCTGCAACACACGTGCCGCGGGTCATGCATTTTATGCATTACAAATCATTTCAACTTTGACGATTTCAAACCTGACGCTTCCATACTGCATGACCTTCCCGAAGCCCACGCCGTTCAGGACGTGCAGCAGCCATCCGCAGCCGCAGAGGGAACAAATGTCCCTGTAGTTTTTTCGCCTGCAGCTGCAGCAGCACGCGCTGAAGATGAGAGCGAAGCTGCTCCTCATCCTGTGCTGCTCGTACAAGAAGTACCCTCTGAACCTCTACAGCAGGACGACGAGACGGGAGTTCTTGATAGAGAACAAGCAAGCACGTTTTCCACTGCCCGCGGACGGGTCTTCGTCCCGCAAGCCCCAGGTCGTGCCGCAGATGCTTCGTCGGAGGCCACGGCCGTACAACAACCTTCGCAGGGAATTGCCCGGCACCCGGAGGGACAATACGCGTTCCGCCGGGGGCGCGCCGGTGATACTACCATGTACCGACAATTTTCTTCCAGCAGTGGGTCGTCGGACCCCAGAGCCAGAGGTGGACCCAGCAGGAATATTACAGGTCCCCCCGAGCTGCAGGAAGAAGGCGATCCTAACATCGACGGCGCCGATAGTGCCTCGAGCCCACAGCAAAGACGCGCGGAAGGTAACGTCGGCGTCGTGCCAGAAACAAGAAGTACCAGCGCCGGTAGTTCATCGGACATTATCGGAGGTGCTTCATCTACACTAGTAGAACCACGACCGCCCCCGTCGGCCCTGCAAACTGCCACCCTAGCCGCCGTAGACGAGGCTTTGTCCGCGATCGACAATCTCGGCGACGTTCTGAACCAGCTGCAACCGCAAACCTCTGTCCCGCCACCCAGCCCGGACCTTCGTCCGACGGATGTGGTAGAGGACGAGGCTAGAAGGAGATCGTCGACGGAGCTGCGTGAGGCTATTAGCAATGTTTCGGGTTCGACGTCTGCGTCTCTGTCCGCACAAGCGACCCCGTCGGACCTCCGGAACCTGGCACAGGCCACTTCGGAGCACTTCGGGCAACCTCTGGGGGACCAGCCAGTTGTACAACTTGAAGGAGGAGATATGAACATGATGCAGGAGCTTCCGCCCCCCTCCCCGCTCGTGAGGCATGTTGGTGTTGCCCAGGAGCGACAGGAACAGGAGCATGTTGATGAGGGCGGGCTGTCGGTTGCGGCGGAGTTTGCGGTTTTGGAAAAATTCTACTCTGATATGCAATACAAGTTTCCCGTACATGATGTTTTTTACAACTCTGATATGCAATACAAATTTCGATTTCCCGTGCATGATGTACAAAATGCAAGCCCGCCAATCTGGTTTACTTGGGGCGTCACACTTGTCAAGCTGACTCAGATCATTGAAGGCAAGTTCTTTTGTTATGCAGAGACATCGTTTGTTCTTCTTCTTGTATGTATGCGGGAATTTTCCTTTGGACATCTGAGTTCCCTGTGATGGAGGACCAAATAGACCCTGCTCGGCAAATCCAGCTGTTGGAGGAAGAAGTCGCAGAGGCGGCGGAAATTCACGCAAGAATCCGAACTCAGTGGGGAGGATTTGATGCCAATCAGGGCAACACAAATAGGAAGGCTCCAGATCCTCCCGAGAACTACCTGTGCTCGATTTATCAACTGCAAAAGTGTCTGGGTCTGGAAGGATGCGAACTTGTGATGCTGTGTTTGGATGCTACAAAAATCTGTATTGCATGAACAGCAGGAGCGGTCCAGTTTTTGCCCCGGCGGGAAGGCATTTCTCATGCGGCATAGGCATCAGAAAGCCCTCACAAAATCTGTGATGCTAGGGCATCCATCACAGACGTCAGGAGTCATGCAAAATATGCATGACAAACCCGGCAACATTCCAGACCCAGACACTTTTTCATTTGATACGATTACACAGGAACTGATGCGTATTCCACAGTTCTACGTCGACTCCAGTACACCGCATAGGTAACAAGATATGAAAATCATGTTGAGTTGTATGCCATTCCGTAGTTTCCAAATCCCAGTGGGCAGCTCTTTCCTTGTGAATGAATTTCTCCGTTTTTTGTGCGCAAAATAAAGTAAATCCAAACCTATCTTGCTTCTCATTTAGGTTTGACTCCACGTCCCTGGACAACTGGGAGCTCGCCCAGAACGTGCGCCCTCCACGGCAGCCAACGCCTCTGAATCCTATGCCGCAGATCAAAAACCCCATCACAAATACCTACGTGGAGGCGGTGCGGGAAACGGATTGGGAGCTGGCGTTCCGCATTTTCATGTACAAACACCGGATGGGACTGCTGGCCGGGGATCAAGACGAGCAAGGGTATTTTGCACGTTTTCGTTCGTTTTTTGTTTTCATCTTGGCACAGCGACACAGAATGAATAAAGACGGCGCAAGTTCTTGGTTGTCTGCTCGACTTTAGCTTTACCCAAAAAGTTCGCTGCGCTTGCAGTTCACTTTCGCAATCCTTTAAGCCCGTGTATTCGTACCACGTCGAGGCCAAAGTGAAATGTAGAATTACTGCTTGTGGGCAGCAACTACGTTACACGCTCTATCCATAAGTATGGACTTGAAAATAAAATGCGAGCACTTCGTTTAACTGACTCGAAATAAAGATCCAGCACTCCTGCCGCAAGTGGTCCAAGAACGTCATCTTCTGCCACGGCGTCTGCGTCTTCGAAGCCAGCGCAAGAGGACCTCCACGCGGCGCATGGTTCATCTTCGACTTCAAAGCCCAACCGGAACAAGGATCATGCGAAAGCTCCAACCAAGTTTCGGGTCCGCATTTTCGCGCACAGTGAGATCACCTGGCCGCGTCGGTCCTCCCGCGAGCCGTGGCCGAGTCAGGGAACGCTGTTTCAAAATCCATCGGCGGCCAGCAGGCGAAACAGCAGCAGGAGCAGGAACTTCCGCGATGACGACGCGGACTATTGGCTAGACGGGGATTTTTCCTTGGGATTACTCGCGAACGAGCTGGCGGGCGAATTGAACTCCGTGTACGACAGCCGGTGGCAAACCGAAGCGATCGTGTTTCACCAGCAGGAAACGGTGTTGTCGAAGTATGGTGTGGTGCTGCTCACAGCTCGAACAACAATGTTCTCAAGTGGTGGAAAAACGTATGTATAATTTTGTGCAAAGA